TTTCAAAACCTAAACACAAACTCTACAGCCAGGCATTTTTCTTAGCTTTACTGTCTGTGTTTTATCTCTGAATACTTTGATGGCATGTTGTCTTCTAGCTTATGTCATGACTTATTTTTTACTTTTACACTTAATTTCTCTTCATATTGAACACGTTGTTGTGGTTGATAAGAAATGTATGTAAATAAGAAAGGATCCATTTGTAATTTGCTAGGGTTTTTTGTGTTTTTTCTGCAATGTTTGGATGTGGTTGTTTTGTATTTATTCTCTATATCCAATCAGTAGATGTTAATAATAGACTTCTCTAATCTGAGAGAGCATATTGCTCTGTATTTGAGTTTCACACCACAAACCATCCGCATCTATTTTAAGGGTAGACAGCAAAAATCTGCATTTGCGACTCAGGTTTTTCTGTATTACATCCACCCATGGTGACCTTATCATGAAGACTTATCGCAGCTTCCCTGCTTGTGGGTTGTCTGTTTGTTAGATCTAGGAGTATAGTTAAAGCAGTTCATATTTTTACAGTATGAATTTAAGTGGCTGCCAGTTCTGTTTGCAGTGCTCCAGAGTGCTTATCTACCATCAGTTGACCCTTCCCCAAATTTGAAACCTCACAGTTGGAGGGGGTAAGGAAAATCTGACCTTAGATCAACGTGCTGGAACGACTGGACGTGTTTGTGGAAACACCAGATTAAATACAGTTTTGAATGGGCTGGAACACTCATGAAATGCTTGTATGACAGCAACTACATTTTGGTTTGAGTCCTGAGATCCTTTTGGTTAAGCCATTTTACCTGCTGCAATGTGTTTGTATTTACGTGGACATTCAACCTGATGTGGTGCTTATTCCAATGACTTTCTGATTATTTTTTTCTTCAAACAATGCAAAAATACAAACGACAGCATATAGACTCACACAAACATCAACAACATCACACCTGCCCAGAATCACCTGCTCACACCCCTATCTCCACCGCCCGCATCGGTCTCTCCGCCACATGGTGTCAAACTGCACCATTTTGTTTCTCTCTGTCACACACGCACTTTCAACATTTAGATAATAAAGCATTTGACCTTTCCATTGTGTTAACGATGGAGGATTGGTTGATTTCCAGTTAAGTATATGTTTTTTTCAAGATGATTGACATGAAAAGTATCGTCCAACCCATCGGGTATCTCACTGCACCCTCATATGCCATGTCTTGAAATATGCAGACAGACGGAATAAAAGTACATTTACATTGTAATACTTCTGACAGCCAACTTTCTAACTCTGCCCATAACTTTTGGACTTTATAGAATTCCCAGATGGGATGGATTATTGAGTCATTGTTAGTTTTACACATAAGACATGACTCAGTTATTGTATAATACATTCTATACATTAGTTAAACTGGATTAAGCGTACATTTTAGTTAACCGTAATCTCATTAGTTATGTTCCAACATTCCCTCTCATCTTGTGCCAATATCAGTTATTTGTAAGTCTTTGTTCCAATAGTTTATATTTTTTTTCTAAGAGATTGTCAGTTGGATAGGCTCTCTGCAAGGTTTTGTATGTCTTACCTATCATATGAATATCCTTTTCTGACTCAAATAGGATTCCCTCAAGATTGCTCTGATGGACCAATTTATCAGTGAATTCTGAAAAGCTATCCAAGGATTGTTATTTTCCAATTAGTTTCTAATGACTCAGGCAGTTACTATAGCATTTGGTTCATAGCAACTACCAATTAATTGGACGTCCAGTTAAATTGTGTTGTACTTTGACCACAGCTTCAGGCATAACACTCAGTTACAACCTAAACACCGTAGCCTGAGTGAATGGCTAGATGGTTGCTGCTGGTGTACTTTGACAGTAAAGTAATCACCTTAACTGTGCAGTAAACATGCTAATGATTTCCCTAATGAGTCACAGGGCTGACCACCGCTGGGAAGCTCATCACTGCCCAGTGGGATGTCCATTTGTCTTCTACTGCAGTGTGTCAGTCAACTCCTGGGATATGCTATGGAGGCTATATGCAACTGCTTGGGAACGCTGTGAATGCGCACATCAAGCTAGGACAACAATTTGGAACAAGACAAATAATGAATTTGAAATGGATCTGATGAATGTTACTACATTATGAATTTTGTACATACCCGATGTACACTTATTACAACCAGTTATGTTGCTTACTGGCTGTTTATGCTGTAATACCAACATTTTACATCTGCACTCAATAGATTTGTTGTATTAGAAAAATAATTATTTTTATAAAGAAATCCTAAAGGAAATATGTTTTCCTCTGCTGTTGTTTAAGATGTATATCCATTTATTAGTAATGTGTAGTGAATGATGCAAGGGGTTACCATGATGATATAGTCTGATTAACCATGATGATATAGTCTGATTAACCATGATGATATAGTCTGATTAACCATGATGATATGAGGGATGTGTCTGTCTTGAACTGGACACTGTCAACCTCACGTTGGGGTCTAACTCACTGGCTGTTGATGTGTGTGTCTAGTCTACAGTTAAAGGAGAAGTTCACTTTTTTTTACAACCAAATCTGTATTTTGGATGTAAATGACATGTTATACCCCAACACATGAAATTGTGTCATTCCGAACTTTATCCGCAACGTCATATTTGTGCGACACTAGCTGTTTCCTATACAGAGCTGTGCAGGCTGGGGGTGTCCGTATATTATACGGACACACCCGTCCTGCACAGCTGCGTAGGGGAAATGGCTCAAGTCACACAAAATGGAATATAACATTGCGGATAAAGTTCAGAATGACACAATTTAATGTGTACAACATCTAAAGGCCTACATCACTATACTTAGAGCGTGTTCGTTTCCAAAGCACGTTTGTTTTTGTTGCTTTTGTTCATTTGCTATTTTAGCCCCCATACTGCAGAACAATGATGAGGAAGTCAATCGCTGGTTGGGGTAAGTTTCTCAAAAACAAGTGTCTGTTCACCTCTATGACGTGCCATGTAAAAAGTAAACTTCTCTTTTAATGTCCATTCATCCTCGGGAATAAACTGTCTCATGCAATCTCTTAGGAGAGCATTGGAAAGCAATCTTGACTGGTGGGATGTAGGGTTCTATGATGTCAAAGGATAAATGTAATCCTTATCCTACATGTGGTATTAGAGCCCTGAAGCATATGGGCATTTCCATGTAAAAAGCCCTATGAGCACTAACGTGAAGTTCATAGGAGCACATAAAATTTGGTGTAAAATTAAAGGCATATATACATTTTTCAACCATGTTCCATCCTACAAATTAGGAATAAGCAAAGTCTTTGATTTCTGGTCAAACATGGTAAAAGGGGTCTTAGAAGACATCTGTCAGGAAAAAGTCTTAAAAAGTATTAGAAAGACACGACAAGTAAAAGTAGACCTACCAATTAGATAGTGTTTTTACTGATAACAATTTGGTTTATAATTTATTCAGTGATTAAAACATGTAATTCTGTTACCAAATCGGTAACAGAATTACACCAAAAATCTGTAACAGAATGACTGTAACTGAACTGGCTACAGTGGCAAACCACAGTTGGATCAGCTGCTTCTCTCCTCCCTTCCACTAGCATACTGTTATGTTAAACTCATAACAGTTTTCTTTCTATTTCTTCTCCCAGCTCTTACTGACACCTACCCATGAGCCCCCTCTCTTTCCATTTACTGTAACCAGCCCTCTCACCCACTGAGCACCGACCAACACCCGACGTCTATGGACATTGAAAAGTAGTTGAAATATGGTCAGTCCAATCTGCACCAATCATAGATGTCTGTTTCACAAGTTTGGACAGCACAATGCAGTGAAGTACAGTAATGAAAAGTATTATAGGTCAGTACAATATAGTACTGTACTGTACAGTAGAGTTTAGTACAGTACAGCACACTAGAGTACAGTATAATTTACTATTGTACTGAACTATACTCTACTGGACTGAACTCTACTCTATTGTACATGATGTGCTGTACTTTGCTGTGCTGAACTCTACTGTGCTGTGATGTCCAAACTTGTGAAACATAGACATATGTGATTGGTGCGGACCGGACCAACCAAATTGGTCTTGTTTGGGGGCGGAGCTCATTCGAATAATGGCCAGAGTGTAGAATAATACCCAAACATGCAAAGGAGGATATTAAAATGTTTTACCTTTGTGTACCTATTAAGGATACATCACCATGAAGAGAATGAAATTCATAATTCTGCATTTCTGTGTAGTACATATCAGGGACCCATGATGTCATTCTGTTACCATCCCTCTTACTGGGTGTTCATCCACTTCACTTACTGTAGTTCAATAACCAAAATAGATTTTCTCAAACTCAAGGTGTAATCATAGCTGACACCCCATTTTTTCTGCAGAAATCTTTTAATCTTCAGAGTAGATTGCCTATGTAGATTATGTGTACCGAAAGATTACATTAGGGCGGCAGATATATTCTTCCAATGATACTGTATCATAGCTGATACTCAAGTCAGTTTACATGGAATTATGATACCCAACGGATAACATTTGCACATACGCACAAAAAGCTTATTTCTCTCAAATGTTGTGCACAAAAAATCCCTGTTAGTGAGCATTTCTCCTTTGCCAAGATAATCCATCCACCTGACAGGTGTGGCATATCAAGCAGCTGATTAAACAGCATGATCATTACACAGGTGCACCTTGTGCTGGGGACAAAAGGCCACTCTAAAATGTGCAGATGTCTCAACTTTTGAGAGAGCGTGCAATTGACATGGTGACTGCAGGACTGTCCTACAGAATGTAATTTTAATTTCTCTACCATTGATTCTCACACCAGTTCCAAATCATAGCACCATCTCTTTTTGTTGGAGGAAAATTAATGTGAACATTCACACTTAGCCAATATTGGGGGTTATTTCATTTGAGCGCTGCAAGTCTGCTGTGCGGTGCAATAAAGCCAGAGAGTCCATGTGAAAGAGTATCCAAAGGTGAAGATGTGTGTTATTCATGTTGGGTAACATGTTCGACCCAGCTGGCACAGGGCCCACTGGTAATTGGGACAACACTATTCTCTGTGTATTTTGCCGCCGGTTCCTGCTTGTTGCTATGCTACCAAAGGGGGACTCTTCAGAGTGAGTTGAGCTCTGTGAGTGGTGTGGTATGGAGGTTAGAGAGGACTGCATTTCTTACTGACTGTCTCTCTACTCTGTATCTGGTCTGGAAAGAAGCTTGTCCCTCTTGTCCAGTTCTACCCCTCAGGCTAGACTGAAAGTACAAAATATAACAATGGCCATGATTCAGCATTCTAAAGGTTAGGTTTAGGATCAAGTTAGTGTATTGTTAATCTCTGAGGAAGTCTTAACCGTTTTAGTGGGGGTGTTAAAGGTTTATGATGGATAACTGGCAGTTTTTGAAGAGGTAGAGAAGTTTTCCAATGGTTGGCTTCAAATGTTGAATATGATTGGCGCTGCCAACATACATTGTAAAATGCTTCCCATTTATGGTTGTCTACATGGTATTGACTACATTATGTGTGGTATATCTAATATGTGTTGTCTGCTTTGCCTTCAGTTTGAGATTCAGCTTTACTCTTAAACAGACACATGGGCTTTGATACAAAATAATTTTTAACTGGTTGTACCTTCAGTTTCAGGATTTTCTCTCTCAATTATAAAAGTAAAGTTCCAGTCTCTCACTTTCGTATTTCCTACCCTATTATGCATAATATACTGTGTACTGCCAATTAATTCATATATTGTTAATGATGAATCATTCCATTGTAGCAAAGTGCTCATTAGCCTGAAGGCTAGCTCATCAGGGGGAACAATAACTAAATTGCTGTGATTCTAAATGTCTCTGTTTTTATGTTTCTCTTCAGCTCCCAGTAGTTTTGAAAGAATACCAAATTGAAATGTTCATGTAGGCACCAATAAACAGTGTTTTCGGAGAAAGCGATAATGATCTGAAAGTCCCACAACTTTACCAGTAATTATCCCTACGCAGTGTGCTGAGCTCTCCTCTGCAGTACTAGATAGTGACAGTAGGCATTCAATGGCCTGTGATGCGTTATTAGGCTTCTATCCATCTAGATCAGTGGCCAGGTCACTAATGGAATTGGACGCCGCAGTCGTGTCACAGTACAGAGATGAGGGAATACTTGGCCTGTGCAGTGGAGATGGATTCGCTGGCTAAGTGACCCAGTCATTGACATTCTCAGTGGGTCGAACAGTGCAGCCAATGGGCAAACGGGGCCCACACTAATGGAGGGAGTTAGTTGGGTTTTCCTGTGTGTGTGTGTGTGTGTTTGCGCTTCTAACCATGGACAGAGACAGATTTATGGTCTTGCTTTATCTCTGTATGTGAGGACACAGTAGCTGTCAAGTCATTTGAATATGTTGATTGGGGACCTACGAAACTACGGTAATCTACATTGTCCCACTTGTTGGGAAGCTTGTTGTCTTCTGAAATGATGTAGCTAGCTGTGTAATGAATCTAAAACTCAATGTCTTCCTCTCTCTCTCTTCCCTAGAGTGGGCCCATCTTTACTACATACAGTACCTCCTCCATCGAGGTGGGCTAAGATACAGTACCTCCTCCATCGAGGTGGGCTAAGATACAGTACCTCCTCCATCGAGGTGGGCTAAGATACAGTACCTCCTCCATCGAGGTGGGCTAAGATACTGTACCTCCTCCATCGAGGTGGGCTAAGATACTGTACCTCCTCCATCGAGGTGGGATAAGATACAGTACCTCCTCCATCGAGGTGGGATAAGATACAGTACCTCCTCCATCGAGGTGGGCTAAGATGAGTATAACCAGTGATGAAGTGAACTTCTTGGTCTACAGATATCTTCAGGAGTCAGGTATGTATGACTGCCAACCTCCTTGGCACACACTGTCTGTCTGTCTCTCATGCCATTCACGCTAACCTAATTTTCACAGGATGAATGAATTATTGAGTTCCTAGCCGCTCTATTTTATTACTCTTTTGTTGGGGCTTTCTTTGAAGCCAGTCATTGGAGAAACGCATGATAGCTCTGGCATTACAAAATGTATCCCGCTGACAAAGTATACTTGGTACGGATAATTGACTCGTTTTGCTGTCTGTGTTCACTTGTATTTTTTTGATAGCATAACATTGACCTAAAAAGTGTAGGAATGTCTGTAGATATGTTTGTGTAGGAGTGAGAGGTTTGTGTTGCAGGGTCTCTGATGTTGTCATTGTACTGACTGTTCGTTTCCAGGTTTCTCCCACTCAGCGTTCACCTTTGGAATCGAGAGCCACATCAGCCAGTCCAACATCAATGGAACACTAGTGCCCCCTGCTGCCCTCATTTCCATCCTGCAGAAAGGCCTCCAGTATGTGGAGGCAGAGATAAGCATCAATGAGGTGAGCCCAGGGGCTCCAGTCCAGGCTGCTGCCTTGGGTCACATTCATTAGTGCATACCGTAGCAAAACGTTTTGCAACAGAACACGAAAACGAGTGTTTTTTATTTATTTATTGTAAAAGTCCACATAGTCCCTCCCTGTTTCAATCAGTTTTCTATCGTTTGGTGCCTAGAGAATATGACCGTGGACTACCACTGTCAGAACAAACACACACTCTCCATATAAATCAATGAGGTTATATAAGACTGCCTTCACTAATACAGTGAAGTAAGTTGATCAAAATCATAAATCAGTAACGATACCAAAATCAATACACTATTGTACTTGGTAAATGAAAACAAATGAAATCCAGTTAATGAAATAGGGTGTAACCATGGCATGTTTGGTGTTATGTTGGCAGGATGGCACAGTGTTTGATGGGCGGCCCATCGAGTCTCTGTCACTCATCGACGCGGTGATGCCGGACGTGGTACAGACGCGGCAGCAGGCCTTCCGCGACAAGCTAGCCCAGCAACAGGCGGCCTGCACCATGGCAGTCGTCACTGCTAGCAACCAATTTAACGCACCAAAGAACGGAGAGGCCACCGTGAATGGGGAGGAGAACGGAACACATATTATCTGTAAGAATTACCTCCTCTCTAACTGAGCCATTTAGCTATTGCTAGCTGGCATTTTCGTGCTGTAATTTAGCAAATTATATCTATCAATTTTTCCTACATTATCTTGATACTTACTATGTGAGACAGCTGAATCTACATAAACTGGCAAACCCAAGCATCATCAACATCACATTGGTTTATTCGAGCACAGTGTTTAGTACAGTTTTAAGTGTGTGTGTGTGTGTGTGTTGGGGGGTTACTTCAGAGCAGTGTGGTTTTCACTGAATGTGAGGTCATTAGTGACATGACATTGAGTGTTTGTGAATTTGACCCTGCCTGCATTTACCTTTATTGTGCCTCCCTAACTGTTCAGATGCTTCTAGAGTTCAGCCAGTGAAACCAGAGAGGTGTGGGTCAGGTGACGCATTAGACTAGGGAGAAACAGATAGCGGATGTTTGTGTCAGCCGATCCCACTGGAGTTTAAGTCTAATGTGTGGGTGGGTGGCAGAACATCAGGAAAGACTATCTTAGTGTAAATAATGATTACTTATCTGAACAGACAGGGATGCTGCAGCAAAAATAAGTCTGGAAGAAAAACACATTTAATCAATACTGCTGGCAGGATATGAAGATGATTACTGGATTAGCTCTTAGCTGGTTGAGCTTTGACCCTGCACAGATTGCTCCCTCTGCTTCTATTGGGTCAACAAGTATGTTTGATGCGGTAAATGAACATCTTAGATAACAGTTATTTAAAACTGTTTTTTGACTGTAAAGTTTTGGAACTAGCCTAATTGAAATTCTCTGATTTTGAATGGTTATGATTTTGAAAGGTGAGAGGTTAAACACCTCAAATATTTGTCAGAAACGCACTTAATAGAGGGAAACAGTCCTGATAGTTTATGTTTTTGAAGCTGAATATGGCTCTGGATTAGAAGGAAATGGAACCATATTTTCAGTCTATGTGATCTCCTGAGTAGTACAGTAGGTACTGGGAGTTGTGTATGTGTCTGTAACAGAGTGTGGGTGTGATCTGATTACAGATAACCACAGTGAGCCCATGGAGATGGATCTGGATGTGGAGATCCCAGCCAGCAAGGCTACGGTCCTCAGAGGCCATGAGTCAGAGGTGTTCATCTGTGCCTGGAACCCTGTCAGCGACCTTCTGGCCTCAGGGTGAGTCTCACTGGGATTTTTTTCTAATTTATGGCCTATTTATTTATTTATTTATTTATATATATATATATATATACACACACACTCACACACTACCGATCAAAAGTTTTAGAGCACCTACTCATTCAATGGTTTTTCTTTATTTTTACTATTTTCTACATTGTAGAATATGAAATGACACATATGGAATCATGTAGTAACCAAAAAAGTGTTAAACAAATCAAAATATATTTTATATTTGAGATTCTTCAAATAGCCACTCTTTGCCTTGATGACAGCTTTGCACACTCTTGGCATTGTCGCAACCAGCTTCATGAGGTAGTCACCTGGAATGACATTTCAATTAACAGGTGTGCCGCCTTAAAAGTGAATTTGTGGAATTTCTTTCCTTCTTAATGCGTTTCAGCCAATCAGTTGTGTTGTGACAAGGTAGGGGTGGTATACAGAAGATAGCCCTATTTGGTAAAGACCAAGTCCTTATTATGGCAAGAACAGCTCAAATAAGCAAAGAGAAATGACAGTCCATCATTACTTTAGGTCAGTCAATACAGAAAATGTCAAGAACTTTTAAAGTTTCTTCAAGTGCAGTCGCAAAAACCATAAAGCACTATGATGAAACTGGCTCTCATGAGGACCGCCACAGTCTGGAATAATCTAATTAATTCAGGGCTTGTAAAATTATACCTACACTAAATATAAGCCTTCAACCATAAGACCCACTCATTATTTAATTATTTTATCAAAATAGTTTAACCTGCTTTTTTGCAATAATCACTGATCTGGCTTTCAAGTTTGTCTATGAAAATGTAACCAGAGCCATGAAAATTAACACAGGTCTCATAAACAATCTTTCAAGCCCACTGCTAGTGAATAGCCAGCTAATCTTTATATTTAAAGTCTAGCATACTTGGATATTTTTGCTTGCTATCAAGGTAGAACAGTTGAACTGTTATGAATACACCCTCCTGTCTGTCTCCAACTGTTTGAAGAACATAGCCTGTTCACTTTGTTTAGATGTTGAAATTAAGTGGCCTACCTGGATAAAAATATGCTTATTTCTCAGAATGAGAACGAGTTGCCAATTCCTTATACAAATGTATCTTTTTATGCTCATTGCACATTTCTAAAACAGACTAGACAGCTAGCATGTAACAGCCTAAGGCTAAAATGCTGCTAGCAGTACGTGGTACCGCAATGCGACAAACTGAGCATTTATTTTCCAAAATCATGTTAATTGATACTCCCGTCGAGTAGGGTCCACTCTGTTCTAAATTTTGTGAGTTAAGATATAAAAAGAGTACCGTTACAAAGGTTAAGTTCTTTCTATTACAGTAAAATAATGTCTCAATGTGGTTCTGTGTCCGTATGACCAATTTGTCGGACCAAACCTCAAATGCAGTGGTGTAAAGTACTTAAGTAGGACAGAAAAATTGTCCAATTCACGCACTTATCAAGAGAACATCCCTGGTCATCCCTACTGCCTCTGATCTAGCAGACTCACTAAACACACGTTTCGTTTGTCAATTATGTCCGAGTGTTGGAGTGTGCACCTGGCTATCCGTTAAAAAAATATATAAAAAGAAAATGGTGCCGTCTGGTTTACTTAATATAAGGAATTTGAAATGATTTTTACTTTTGATACTTAAGTATATTTAAAACCAAATACTTTGACTTTTACTCAAGTAGTATTTTACTGGGTGACTTTCATTTTCTATTAAGGTATCTTTACTTTTACTCAAGTATGACAATTGGGTACTTTTTCCACCACTGCTCAAATGCAAATAGCGAGTTGAAACTGCGTGTTGTCGTAGAGGAAGAAGTGATCTTTCGTCTCTTTGTTGTTGTGAGTGGCAGGGGGAGGGGCTTGGTGTCTGTGTGCTAGTGGGAAGATGCACAGTGCATACAGCACAGAAGGAGCAAAAGAGACATGACCAAAAAGACAAACACTCATAAAAAACGACAAAAATAATAATACTTGATTCTAGCGATACAGGCATTTAGAACATCGCGCTAAAACATACATTTGAATTAATTCGAATGAATTTCATATATCGCCCAGCCCTAGGTGAGTGTTATGAGCGGGGTGAGGGTGGTTTCACAGGGCTGGGTCAGTGCTGGGTTTAGCTTCTCTGGGACTTGGGAGGATAGAGCGACACACACACACCGCCTCACACACTATGTATTTACTTTTTCTTCTAAATTCTACGTGTGTGTGTGTGTGTCCAGGTCGGGAGACTCGACAGCCCGGATCTGGAACCTTATTGAGAACAGTAACAGCAGCTCCACCCAGCTGGTGCTCAGACACTGCATCAGGGAGGGAGGCCAGGACGTCCCCAGCAACAAAGACGTCACCTCACTAGACTGGAATGTGAGTTCTCAGTGGTCCATTCCATCCACGTCTACTGTATCTATTCTCACTTGACTGAAATGGTCTGGAACAGAACATTAGAAGCTGTCTACACTGAGGACAGTTAACTAACAGTTCTGTTTTACCCCACAGAGCGATGGGACACTCTTAGCAACAGGATCCTATGATGGATTTGCAAGGATATGGACAAAAGATGGTACGCCGAGTTTTGTTGCATTTTAATTCAATTATATTACAGTGCCCAATGCCCATTCTGATTCATATTGTTATCTATGCAGATACATTAAACTCTTGTCTTTCACAGGTAATCTGGCGAGCACCTTGGGCCAACATAAAGGGCCCATATTTGCGCTGAAGTGGAACAAGAAAGGAAACTGTATCCTCAGTGCTGGTGTAGATAAGGTATTTTTGATTGAATGCATCATGTCACTCATGTAGCAATCAATTAATATTCATTCAAGAATGCTGACAGAATGTTTTTGTATACCGCCCAACAATGTTCCCTCTAATTTTTTTTGGGCTCTGAGCAAATTTCAGGTCTGATGAGCGCAAACTTGAACGTTGTGAAAATTCTGTGCAACTTCCGGCGTGCGTTTACTGTGAACACTGAGGCTGTATCCTCTTTCATTTACTGTTTTAACAGTGGCCAAGTAGGCTACTGTGGCTATTTGATCATAATGTGGTCCTCTGTAGCTCAGCTGGTAGAGCACGGCGCTTGTAATGCCAGGGTAGTGGGTTCGATCCCCGGGACCACCCATACACAAAAATGTATGCACGCATGACTGTAAGTCGCTTTGGATAAAAGCGTCTGCTAAATGGCATATTATTATTATTATTATTATTATTATTATTATTATTATTATTATTATTATTATTACCAGAGTGGCCTACCATAAAAAACAATGGAGAAAATGCATCACATAACATTCAGCCTACAGTAGCAGCCAATGTGTGGTGTTCAATGTAGGCCTACATTCATGAGACCTTTGAAAAAAACATGCAGGGCTTGACATTAACCTGTTTATCCCACTTGTCCTTCAGACAAGGAGTTGACAGAACATTTAGTTGTGTTGTTTGATGCATTATTATTCCCATACCAATATTACAGAGAATCAGACAAATGATGTTAACCTCTGGCTACTGGCTACTTAGCTTATTCAAGCCTGTCTCAAAATACAACACTGCCCCTTTAAGACAGAAAAAAAGCTCTTTGCCTGACTCGCTTTTCAAAGATGGCTAGAAATGGTCACACTTTGTGCTCTTGTAGGAAGCAATCACTCCCACATTTCTGACTACAAATGAGCTATAACTGGGCTAATAACTCACCAACCAGCAAAGAATATGAACAAATGTGCACACGTTGTTACATGCAGCTCTCGCTTTGATCTCAAAACAAGCGCATAATAATCGCGACCGCTTATGCTGTAAAACAGCCCAGTTCAAAGCGAATGGTACAAATCCATATATGGCAATGGTCTATTTGCATATAGGCCTACTGCAGCTCTGATTGGTTATGGCGCACCGGTCTGTGTAGAGTATGGGCCTGAGTCATGCCTATCAATGCAATAGAATCCTACTCAGATGCGCTCTGCCTACAACAAAAGCACTTGCATAATTCGTTTTTCATACTAAGTCTTGCGTGGTTAGTTTTTATTTTCGGTATGTTGCATTGAAAGTGGCTAATATTGAGTTGATTCGATCACAATTCCCACAGTAAAGGGAAACGTTGATAGTGTTAACTAACAGGGAAAACTCTAGAAAGTTTAGTGAAGTTCAATCTCGTGCTTCTCTGCGTGGGCTGATATTTCTTCTGCGCAGCAGTCAGTCCCGGCGGAGCTACGTGCTCAGCTTAGAGGGAACATTGCTCCCTAATTGTCAAAAGTTTGTACTGTGTATTTGCTATGTATCTATTGTCATTTTCCAGACGACAATCATTTGGGATGCACACACAGGAGAGGCTAAGCAGCAGTTCCCCTTCCACTCAGGTAAGCCCCCTGTGTCCCGAACAGAAAGATGTAGGACTTCAGCTTCCCGGCTGATGTGAGTTAACCCTTTGCTAACCCTCCTGTCCCTGTGTGTTGCCTCCTACCCCCAGCTCCAGCCCTGGACGTGGACTGGCAGAACAACACAACGTTTGCCTCCTGCAGCACAGACATGTGCATCCACGTGTGTCGACTGGGCAGCGACCGGCCGCTCAAGACCTTCCAGGGCCACACGGTAAACAGACAGCGTCTACATCTTACACTACTGAGGACATAGTCACACTTAGGAATTCTCTACTGAATGTATTTGCCCCAACTTCTGAAGTTCTGTAAAGTAAACAGGATTATGGTGTGACTAGTGGAAGGAAGAGCAGAATGTCTTCTGTTGGTTCTCTACAAGTCTACGTGATATCTGCCAATGTGTGTTTCAGAATGAAGTCAACGCTATTAAGTGGGACCCGTCAGGGATGCTACTAGCCTCCTGCTCTGATGACATGACTTTAAAGGTAAGGCCAGTGCTTCTACTTCAGGCAAGATTCTGGACACACAATGAATTCCACCTCTTTCCTATGACCATGATCTATATGTCAATATAAGAATGTAATGATTACACGGTGTGTTTAAAGTGTGCTGTGCTCTTCCCCAGATCTGGAGTATGAAGCAGGATTCATGTGTCCATGACCTCCAAGCCCACAGTAAAGAGATCTACACAATCAAGTGGAGCCCCACCGGCACCAGCAACTCCAACTCCAACATCATGCTGGCTAGGTGGGACACACACACACACAGCCCATAAGCTTGTTCTGGGACAACGTTGTGATTTATTAGTTGAAAATGGGCAGTGTGTGTGCCAGTGAAGGGGTCTCTTGTCAAAAAGTGTCCCAGACATCCTCCCGGGTCTAGTAACTGTCAGTGGCCCAGGGACATAAAGCCTATGACCCAAACATGCATGCATGTTACAGTTCAAATACCACCGGTATTTACAACCTCTACTGGCATCCCCTGGGATGGGCCTATATTTCACTCTGGATGTAAAACTGCCATTAGTGCTATGACTTGTGAGGAACTTGATAGTTATGAGGTAAATGTGGCTATTGTACACCGAGATGTCCCCTGTAGCTCAGTTGGTAGAGCATGGCGCTTGCAACGCCAGGGTTGTGGGTTCGTTTCCCACGGGGGGCCAGTATGAAAATGTATGCACTCACTAACTGTAAGTCACTCTGGATAAGAGCGTCTGCTAAATGACTAAAATGTAAAAATGAGATACAGCTCCTGTCTGATCCTGTGATTTATTCAGTTCTTTCCCAACTTCTTTTTTAATTTAGTTTTAATCTCCATCTTTTGCTGTGTCTTTGTAAAGTGAGATTTGCAACCTAGCCAGATTGACTTACACTACCTAATAATACCATTTTGATGAGAAAGTGTTAATGAACGTCTTCTTCTCTTTTCATTAACACTTGCTTTCAACCGTGTCTCTCCTTTTGTGGTGACAGATGTTCACACCATCACCATGTCACTGATCCTACAAAATCACACGTCTTGTTTTGGCTCTGTGGATCAGCATTTTGAATGAGAGTTTGTGTCGAGCACCAAAGCAAACTTATTGACATGTTTCTTACATTTCATATCCTTCTTTCCATGTAGTGTTGTTGTCAACCTAAGGCTGGAAAAACTACCTTGTTGCTACTTTGTCATAAAGGTGTTAAATCACCTGTCAAACCCTGTAAATTACCATTAGTATGGAAAGATCAATGATAGCTTGTTGATATGAACATAAACTTAAACAAAGTTTTCATATATTTCAGTTACAGTACGTCTTTGCATGTAGTAGATGGAGAACTGACCATGTGCTATGCTGTACCCCTTAGTGCCTCGTTTGACTCGACGGTGCGTCTGTGGGACGTGGAACGAGGTGTGTGTATCCACACCCTGACTAAACACCAGGAGCCCGTCTACAGTGTGGCCTTCAGCCCCGACGGGAAGCACCTGGCCAGCGGCTCCTTCGACAAGTGTGTCCACATCTGGAACACCATGGTGAGTCACCCAGGCGGTCATAACAGTTTACAACAGTTAGTTAGTTGGTCATGGAAAACCCCTGGCCCCAATGCATGACCCAGACAATGAGATCAGTGATGTTGTAAGATCGAGCAAGCAACTATGGCCATCTAGCAGTCCTCACCAGAGTTGGTTGTGTTGTGGTTGCAGACTGGAGCCTTGGTGCATAGCTACAGGGGGACCGGAGGGATTTTCGAGGTGTGCTGGAACAGCACAGGAGACAAAGTTGGTGCTAGTGCTTCAGATGGATCGGTAAGTTGTCATATTTTAGTTGAATAGGATTATCATTTGTGTTTCAAGCTGTATATCATTTGTAATGATCTGTTTTCTTTCATTTATGCAAGTATTGTCTATCACACATTTTTGCATGTTAAAGGGATACTTTGGGATTTTGGCAATGAGTCCCTTTATCTACTTCTCCAGTCAGATGAACTTGCGGATACCATTTATATGTCTCTGTGTCCAGTATGAAGGAAGGTAGAGGTAGTTTCGTGAGCCAATGCTAACTAGCGTTAGTGCAATTACTGGAAGTCTATGAGCATCTACTAGTATGCTAGCAGATACCCATAGACTTCCAGTCATTGCGCTAACGGTAGTTAGCAATTGCGCTAGTGCTAGTTAGCAATTCCTTCAAACTGCACGCAGAGACATAAAAATGGTATCCACAAGTTAATCTGACTGGGGAAGTAGATAAAGGGCCTCATTGGCAAAATCCCAAAGTATCCCTTTAAACCAAAGTCATAAAAAGCAAAGCCCCTAATGCTTTAGTTTTCGGGACCAATGCTTTCAGAAGTGCATGGAGAGGAACCAAAATATTCAGAAGCATAATATGTACAGTGAGGGGAAAAAAGTATTTGATCCCCTGCTGATTTTGTACGTTTGCCCACTGACAAAGAAATGATCAGTCTATAATTTTAATGGTAGGTTTATTTGAACAGTGAGAGACAGAATAACAAAACAAAAATCCAGAAAAACGCATGTCAGAAATGTTATAAATTGATTTGCATTTTAATGAGGGAAATAAGTATTTGACCCCCTCTCAATCAGAAATATTTCTGGCTCCCAGGTGTCTTTTATACAGGTAACGAGCTGAGATTAGGAGCACAATCTTAAAGGGAGTGCTCCTAATCTCAGCTTGTTACCTGTATAAAAGACACCTGTCCACAAAAGCAATCAATCAATCAGATTCCAAACTCTCCACCATGGCCAAGACCAAAGAGCTCTCCAAGGATGTCAGGGACAAGATTGTAGACCTACACAAGGCTGGAATGGGCTACAAGACCATCGCCAAGCAGCTTGGTGAGAAGGTGACAACAGTTGGTGCGATTATTCGCAAATGGAATAAACGCAAAATAACTGTCAATCTCCCTCGGCCTGGGGCTCCATGCAAGATCTCACCTCGTGGAGTTGTAATGATCATGAGAACGGTGAGGAATCAGCCCAGAACTACACGGGAGGATCTTGTCATTGATCTCAAGGCAGCTGGGACCATAGTCACCAAGAAAACAATTGGTAACACACTACGCCGTGAAGGACCGAAATCCTGCAGCGCCCGCAAGGTCCCCCTGCTCAAGAAAGCACATATACAGGGCCGTCTGAAGTTTGCCAATGAACATCTGAATGATTCAGAGGAGAACTGGGTGAAAGTGTTGTGGTCAGATGAGACCAAAATCGAGCTCTTTGGCATCAACTCAACTCGCCTTGTTTGGAGGAGGAGGAATGCTGCCTATGACCCCAAGAACACCATCCCCACCGTCAAACATGGAGGTGGAAACATTATGCTTTGGGGGTGTTTTTCTGCTAAGGGGACAGGAAGACTTCACCGCATCAAAGGGACGATGGACAGGGCCATGTACCGTCAAATCTTGGGTGAGAACCTCCTATCCCTCAGCCAGGGCATTGAAAATGGGTCGTAGATGGGTATTCCAGCATGACAATGACCCAAAACACACAGCCAAGGCAACAAAGGAGTGGCTCAAGAAGAAGCACATTAAGGTCCTGGAGTGGCCTAGCCAGTCTCCAGATCTTAATCCCATAGAAAATCTGTGGAGGGAGCTGAAGGTTCGAGTTGCCAAACGTCAGCCTCGAAACCTTAATGACTTGGAGAAGATCTGCAAAGAGGAGTGGAACAAAATCCCTCCTGAGATGTGTGCAAACCTGGTGGCCAACTACAAGAAACGTCTGACCTCTGTGATTGCCAACAAGGGTTTTGCCACCAAGTACTAAGTCATGTTTTGCAGAGGGGTCAAATACTTATTTCCCTCATTAAAATGCAGATCAATTTATAACATTTTTGACATGCGTTTTTCTGGATTTTGTTGTTGTTATTCTGTCTCTCACTGTTCAAATAAACCTACCATTAAAATTATAGACTGATCATGTCTTTGTCAGTGGGCAAACGTACAAAATCAGCAGGGGATCAAATACTTTTTTTCCCTCACTGTATTATTAATCATGTTATCTTTGCCCTCCAGGTATGTGTTCTTGATCTCAGAAAATAGCATCCTGGCAGTGACTTTGAAGATGGACCCTGGAATGTGCGGCAAAAATGCCTTCAGCCATCAGCAAACACACTCTCATAGCTCAAAGCAGGCCTGACAACGTGGAGGAAATCCCCATAGGGCGGACACAGGAGACCTTTTAACTACCACAACCTACTTAATGGCAGAGGCAATCCTCAGTTTGTGGATTTGTCTCCTGTTTGAGACCACAAAGAACATTTGCTGGGTGAATCAATTTACAGGACTGGACTTAATCCAGTTTATTTTGTTCAGCCATGTTTTAAGAGGTGCCTAAAGAGGAAGTGAAATCATGACCTCCTTCGTGGCCAGCGGCCCTGCTGTTATCTGAATAGGGTCTGAATCATGAGGAAGAGGGTTTGTACAGGGAGAGGTGTGAGGAGATACAGACCAGTGTTTTGGGTGTGTTTGACATCAAATTGTGAGAGAAAGGTTGTGTTTTAGAATTTATCTAAGCACATGTTAGTCCTATGGTGTCCTGAGTTGAGAAACTATATGGGAGACATGAGGAGAGTGACATTGTTAGTGCTGCACTGGCATTCTCAAATGATGTGATGTTTAAATTGTCCTCTGTGGAGAATGGTTCCTGTTTAAAGAGCAGATTTTTCACAAATTGACTTCTGAAAGTCAGAGTTTAAAAAAAGGTGCCGCTATGAGGTAGTTCTGTGCTCGCATTTTAATAACATCAAGGTTTAAAAAAATCAATAAACTGCCAAGTTGAACTTTCTAAGTTTGAATGACATTTAATTCACTTTTTTTTTAAGATGCAAAAAGCGTGGTTTATAAGCATATATTCTCCCTTCTGGATGTACATTTAATGAATGTAAAGATATGTAAATTAGAAAAATACACAGACTTATATACTGTGTATATATGTTTATATACAGTACACTTTAACGTCATCTTCTAGACGCTCAATACTGGCTAAAGCGATCACATTTTCTTTGCTGATACTCAGTTCCAAGACCCTGACTCAATTTAATGCATGTCAGATAGATTTTTCTTTTGGCGCCATATGTTATTTTATAATGGCAATTATTTGTGTATCAGGTTGGTGTGTCAAGTCAGGTGGCGCTGAGGTGGACTGTAGTCATTTCACTGATGGCTCTTTACACTTTAAGCCATGGAGATCAGTGCCTCAACGTAACTGTGTGGACCATGGGTAATGATTAACGGGATAAAGATGGGATGTTACATTCTGTATGCTCTACCTGATTTGTCGTGGTTACCCCTGGCTCAGGTCTGGGATGTGAAACAGGACCTGTCTGTATTCAGCCCTAATGACAACCATTGAAATGGAAATCAGAACAGACAGAGAGCATGCTGACTGACCAGGAGAAGGATGCTGTGAACATTTGTATTATGTTGTCTTAATGTTGCTTTAGTAGCAAAGTGTCATCACTAGTCATCTACTGAGCTTTTCTAACAGTACTCCTCTGTTTGGCAGCGTGATCCTTCTGGTGGAAACCGAGGTTACATGCTGACTGATCAACCAGGCTCTGATTGGTCAAGTGGAAGTCCTGCTGTAGCTTCTAAGCTGTGATTGGTTGAGTTGGGTTGAGGTCCCGATGTTGCCACCGCCTGATCTAATTGGTCAGATTGGACTTATTATTTGACTTGCCTGTATGATGGATTTAGCTTTAATTGTGTGCAGTATGTCTACTTGTACTTATCGTGGTCAAACATGACAGTCTTTTCAAACTAACAAGCCACCACTTTGAGAATGCCTTTTTTTCTGGTCCCTTCTCTTTCTTTCAGTCAAGCTCATTTTTAGAGCACTTTTTCAGAACGTAGGCTCAGCTTTTGTTTGGATTTGTGCTGAAAGAGGAAGGCCAGCATTTTTTCATTTTAATTTTTTAATAATCGGGCGTTGATGTTTTTTGCTGAGAGCCAATATTGTCTGTGTCAGACTGAGAATCGGGCTGTGGTTGGTGGCCATCTTGACATGTTGAGAAGCCCAGTGTGGAATAAAGTGCTGTGACTGACAGCGATCTCTCTCCCACCCCAGTCTAGGGTATGGTCATCTGTTTCCAAGACTAAACAATGAAGTCACACTCAATGTCTCTAATAAATCACCATATTTTGATATGAGAAAACACAGTGTCCGTTTCTTGTATCGTTGGGTTCTTGTCACTTGTGCAGCAGAATGTATAGCATTATTATGATCATGTACATAATGGTGAAGTAGACAGTGTGTTAGTGTAGCACTGTAGGAGATATTTCATGTTATCATTTAGCTCATGATACATTAGCAAACTTGAAATGACAATGTACTGAAGCCCTGCTTCAATTTGGGTTAAAGATAACGCCACAAAACCTCAACAATTGCTCAATGTTTAATACTGTATAAAATAGTACAATGTAAAAAATGTAACGTTCAAAACCCTAACTACAAATTGTTTGCCTCTAAACAGCATCTCGGGTAAGATTCCCATTATTTTATGCTTTTTGGGGCTAGTTATGTGAACAAGGCATATGGGCATCTATACATGCTTCTGCAGTAATTAAAGCACAGTTAAAGGGCAGTAAATACAGATGTAAGATTAATTTGAGCCAGTTTGCTACAGCAGGAATATAATCCTGCAGCAACAGGAAATGTGAAATCTGTGGATTATAATTAATGGACATTTTTGTAGGGCTCTGTAGATTTTTCGTAAGGGAAAATCAAGTCTGAAGTGCAAATTACAAACTTCAGAAGTCTTTTTAAACCTCAAATACACTACGTTTAAACTTTCCCCCTCCAACAGGGTTATAAAATTAAGTAGGTTATATTGACTATCTGAACTGAACATGAGACACAGTGAGGTAGCCTTGGGGACTATTCCATTACTGTACAGGTGATAGTTCAATAATGTAACACCACACTGTCTTTTAGCAAATTGTGATTAAGAGGGCTGTGTGTGTTCAGTGCTGAGGCAAATTAACTGGCAAACCCTTTGGGTCCAGTCACGTATGGACACGGGGGAAATGAGGAGCAGACTGGCGACCAAATGTGTCATGTTCTGTGTCAACATCCAACATTTGTGCTACAGTAATTAAATGGCAATTCTTAAGAGCGAAAGAACTGAAATGGTACAGGTAGACAGATAATTTTTAACACTGCTGGTGGATCTAAAGAGTTGTCTATGAGTTGAATGTTTTCAAACAGAGGACAGGGACAGGGTCTAAAACTCGGTGAGGGAGAAACAAAAACAAGGTGCAGGAGAGTGGAGGCTGGCAGCAGGTGATGCAGCAGCTTGTAACTCCTCCTAGTGCCTTGCAGAACTTCCCAACGATTATCCATCTGCGTCTATATCCTCAGTCTTGGTGCTCAGTGGAAATGTGGATTTCAATTGTACTAGACTCTGAACCTAGCAAGACAAAATAGGGGATAAGGGAGATGACTGAGTTAAGGGGGTACATACAGTATATCCCTTCTCTTACACTTCAAATCAAAGTGCCTAAAATAAACACAAGTCCTCTGCTGCTGCTCTCTCTTCATTCAAGGCATGCACAACACCTTCATACAAATAGCATATCTGGCATATGTTTAAAATGATTGACAAATGTATTTTGGGAATTTTTGAATAGTTTAGACAAGACTGAAATTCAAATATATGTTTGAATCCTCTTGTTAAAGAAAACAAGGCCAACAATTTTCACCTCTATATTGAAACTTAATTCCCATGAGATAGAAGATCCTTGAAAGTCATAATGATTAACTTTTTTTTGTTGATTTTATAAATATGCAGGGCCATATTCATGAACAAGAAACACTAAAGCCTTGATAATTTATTTTTCTTAAGGGGTTTTTATTAAAAAGTAAGGATGACTGTCAGGGATCCTGAACATCAATCAAAAACATTCAATATCGGTGTACATCTTGAAATTGTGCACACAAACAACTCACTAAATCTGTTTAAATATTAGAAGATTTTAAATATTTGACATTATGGACTTAAAATATACAGCAGCACATCCCTGTTCAATACATGTTCTACTATACCACAAAAACAGAACAGTGCCTTCAGAAAGTATTCATACCCCTTGACTTATTCCACATTTTGAAATGTTACAGCCTGAATTCAAAATGGATTAAATATGTTTTTTCTCGCCCATCTACACATAATAGCCCATAATGACAAAGTGAAAACATGTTTTTACACTAGAAACACTATACAGTGCATTTGGAAAGTATTCAGACCCCTTGACTTTCTCCACATTTTGTTACGTTACAGCCTTATTCTAAAATGGTTTAAATAAAAATATATCCTCAATCTACACACAATACCCCTTAATGACAAAGCGAAAACAGGTTTTAAATTTTTTTTGCAAATGTATTAAACACAAAAAACAGATACCTTACTTGTATTCAGACCCTTTGCTATGAGACTCGAAACTGAGCTCAGGAGCATCCTGTTTCCATGTATCATCCTTCAGATGTTTCTACAACTTGATTGGAGTCAACCTGTGGTAAATTCAATTTATTGGACATGATTTGGAAAGGTCGAAGGAATTGTCCATAGAGCTCCGAGACAGGATTGTGTCGGGGCACAGGAAGGGTACCAAAACATGTCTGCAGCATTGAAGGTCCTCAAGAACATAGTGGCCTCCATCATTCTTAAATGGAATAAGTTTGGAACCACCAAGACTCTTCCTAGAGCTGGCCGCTCGGCCAAACTGAGCAATCGGGGGAGAAGGGCCTTGGTCAGGGAAGTGACCAAGAACCCGATGGTCACTCTGACAGCGCTCCAGAGTTTCTCTGTGGAGATGGGAGAACCTTCCAGAAGGACAACCATCTCTGCAGCTCTCCATCAATCAGGCCTTTATGGTAGAGTGGCCAGACGGAAGCTACTCCTTAGCAAATGGCACGACAGCCCTCTTGGAGTTTGCCAAAAGGCACCTTAAGGACTCTCAGACCATGCGAAAGAAGATTCTCTGGTCTGATGAAACCAAGATTGAACTCTTTGGCCTGAATGTCAAGTGTCACGTCTGGAGGAAACCTGGCACCATCCCTACGGTGAAGCATGGTGTTGGCAGCATCATGCTGTGGATATGTTTTTCAGCGGCAGGAACTGGGAGTCGAGTCAGGATCGAGGGAAAGATGAACGGAACAAAGTACAGAGAGATCTTTGATGAAAACCTGCTCCAGAGTGCTCAGGCCTCAGACTGGGGTGAAGATTCACCTTCCAACAGGACAATGACGCTAAGCACACAGCAAAGACAATGCAGGAGTTGCTTTGGGACAAGTCTCTGAACGTCCTTGAGTGGCCCAGCCAGAGCCCGGACTTGAAGCCGATCAAACATCTCAGGAGAGACCTAAAAATAGCTGTGCAGCGACTCTCCCCATCCATCCTGACAGAGCTTGAGAGGATCTGCAAAGAAGAATGGGAGAAACTCCCCAAATACAGGTGTGCCAAGAGATGGTTATAGCGCAGCTGGTGCTGACGAAGAAGACTAGCTCTTAGGAAACTTTGCAGTATTTTGTTTTTTTAATGTATTATTTTTTTACATTATTAGCTCAGAAAGTGTTTTGCATCATTACATACAGCCGGGAAAAACTATTGGATATCAGAGCGGCGGTAACTCACCAGCATTAAGACCAGGAATACAACTTTCCCGAAGCAGATCCTTTGTTTGCTCTCCCCAGGCAACTGAACTGATTCCAGCGGCTGACCCAAAACGTCGCCGGCGGAGGAGAGGCACTCGGAGCGGCCTGCTGGTTCGACTTAGGAGGCGCAAACACCACCCACCGCTTCCAAGTATTCTACTCGCTAATGTTCAGTCTTTGGTTAACAAGCTCAACGAACTACGGGAAAGGATTTCTTTCCAGAGCGACATCAAGGCCTGTAACATACTCTGTTTCACGGAAACATGGCTCTCTGGATATTCTGTTGAAATTGGTCCAGTCAGATGGGTTCTCAGTTCATCGAGCAGACAGGAATAAATATCTCTCCGGGAAGCAGAAGGGCGGAGGTGTTTTTCATGATTAACGACTCATGGTGTAATTGTAGTAACATACAGGAACTAGAGTCCTTCTGTTCACCCGACCTAGAATATCTCACAATCAAATGCCGACCGTATTCTCTCCCAAGATAATTTTATTTGGTTATAGTCACGGCCGTGTATATCCCCCCCTCAAGCCGATACCGCGACGGCCCTCAAAGAACTTCACTGGACCTTATGCAAACTGGAAACCACATATCCTGAGGCTGCATTTATTGTAGTCGGGGATTTTAACAAAGCAAATTTGAGGACTAGGCTGCCGAAGTTCTATCAACATATCGACTGTTGTACTCGCGCTGCTAAAGTCCTCGACCATTGCTATTCGAACTTCCGGGATGGTTATAAGGCCCTCCCCCGCCCTCCTTTCAGCAAATCTGACCACGACTCCATTTAGCTTCTCCCTTCCTATAGGCAGAAACTCAAAACAGGAAGTACCCGTGCTAAGGACTATTCAACGCTGGTCTGACCAATCGGAATCCACGCTTCAAGATTGTTTTGATCACGCGGACTGGGATATGTTCCAGGTAGCTTCCGAAAATAATTTTGACGTATACACTGTAACGGTGACTGAGTTTATCAGGAAGTGTATAGGTGATGTTGTGCCCACTGTGACTATTAAAACCTACCCTAACCAGAAACCGTGGATAGACGGAAGCATTCGCGCAAATCTGAAAGCGCGAACCACCGCATTCAACCATGGCAAGGTGACTGGGAATATGGCAGAATACAAACAGTGTAGCTACTCACTCCGCAAGGCAATTCAACTGGCAAAACATCAGTATAGAGACAAAGTGGAGTCGCAATTCAACGGCTCAGACACGAGACGTATGTGGCAGGTTCTACAGACAATCACGGACTACAAAAAGAAAACCAGCCACGTCGCCGACACCGACGTCTCGCTTCCAGACAAGCTAAACACCTTCTTTGCCCGCTTTGAGGATAACACAGTGCCAGTGATGAGGCCCACTACGAAGGACTGTGGCCTCTCCTTCTCTGTAGCCGACTTGATTAAGACATTTAAGCACATTAAACCCCGCAAGGCTGCCGGCCCAGACGGCATCCCTAGCCGCGTCCTCAGAGCATGCGCAGACCAGCTGGCTGGTGTGTTTATGGACATATTCAATCTCTCCCTTTCCCAGTCTGCTGTTCCCACATGCTTCAAGATGGCCACCATTGTTCCTGTACCCAAGAAAGCAAAGGTAACTGAACTAAATGACTATCGCCTTGTAGCACTCACCTCTGTCATCATGAAGTGCTTTGAGAGACTACTCAAGGATCATATCACCTCTACCTTACCTGTCACCCTAGACCCACTTCAATTTGCTTACCGCCCCAATAGATCCACAGACGATGCAATCGCCATCACACTGCCCTATCCCATCTGGACAAGAGGAATACCTATGTAAGAATGCTGTTCATTGACTATAGCTCAGCATTCAACACCATAGTACCCTCCAAGCTCATCAGTAAGCTTGAGGCCCTGGGTCTGAACCCCGCCCTGTGCAACTGGGTCCTGGACTTCCTGACGGGCCGCCCCCCAGGTGGTGAAGGTAGGAAACAACATAACTTCGCTGATCCTCAACACTTGGGCCCCACAAGGGTGCGTGCTCAGCCCCCTCCTGTACTCCCTGTTCACCCATGACTGCGTGGCCAAGCACACCTCCAACTCAATCATCAAGTTTGCAGACGACACAACAGTAGTAGGCTTGATTACCAACAATGACGAGACCGCCTACAGGGAGGAGGTGAGGGCTTTGGGAGTGTAGTGCCAGGAAAATAACCTCGCACTCAACATCAACAAAACAAAGGAGATGATTGTGGACTTCAGGAAACAGCAGAGGGTGCACCCCCCTATCCACATCGACGGGACCGCAGTGGAGAAGGTGGAAAGCTTGATCCCCTCCCTTCGGAGTCTGGGCCGCAGGGCAGTATTCCAACATGATAACGACCCCAAACACACCTCCAAGACGACCACTGCCTTGCTAAAGAAGCTGAGGGTAAAGGTGATCGACTGACCAAGCATGTCTCCAGACCTAAACCCTATTGAGCATCTGTGGGGCATCCTCAAACAGAAGGTGGAGGAGTGCAAGGTCTCTAACATCCACCAGCTCCGTGATGTCGTCATGGAGGAGTGGAAGAGGACTCCAGTGGCAACCTGTGAAGCTCTGGTGAACTCTATGCCCAAGAGAGTTGAGGCAGTGCTGAAAAATGATGGCGGCCACACAAAATATTGACACTTTGGGCCCAATTTGGACATTTTCACTTAGGAGTGTACTCACTTTTGTTGCCAGCGATTTAGACATTAATGGCTGTGTGTTGTGTTATTTTGAGGGGACAGCAAATGTACACTCTACTTTACATTGTAGCAAAGTGTCATTTCTTCAGTGTTGTCACATGAAAAGATATACTCAAATATTTATAAAAATGTGAGGGATGTACTCACATTTGTGAGATACTGTATGTATATATTCTTAAATCCCATTCCTCACTAGTTGTGTGTATTGGGTATATGTTGTGAAATTGTTAGATATTACTTGTTAGATATTACTGCACTGTCGGAGCTAGAAGCACAAACATTTTGCTACACCCGCTATAACATCTGCTAAACTCGTGTATGTGAGAAATACAATTTGATTTTGATTTAGCGTCATACCCAATAAGACTCGAGGCTGTAATCACTGCCAAAGGTGCTTCAACAAAGTACCTAGTAAAGGGTATTTCAGTTTTTTATTTGTAATACATTTGCAAAAACTTCTAAAAACCTGTTTTTGCTTTGTCATTAGGGGGTATTGTGTGTAGATCGAATAAGGAAGGGAACCTTTGCCTGGTGAGTGAGGCACATTCCCTATGAGTCTGAAGCCATCTATGACTTGATCTTGACATGATCTAAAACCAAACCTACGGTGGTATAATATGAAACGCACCAACAGCAGCTTTATTGGCAGCACCATGCACTGTAGAATCTAGATGATAATGATGACCAGTGTGGGTATTACAGGTTTCACCAGCCCTGATACGCTGGGGAGTTACTATTGGCATTTTCCCCGCTCGTCCACATATGCCCATTACCTTCTGATAGGACGCTGATGGTGTCTGAGGACGGCTGCCCATTGCCCTTGATGTTCTTGCCGGTCATGTTCTTGGCCTCCTGGATGTGGCTCTGGTAGAGCAGGGTGGAGCCCACGATGGGGTTGTAGCCCCCCACGTTAGCCGCCGAGGTGGAGGCTGAGTCCCAGGCCAGCTCCCTTCTCCTCTGCAGGCTGCAGTCCACGTCGAAGCCCGTCCAGCCATGGAAGGCCAACGTGTTGAGGAAGCCTGACATGGGGTTCAGGATTCCCTGGAAACAGTAGAACACAGAGACCCTCAGATATGAACAAACCTGAGCCTTCAGTGTAACACACTAACATTGGTGCTGGACAAGTTTGCTACACAAACAAAAGCTTTTGGCCAAGATTGAATCCATTTTCATTATAGTAAACAAAGTGAACCCACCATGATAAACCATGTGATGAGGGCTGTGTTTCGTATATTCTTCAGGTCACCGTCTTTTATGTCCATCTGCATCTCCAGGTAAAACAGCAGGCTCTCATTGATGATGTTGGGAAGCCAGCTGAAAAGTGGGAATCATGATACAGGTATTGTACATTAATGTCAGGAAAGCATACTGAACGTCAATACTTTTTAAAGGGATTTGTCAACAGATCTATTGTCGATTAGAGAATGAGTAGTGGTCTGATACTCGTTAAATGTTGAACATGGAGGAAACCTCTTCTACTGAGGCTTATTTTGTATTATGCAAATGAGTTTTGCCAGTTATTCCATTTGGAAACTTGGGTCTTCATAATGTTCTGAAAGTGTTTTTTAGAAATACATGGATTTACACTACAGCATTATAAGTATGACCTCTCTGAGGAAGGTCATGGGCTTTATGAAAGACGGTCAGGAAGGACAGTTGCCTTAATCAAATTTAAGGTGACTTTGTTGCCAAGAGCTGTAATATAGATTCCTCCATAACCATTTAACTTGCCATTAAGCTATTTGCATGCTGTTTGGCTAACAATACAACAGAACACAACACAACAGAACACAATACGACAGAACACAATACGACAGAACCAAGGAGAAACTGTATAGACTGCATACTGTGTATACCACAATGAAATGCAATATTCTGGTCTTACCAAATAAAGAAGACCAGCATGATTTTGAAGAAGCGTATTTTTATCTCTGTTCCCAGGCGTCTCTCGTTTTCTGTGTAGATCCCTTGTCGTCCCTTCAATAATGCTGTCACTGAATGGAAAATACAAATGTTCACTTTTTACTTTCTTTCTATTTTTATGATCATCACAAAACATTTATTTTGAAAAATAATAGCTATGAAAGATTAAACCGTTCAGAGATAAAATCACATTTCTGTAGGCCTTTACAGTTCAACAATAGAGATGTTAGTATTTATCTCTGTATGGAATATCTGATATGAGTGTGCTGGGCCCTGGTCAAAAGTAGTGCACTAAATAAGAAATAGGGTGCCATTTGGGAAGCATCTTGCTTGTCCAGGGCTCTGTATCATAAAGAGCTAGCTGGGGCTGGAGGGGCAGGGTGAACTGACCTGCAGACACAGTCCTGGCGAACAGTGTAGGGTTGACTATAAGCACCAGCAGTAGAGGAGCGTAGGTAGTGATGTAGTGAGGAATGGCATGCTGCAGGCCATTCTCACAGCTGCAACACGAGAGAGCACACTGAGAGAAACGCACTACACATCACACGACCATGCACGTATCCTCCATGCAGGGAGGAAGGATCACAGGAGAAGCAGTACAGAGAGATGTTGGGTTTGCACACCACAATCCTCAGTTATTTAACTACAATATGGCAATTGACTGCCAGCACTGCACAGGTCTTGGAATGCACAGAAAACTGGTCTAACATCAAGGACAAAAGCGAAACATTGTGTTATTCACTGTATTCTCACTGCACAGAAAATAACAACCCACACCAGTTAGCACAATATCATACATTCCTTATCATCATGTATCCTGAGACAACGCTCACTCATCCCAGTATGTTGACAGTCAGCAGTAAAGTAAACAGTCACAAGTCTAAATTTTCAGTGCATTTCACGACAACACAAACGTGATGTAACAGACACAGCCAACCCACTGGGCATGACATTGAACCAACGTGAAATAGACGTTGAATTGACGCCTGTGCCCAGTGGGAAGCTGTTGACATACCTGGAGATGGATGGGTAGTAAAGCATAGCCACACCCTCCAAACACAGCAACACGGCCAGACCCCATGTGATCATGTGATAGAGGATGATGGTACTGATGGAACAACAAGACACACATCAAATGTCATCAGCCAGGCAGAGCTTTCAACAGACACACACATAGTATACTGCACACAATATTTCACTGATTACATATGAGATACACAGTAAAGCCCTGAGATAAGTGGTATCAGAATTGAAGAGCAGATGTACACATCCGCTGCCTAATGGAAGTGGCATATCATTAGGCCTGTATTAATAATTCAACACAATATTTGTTTTTGCACTACATCAGAGGCTGTGGTACTTTTCCCCAACTGGAAAGACAGGAGTTTTATATTGAGGAGTTGTAGCTATATTATATTGAAAGACTACAGATTGATGATAGCGCACATCAGAGGCTGTAGTACTTTCCCCCAACTGGAGATATAGTCAAGTGTTTTATGTCTACACTATATTGAGAGAAAACAGATTTGATATAGAAGTGATATAGCAATTTGTAAGTCGCTCTGGATAAGAGCGTCTGCTAAATGACGTAAATGTAAATAGCAGAATGTGATAGATAGCAGGAGGAGAGTATAGTCTACCTGATTCCTGCAGATCTTTTGACCACCAGGAAGACGTCCACAGCGTAACAGAAGGTCCACCAGAAGGATGCACTGAAGAACAGCTGGATCCACATCTGGGGAACACAAAACCAGACTCAACATCAGAACAACACACTATATATAAACAATACTTCAACAAGAAATCATACATGATTATAAACAGAGTATAGAATCTCTCCTGAATAAGTAACTTGATGTAACTAATGTAGGTATAATCTATTTTATTTCAAATATGCCTATGTACAGTTGAAGTCGGAAGTTTACATAAACCTTAGCCAAATACATTTAAACTCAGTTTTTCACAATTCCTGACATTTAATCATAGTAAAGATTCCCTGTCTTAGGTCAGTTAGGATAACCACTTTATTTTAAGAATGTGAAATGTCAGAATAATAGTGGGTCAGAAGTTTACATACACTCAATTAGTATTTGGTAGCATTGCCTTTAAATTGTTTAACTTGGGTCAAACGTTTTGGGTAGCCTTCCACAAGCTTCCCACAATAAGTTGGGTGAATTTTGGCCCATTCCTCCTGACAGAGCTGGTGTAACTGAGTCAGGTTTGTAGGCCTCCTTGCTCACAGACACTTTTTCAGTTCTGCCCACACATTTTCTATAGGATTGAGGTCAGGGCTTTGTGATGGCCAATCCAATACCTTGACTTTGTTGTCCTTAAGCCATTTTGCCAGAACTTTGGAAGTATGCTTGGGGTCATTGTCCATTTGGAAGACCATTTCCGACCAAGCTTTAACTTCCTGACTGATGTCTTGAGATGTTGCTTCAATATATCCATAATCTTCCTTCCTCATGATGCCATCTATTTTGTGAAGTGCACCAGTCCCTCCTGCAGCAAAGCACCCCCACAGCATGATGCTGCCACCCCCGTGCTTCACGGTTGGGATGGTGTTATTCGGCTTGCAAGCCACCCCCTTTTTTTCTACAAACATAACGATGGTCATTATGGCCAAACAGTTTTATTTTTGTTTCATCAGACCAGAGGACATTTCTCAAAAAAGTACGATCTTTGTCCCCATGTGCAGTTGCAAACCGTAGTCTGGCTTCTTTATGGCGGTTTTGGAGCAGTGGCTTCTTCCTTGCTGAGCGACCTTTCAGGTTATGTCGATATAGGACTAATTTTACTGTGGATATAGATACTTTTGTACCTGTTTCCTCCAGCATCTTCACAAGGTCCTTTGCTGTTGTTCTGGGATTGATTTGCACTTTTCACACCAAAGTACGTTCATCTCTAGGAGACAGAATGTGTCTCCTTCCTGAGCGGTATGACGGCTGCGTGGTCCCATGGTGTTTATACTTGCAACTATTGTTTGTACAGATGAACGTGGTACCTTCAGGCGTTTGGAAATTTCTCCCAAGGATGAACCAGACTTGTGGAGGTCTACAATTTTTTTTCTGAGGTCTTGGCTGATTTCTTTTGATTTTCTCATGATGTCAAGCAAAGAGGCACTGAGTTTGAAGGTAGGCCTTGAAATACATCCACAGGTACACCTCCAATTGACTCAAATTATGTCAATTAGCCTATCAGAAGCTTCTAAAGCCATGACATCATTTTCTGGAATTTTCCAAGCTGTTTAAAGGCACAGTCAACTTAGTGTATGTAAACTTCTGACCTACTGGAATTGTGATACAGTGAATTATAAGTGAAATAATCTGTCTGTAAACAATTGTTGGAAAGATCACTTGTGTCATTCACAAAGTAGATGTCCTAACTGACTTGCCAAAACTATAGTTTGTTAACAAGAAATGTGTGGAGTGGTTGAAAAACGAGTTTTAATGACTCCAACATAAGTGTATGTAAACTTCCGACTTCAACTGTATTCTTGACCATCTCTGCAAGTGTCTGTCAGTGTGTTCAAGCCCAAAAACTGGATCAAGGTTGTTAAATGCTCCCTGCAGAGTAATTTACTTATTCAGGGAATTTCACATGCTCTAAATAAAGGTGTTGGTTCAACACGCCTGACTCTCCTCAACACACTCTGCTGTGTGCAATGAGATGGTTGTTATATTCGTGCCGTGAAAGGAGAGGTTCTTCTTTGTCTGAAAGCAATGGCTAGCTAGTTTGCTAACTATTCTAGCTAGCTAACTAACTAGCTATTAGCAACGGTATAGTTGTTTCACGCCTGAGAGTGCCTGTTATTACGCCAGCTGGCTGCCTACAATAATCACATACAATAATTGCCTACCATTCAGCTGTTTTCTAACCTCCTTGTCTGAACCGTTAACGTTAGGTAGCAAGTGGCTACTGTGCTTGAAAATTAGCAAGCTTGTTGCAACCTGGATAGCTACTTGTAAACAATAGCTGGAACGACCGAGCGAACAGACGCGAACTGGCTGAGTCAATTCAGTGGCTAGCTTTGCACTTGGCTAGCTAATAGTAGCTGCTAGGGGTAAGTCATAACCTACACTTGTGTTTTGTTTTTTACATATTGATAGCCCGAGTCGCTCAAGCAATTCGGGACATGGGTAACTAGCTAACGTTAGTTTGGCTCTCTCTGTGTGTTCGTGCCGTGTGTTATGACGAGGTGCCCGGACGTTTTTCACGGAATAATACTGCACCTAGTTAGCTAGCTGAATAAACTAGGTTAGTCTATTCCTAGAAAACATTGAACCGCTGTAGTTTACAACAATTATAGTTTCTGAGGTGGAAGTTGGGAGAGTTATATTTGGGAGTTGTGGCTCTCTCCTTTCCCAGATGTTTAGTTCATTTTATTCCGATCTCCTCTGCATTATTGTAGCCATCTGCTGCAGCCTGTCAATTATGCCTCTGCCTATCCCTGTTCTCTCCTCTCCGCACAGGCTACACAAACGCCTCACACCGCGTGGCTGCTGCCTCTCTAACCTGGTGGTCCCTGCACGCACGACCCATGTGGAGTTCCAGGTCTCAGGCAGCCTCTGGAACTGCCGTTCTGCTGCCAACAAGGCAGACTTCATCCCAGCCTATGCTACCCTCCAGTCCCTCGACTTCTTGGCGCTGACGGAAACATGGATTACCACTGAAAACACTGCTACTCCTGCTGCTCTCTCCTCGTCTGACCATGTGTTCTCGCATACCCCGAGAGCATCTGGTCAGCGGGGTGGTGGCACAGGAATCCTCATCTCTCCCAAGTGGACATTCTCAATTTTTCCCCTAACCCATCTGTCTATCTCCTCATTTGAATTCCATGCTGTCACAGTCACTAGCCCATTTAAGCTTAATATCCTTGTCATCTATCGCCCTCCAGGTTCCCTTGGAGAGTTCATCAATGAGCTTGACGCCTTGATAAGTTCCTTTCCTGAGGATGGCTCACCCCTCACAGTTCTGGGGGATTTCAACCTCCCTACGTCTACATTTGACTCATTTCTCTCTGCCTCCTTCTTTCCACTCCTCTCCTCTTTTGACCTCATCCTCTCACCATCCCCCCCTACTCACAAGGCAGGCAATATGCTTGACCACATCTTTACTAGATGCTGTTCTTCTACTAATCTCACTGCAACTCCCCTCCAAGTCTCTGACCACTACTTTGTATCCTTTTCTCTCTCCCTCTCCTCCAACACTACTCACTCTGCCCCTACACAGATGGTAATGCGCCGTCGCAACCTTCGCTCTCTCTCTCCCGCTACTCTCTCCTCTTCCATCCTATCATCTCTTCCCTCCGCTCAATCCTTCTCCCTCCAATCTCCTGATTCTGCCTCCTCAACCCTCCTCTCCTCCCTTTCTGCATCCTTTGACTCTCTATGTCCCCTATCCCCCCGGCCGGCTCGGTCCTCCCCTCCAGCTTCGTGGCTTGATGACTCATTGTGAGCTCACAGAACAGAGCTCCGGGCAGCTGAGTGGAAATGGAAGAAAACTAGACTCCCTGCAGACCTGGCATCTTTTCACTCCCTCCTCTCTACATTTTCTTCATCTGTTTCTGCTGCTAAGGCCACTTTCTACCACTCTAAATTCCAAGCATCCGCCTCTAACCCTAGGAAGCTCTTTGCCACATTCTCCTCCCTGCTGAATCCCCCCCCCCCCCCCCTCCCTCCTCCCTCTCTGTGGATGACTTCGTCAACCATTTTGAAAAGAAGGTTGACGACATCCGATCCTCGTTTGTTAAGTCAAATGACACTGCTGGTCCTGCTCACACTGCCCTACCCTATGCTTTGACTTCTTTCTCCCCTCTCTCTCCAGATAAAATCTTGCGACTTGTGACGGCAGGCCGCCCAACAACCTGCCCGCTTGACCCTATCCCCTCCTCTCTTCTCCAGACCATCTCCGGTGACCTTCTCCCTTACCTCACCTCGCTGATCAACTCATCCTTGACCGCTGGCTATGTCCCTTCCGTCTTCAAGAGAGCGAGAGTTGCACCCCTTCTCAAAAAACCAACACTCGATCCCTCTGATGTCAACAACTACAGACCAGTATCCCTTCTTTCTTTTCTCTCCAAAACTATTGAGCGTGCCGTCTTTAGCCAACTCTCTTGCTATCTCTCTCAGAATGACCTTCTTGATCCAAACCAGTCAGGTTTCAAGACTGGTCATTCAACTGAGACTGCTCTTCTCTGTGTCACAGAGGCTATCCGCACTGCTAAAGCTAACTCTCTCTCCTCTGCTCTTGTCCTTCTAGACCTGTCTGCTGCCTTTGATACTGTGAACCATCAGATCCTCCTCTCCACCCTCTCCGAGCTGGGCATCTCCGGCGCGGCTCACTCTTGGATTGCGTCCTACCTGACCGGTCGCTCCTACCAAGTGGCGTGGCGAGAAGCTGTCTCCGCACCACGTGCTCTCACCACTGGTGTCCCCCAGGGCTCAGTTCTAGGCCCTCTCCTATTCTCGCTATGGGTATAAGTCTATGGGTATCTGCTAGCATGCTACCTCTAACTTCCTTCATACTGGACAGAGACATAAAAATGGTATCCACATTTTCATCTGACTCTGGGGAAGTAGATAAAGGGCCTCATTGCCAAAATCCCGAAGTATCCCTTTAACCACCATTTTGTCATGCGAGTGACTGTTTCAAATGTAAGATCATATCGCCTGCTAGCCTGTTACTCCCAGTACTGTATATTTGTTTCCTCTGCCAGGTCAGACGGTTTTCTTGGTCAGGTCACATGGTCAGGAAAACATCTATCATACATACTGCACTGCCGACACAGAACACCTCTGGCCACACGTCGCTGTTGTTGGCCACATTGATCCCTCTGACAAGGTTGGGCAGGCCCAGCCAGATGGATGACCTCACTATGATACCTGGAGGAGACAAACACAACAAGACCTCTCAAAACATCTGACCATCTTATAAAGATCTGTTTTACAGGGCTCCTGACTGTATGGATGTCAATGAGTATCCATTGATGATACACTGAATAGACCTAAAAGAAGTGAAGGGTCAAACAAATGCAACATGGCTCAGATCATAGAAATAAAATAGAAGGGCATAATAAATAAAACATCTGTCTATTAAACAGTCATTTTTGTGAGGTGCAAAGTCAATGGAATTCATCATAGCATCAATCACACCTTACAGGGTGTTATAATGTTCAATCATTACTGGTTTCAATTAACACTGGAAACACATAATAAAGCTGTTGCTCATTTGGCTCAGGTGTTATTATACACTTTGTTAATGTGGTTCTGTCATGGAATCCTTTTTATTGCGGTTACATGTGTAATGCAAATACTAGAGACCTCAGTTGATGGTTTATAAGGGCTTTTCTGCTTCCTGCATCTGTTAGGGCTGCCCTGCTGCACTGTGCTATGACGCTTGATTGATTGATGTCTCATTGTGTCGACTTTCATGTGAGACCTATTAGCCTACAAATTGAGCAATATGCCTATTGCATAACTTGTGTTTCACTAGCTACAATATCTGGTTCCATTGTCATAGGCAATCTAAAATTGTACAGTAAAGTAGGGTGACACAATTACAAACTTGGTGTATGCCTACAACTTTGATTAAATTCTCCATCGTATAGACAGTGACGCATAAGGTGTTGACGAAATGTAACGGGACGTAGCCTTACCTGCACATCCCAGTATATCACATATGCTGATGATAAACAATATTCTCGACGAAGACGCTGGCTTTGGAAGAGGGTACTGTCCAATGCGTCTGTAACCCCTACGTTTGGGCAAAATTTGTAAAATGGAAAATATCAAACTTAAACTTGCGCTACCGATGCAAATGGCGCCAAAGAAGAGGGGCTGAAAAGTAATGACAAATTCGGTCGATGCGTCTCGGTTTGGGCAGCAGAACGTCTCCAGCCTTGGGGATGCCATCATGGACTCGATGGAAAGAAGCAGGCTACGGTGTCAGTGGAGAAAATTAAGGAAAATTAATTAATTTAGTCCGTGGCATGAGCTCTGTTTCAAGTGAAAATCACGGGTTGAATCATCATGTGCTTCTATTTAATCCTTCCAGTCAGGGCTTAACTGACCCACATTGTTAAGAGCCGACATAAGAATGTTGTAAAAAGGCGTAGGTTACATTTAGTTCAGTTCAATTTTTCCACTAAATTGTCCATGCCTCTATAATATTAAGTATACATTGCATTATGAGTGTGAGAAAACGTGGAAATTAGATTGTATCAATGTGTGTTCTGGAAAATACTGAATCATAGATTTAATAAATAGCAGATGCTGTAGTCCTAGCAGAAAAGATTAAATGCACAGTATGCAAACTTTTACCATTTCTACTACAACAATTGACCCAATAGTGATAATATGCAGTTGTTTGGAGTGGTTTGAATGTAGGTACGCTACATTAGGAAGTTGAAATACAGTAACAAAGGTACTAGGCCCTACCCTGTCCAGACATATACATTATTAGTAGCCTACTGTACAGCACCTGACCTGAGTAGCTAGGGGAGCTGCTACATTCCAGCAGGTGAACCGTTGTAGAAATGATTTGTGGATACAATGAATTTGCATTGATTACAGACAGGGCATTCAGTGGGTTTATAAATTTACATTTTAGTCATTTAGCAGACGCTCTTATCCAGAGCGACTTACAGTTAGTGAGTGCATACATTTTTCATACTGGCCCCCGGTGGGAATCGAACCCACAACCCTGGCGTTGCAAGCGCCATGCTCTACCAACTGAGCTACAATGGTATTCTAATCTATGCACCTTCTCTGACAAGGCACAAAGTAATGTGTGTGTTAGGTTTACAGTGTAAGGGATTATATCAACATAATAGTGAATAGTAGGCTATTATGATTTTAGATTGTTGCAGCTCTCTCCCTTCTCTTTCATTATCTTGCACTGAACAAATCTAACTGCTACTGCCATCTGGTGGTGGATAAAATAACTTATATAGAGAATGTTTTCATTTGGACTGTCCTTGGGATAGAGAATCACCTTGTCGCATGCATGAAGAATGTATGTCACAGAATGTGCATGCAAAGGAGTGCCTAATGTCAATGTGGGGTAGCAATTCTGGGGTATTTAAAAATCAACTAACATGTGGATGATTAGTTTATTCTCATTGGCGGATCTCATGGCGGACCGGATGCAAGTGTACCTATGCCAGACAATGCAGTAAGTAAGTAAGTCTTTCTGGCGTGTTTCCTCTGGAAGACAACAGCTTATCCTCCAAATGGAAAAAGTAAGGAGCATAAATTGGTTTCTGGCAAATAACTCTCTCTGGCAAATCTCAATGAGCCTGGAATTCCTCCTTGTAAAGTTTAGGCATTTATAAGCCTATCCAGCCAGCTTTTTGAAATTAATTTCTTTCCAAAAATAGATTGGATTTTTGGAAACTTGCATGTAACTCTGTCTACAGCTGATGAATGACCAGGCATGGAAAAGTCCTCCACTTGAAGCATGGCTTTACAGTTTGTATCCAAGACTCAGAGGGAAAAGTGTCAGTCAGGATGTTGACACAATTACCCAAACTACAAAAAGAAACGTGTCCCTGCACATCTCCTATGTATCTCTATCTTTCTTTCTCAAGCCCCCTCCTTCCCTCTTTCCCTCCCTCTTTAGCTGGAGGTGATGGGTGTGGGCTGTCTGTGATGACAGTGTCAAGTTACAGACCTGCTCAACAGGATTCTACTCACTCTCTCTGCCCCACCATTGGTTCTAATGAACACCATGTGCAAGCCCAGCAATGCATTCAAAACCACTTCCTGCATGGCAGGGGAAATTACATCACAGGCTCTAAGTTGGGATGTGATGCCGAAATCACCCAAAAAACAGTTCAGGAACAGACAGGTACAGATAAGTTTGACACCAGCGACAGCTCAAAGTCCAGTTGCTTATGTTACAAAACCGATGGTGCAAGACAGACTACTAGACTGCTATTTGATTTGGGGAACTCTATAGGTCAACAATGAGACAGGCTACAGGACACAGCAGTGACAACCCGAGGAACAATGCAACCCAGACTGGATCTGTTGTTTTTATCTCTAACCCTTTGATGACTGGTGAGTAGACTGCTTGGTGCAATACGCTAAAAGTTTCCACTTGTCAATATCCATGCTTTGGCCAATGAATGTCTGTATATGTGAATGATCCTATGATTGTTGTTCTTCTCTTGTAAGATATTGAGTCAGATTGGTCCCCCATTCATGATGCAGCCTACAATGGACGTGTTCTCACACTGAGAAACCTAATAGCTCAGGTAAGGAAGGCACACCCGGACCCACAGGGCACAGACGTCAATTCAACGTTTATTCCCCGTTGGTTCAATGTAATTTCATTGAAATGACATGGAAACAATGTTGATTCAACCAGTGTGTGCCCAGTGGGTCTGTATTATGCAAGCTCATGCCTGCAGGCTTTAGTGTAACTGCTATTTGTTATTTCTGTTAATAAAGTAACAATAGCCTTACCATAGTCTGCAGAATGGGACTGTAGATGGAATGCGTCACTTAAGCACAGTATTATTCAAGGGACAGCTTATCACACTGAACATTCAAAGCAATTTCAATATGGAGAAATGTCTGTCTATTGTTGGCAGAGGGAATAGGATTGTTTTTTTGTGTGTGTGTCATTTTTCAATCCTCTTCACAGGGAACGTGTGTCAACCTGGCCACTCTAGACAGATTCTCTCCCCTTCATGGAGCATGTCTTCAGGGACACACTGATTGTGCCAGGTTACTGATAGAAAATGGTGCAAATGTGAGTAAGGAATTAAACTCTATCTGCACCACCTCTGATTTGGGCGGATTTTAAGACTCACACAGCACAAAGCTGTATACATTATTTACATGATTATGATTCAATTTGAATGTAGAACAAGCACAGGCCAAATACAGGCAGACCCCTCTGAATATGGGTCATAAATGTGTCTGTGAAGTTATTAGGCGATTAACCACACGCATTCCTTGTCACTTTAATATTACTAGCACAAATCTCTAGACAACAATACCTCAACTGTACGCTGAGTGAGTGTAAAGTCACCTTTCAATTGCTACTGAATCTGAGTGTAACAATTTATTTAACTGTTGAATAGTCTATATTTTAGTTTTTAAAAAGCACTGAGCGAAAATGGAAAATCAACAACATAGCTCAGGCAATAGGAAGCTCGCTCAACCATTTATATGCAGATGATACAGTCTTATACTCAGCTGGCCCCTCCCCAGTAGTCACCTCATACAAGTACTTGGGAGTATGGCTAGACAGTACACTGTCCTTCTCTCAGCACATATCCAAGCTGCAGGCTAAGGTTAAATCTAGACTTGGTTTCCTCTATCGCAGTGGTGGAAAGTACTTAAGTAAAAATACTTTAAAGTACTACTTAAGTAGTTTTTTGGGGTATCTGTACTTTACTATTTATATATTATCATCCCTACTGCCTCTGATTTGGCGGACTCACTAAACACAAATGCTTCGTATGTAAATTAGGTCTGGGTGTTGGAATCTGCCCCTGGCTGTCCATTAAAAAACTGGGCCTTTTGGTTTGCTTAACATAAGCAATTTGAAATTGTTTCTACCATTACTTTTGATACTTAAGTATATTTTTGTAATTACATTTACTTTTGATACTTAAGTATATTTAAAACCAAAAACGTTTAGACTTTTACTCAAGTAGTACTTTACTGGATTACTTTCACTTTTACTTGAGTCATTTTCTATTAGGGTATCTTTAGTTTTACTCAAGTATGTCAATTGGGTACTTTTTCCACCACTGCTCTATCGTAATCGCTCCTCTTTCACCCCAGCTGGCAAACTAACCCTGATTCAGATTACCATCATACCCATGCTAGATTACGGAGACTTAATTTATAGATGGGCAGGGAAGGGTGCTCTCAAGCGGCTAGATGTTCTTTACCATTCGGCCATCAGATTTGCCACCAATGCTCCTTATAGGACACATCACTGCACTCTATACTCATCTGTAAACTGGCCATCTCTGAATACATTTTTACATTTTAGTCATTTAGCAGACGCTCTTATCCAGAGCAACTTACAGTTAGTGAGTGCAGACATTTTTCATACATATAGAATACCCGTCGCAAGACCCACTGGTTGATGCTTATTTATAAAAGCCTCTTAAACCTCACTCCATTCATCTGAGATACCCACATTCAACCCCCATCTTCCACAAACAACACCCGTTCTGCCAGTCACATTCTGTTAAAGGTCCCCAAAGCACACACATCCCTGAGCTGCTCCGTTTTTCAGTTCGCTGTAGCTAGCGACTGGAACAAGCTGCAAAAACCACTCAAACTGGACAGTTTTATCTCCATTTCAACTTTCAAAGATTATCATGGACACACTTACTGACACTTGTGGCTGCTTTACTTGATGTATTGTTGTCTCTACCTTTTTGCCCTTCGTGCTGTTGTCTGTGCCTAACAATGTTTGTACCATATTTGTGCTGCTACCATGTTGTGTTGCTACCGTGTTGTTGCTCTTGGTAGGCCATCATTGTAAATAAGAATTTGTTCTTAATTGACTTGCATAGTTAAATAAAGGTAAAAAATATATATACACTGAACAAAAATATAAACGGAACATGCAACAATTTCAAAGATTTTACTGAGTTACAGTTCATATAAGGAAATCAGTCATTTGAAATAAATAAAATAGTCCCTAATCTATGGATTTCACATGACTGGGAATACAGAAAAAAAAGTAGGGGCATGAATCACAAAACCAGTCAGTATCTGGTGTGACCACCATTTGCCTCATGCAGCGCGGAACATCTCCTTCGCATAGAGTTGATCAGGCTGTTGATTGTGGCCTGTGGAATGTTGTCCCACTCCTCTTTAATGGCTGTGCGAAGTTGCTGGATATTAGCGGGAACTGGAACACGCTGTCGTACACGTCGATCCAGAGCATCCCAAACATGCTCAATGGGTGACATGTCTGGTGAGTATGCAGGCCATGGAAGAACTGGGACATTTTCAGCTTCCAGGAATTGTGTACAGATCCTTGCGACATGGGGCTGTGCATTATCATGCTGAAACATGAGGTGATGTCGGTGGATGAATGGCACGACAATGGGCCTCAGATCTTGTCATGGTATCTCTGTGCTTTCAAATTGCCATCAATGAAATGCAATTGTATTCGTTGTCCGTAGCTTATGCCTGCCCATACCATTACCCCACCGCCACCATGGGGCACTCTGTTCACAACGTTGACATCAGCAAACTGCTCATCCACACAACGCCCTGCCATCTGCCCGGTACAGTTGTAACCAGGGTTAATCCGTGAAGAGCACACTTCTCCAGCATGCCAGTGGCCATCTAAGATGAGCATTTGCCCACTGAAGTCGTTCAAAATGCCGAACTGCAGTCAGGTCAAGACCTGGTGAGGACGACAAGCACACAGATGACCTTCCCTGAGACAGTTTCTGACAGTTTGTGCAGAAATTCTTCAGTACAAGTGGTCTGCGGTTAAGGCCGGTTGGACGTACTGCCAAATTCTCTAAAACAACGTTGGAAGCGGCTTATTAAATTCTCTGGCAACAGCTTTGGTGGACATTCCTGCAGTCAGCATGCCAATTGCACGCTGCCTCAATACTTGAGACATCTGTTGCATTGTGTTATGTGACAAAACGGCACATTTTAGAGTGGCCTTTTATTGACCTCAGAACAAGGCGCACTTGTGTAATGATCATCCTGTTTAATCAGCTTCTTGATATGCCACACCTGTCAGGTGGATTAATTATCTTGGAAAAGGAGAAATGCTCACTAACAGGGATGTAAACAAATTTGTGCACAACATTTGAGATGAATAAGCTTTTTGTGCAGATATAGAACATTTCTGGGATCTTTTATTTCAGCTCACGAAACATGGGACCAACACTTTATATACAGTGGGGGAAAAAAGTATTTAGTCAGCCACCAATTGTGCAAGTTCTCCAACTTAAAAAGATGAGAGAGGCCTGTAATTTTCATCATAGGTACATGTCAACTATCACAAAACAAAATTAGATTTTTTTTCTCCAGAAAATCACATTGTAGGATTTTTTATGAATTTATTTGCAAATTATGGTGGAAAATAAGTATTTGGTCAATAACAAAAGTTTCTCAATACTTTGTTATATACCCTTTGTTGGCAATGACACAGGTCAAACGTTTTCTGTAAGTCTTCACAAGGTTTTCACACACTGTTGCTGGTATTTTGGCCCATTCCTCCATGCAGATCTCCTCTAGAGCAGTGATGTTTTGGGGCTGTCGCTGGGCAACATGGACTTTCAACTCCCTCCAAAGATTTTCTATGGGGTTGAGATCTGGAGACTGGCTAGGCCACTCCAGGACCTTGAAATGCTTCTTACGAAGCCACTTCGTTGCCCGGGCGGTGTGTTTGGGATCATTGTCATGCTGAAAGACCCAGCCACGTTTCATCTTCAATGCCCTTGCTGATGGAAGGAGGTTTTCACTCAAAATCTCACGATACATGGCCCCATTCATTCTTTCCTTTACACGGATCAGTCGTCCTGGTCCCTTTGCAGAAAAACAGCCCCAAAGCATGATGTTTCCACCCTCATGCTTCACAGTAGGTATGGTGTTCTTTGGATGCAACTCAGCATTCTCTGTCCTCCAAACACGACGAGTTGAGTTTTTACCAAAAAGTTATATTTTGGTTTCATCTGACCATATGACATTCTCCCAATCCTCTTCTGGATCATCCAAATGCACTCTAGCAAACTTCAGACGGGCCTGGACATGTACTGGCTTAAGCAGGGGGACACGTCTGGCACTGCAGGATTTGAGTCCCTGGCGGCGTAGTGTGTTACTGATGGTAGGCTTTGTTACTTTGGTCCCAGCTCTCTGCAGGTCATTCACTAGGTCCCCCCGTGTGGTTCTGGGATTTTTGCTCACCGTTCTTGTGATCATTTTGTCCCCATGGGGTGAAATCTTGCGTGGAGCCCCAGATCGAGGGAGATTATCAGTGGTCTTGTATGTCTTCCATTTCCTAATAATTGCTCCCACAGTTATTTCTTCAAACCAAGCTGCTTAGCTATTGCTGATTTAGTCTTCCCAGCCTGGTGCAGGTCTACAATTTTGTTTCTGGTGTCCTTTGACAGCTCTTTGGTCTTGGCCATAGTGGAGTTTGGAGTGTGACTGTTTGAGGTTGTGGACAGGTGTCTTTTATACTGATAACAAGTTCAAACAGGTGCCATTAATACAGGTAACGAGTGGAGGACAGAGGAGCCCCTTAAAGAAGAAGTTACAGATCTGTGAGAGCCAGAAATCTTGCTTGTTTGTAGGTGACCAAATACTTATTTTCCACCATAATTTGCAAATAAATTCATTAAAAATCCTACAATGTGATTTTCTGGAAACATTTTTCTCAATTTGTCTGTCATAGTTGACGTGTACCTATGATGAAAATTACAGGCCTCTCTCATCTTTTTAAGTGGGAGAACTTGCACAATTGGTGGCTGACTAAATACTTTTTTTCCCCACTGTATATCCGTATAGGTGTGCAACTAGCATTCCCAGACACACTAATATACTTGGAATGTGACAAACAGTGGAGTGTTAACCTTCTCAGCAGGCTACCACCAGTATTTCTGTTGGTTTGTGTAGGATGGTAGAGGTATGTGGCAAGATATATTAGTATGTGGCAAGATATATATGTTGTTGTCTGCGGTACTAGGTGAATGTCCCCACGTTGGAGAAGACCACCCCTCTGTCGGAGGCCTGTGCCCGGGGCCACACTGCCTGTGTGACCCTGCTCCTCCAGCATGGAGCCTCAACCCAGGGATCCAGCCTCTCAGCCTCCCCCATCCACCAGGCCGCAGCCAAAGGTCAGGGGTCACATTCTTAGGGACAGACTCGGATAGATCCTCCATGGTTCATCAGCCAAGGCAGTAGCCATGTGATTCATTGAAGACTGCATTGCAGGAAAATCCCTGTAGGGATGACAAAATGGAGAAACAATACCATTATGCATGTTTTTCACATAGCTAAGGTTCTTATAGCTACAGCACTTTGACCGAGACAAAAGTCGAAACACGTCAGCTTTTATAAAATAAAAAAGAGCACCATGAACTCCATTTTTTGTTGTTATAGTTATTTATGGGAGATGTTGCAACCTTTCTTTTTTTGTAATACCTTGGAGCTACAGCACTTTGTTAAACCGTTGTCATGTTTTATATTTTTTTATGATAAAGTGTAATGAGATGTATCATTAAGTAAGCAGTTTTTCAAAGCAGATCCCACACACTGTTCTTTATTCCCTGATTATATCTCTGTCCAGGTCACCCAGAGTGCATTGAGTCTCTGGTTCATCACGGGGCAGATGTAGATCAGCACACTGACCAATCAGGCTCGCCGCTTTACACCGCCTGCACCAATCAGCATCTGAGTACTGTGAGGAAACTGCTTCAGCTTGGTATGAAAATGGAATCCCTTTAGTTTGTTGTTATTACGCAGAAAGGATGTATAGATAGATATAATCTGGATTAGACATTGACCAGTGTGCTTCTATCACAAGGTTCTCAAATATTATAATAAGAGTTATTTACAGTTTACACGTGGCCTGCAGTATATGATACCTTTTACCAAGGGAGCCACGGCACTCTCATGTGACATTTACTGTAGGCTACATACAAAATCCACACAATATCCACATATATACACTCTCTGTCAGGTGCTAGTGTGAACAGGAGTAAGGATGGGGACTCTCCTCTGCACGCGGCAGCCCGTCTGTCCAACCTTGAGCTGGTGTCTGTTCTCCTGGAGCACGGGGCTGACTGCAGCCGCAGAGACACACAGGGCAAGCAACCCCTGGACCTGGCCCCTCCCAACAGCCCCGTGGAGAAACTACTGGGCAACAAAGGAGGTAGCTAGACCCGTAATGGATCTATCTGATACACAACATTTTGGACAGAAGATTCTGTGGTGCTTTGAACTGCTGTTGTATACGTTGAGTTTAAACCCATCATGGATATGTTTGTGTTTGTGAAAGGATTCTTGGTTCTTGCATGATATATTAATAGATTTGCATAGTATTTACATTGTGCTTGTGTTATTTACAATATCAAACCCTGAGAACATATTTCTGTTATCTAAATGATGGCCGTTTCTCCTCTGATGGCTGACCAGGAGTGTCTCGTCTGATGCAGCTGTGCCGGCTGTCCATCAGGAAGGTTTTGGGAAAGGCCAGACTTATTTCAATCCATGGTCTTCAGATCCCCACAGAACTGAAGCAATACCTTCTGTACCAATCGGATCTATGGGGTACATCCATAAAATGAACATATTTTTTAAATGTTCTATCTCAATGCATTTCTACTTTCGGTCAGTAGGTGGCACCTTAGCACCAGCATCTGTGGAGAGAGGACTTAAAAACGTATTGTGAATGTTGATTAGTGGGATGGTTTGTGCCACATTATCAGATTTGTTCACATGAAAGATATGAGAAAGAAGAGAGAACTTTAGATTTTATGCATTCATAAATGAATTAATAAATATGTACTGTTACTTGAAAATTGGTGTGAATATTGCTCAATGTGAGATCATGAATGTTTACCAAATGAATGCCAAATTAACATAATTATTTTGGTTCAAACAATGCTTATGGATTTTAAATGCTTTAAATGTAAGTATCCATTCATGATAGCAACGTACACCCATAAATGTATTCATCTATCCATACAATTACATACTCTACTGGTCAAAAGTTTGGACACCTACTCATTCAAGGGTTTTTCTTTATTTTTACTATTTTTTACATTGTAGAATAATAGACAAGCCATCAAAACTATGAAATAACACATATGGAATCATGTAGTAACCAAAAAAGTGTTAAACAAATCAAAATATATTTTATATTTGAGATTCTTCAAATAGCCACCCTTTGCCTTGATGACAGCTTTGCACACACTTGGCATTCTCTCAACCAGCTTCATGAGGTAGTGACCTGGAATGCATTTCAATTAACAGGTGTGCCTTGTTAAAAGTTAATTTGTGGAATTTCTTTCCTTCTTAATACGTTTGAGCCAATCAGTTGTGTTGTGACAAGGTAGGGGCGGTATACTGTAGATAGCCCTATTTGGTCAAATACCAAGTCCATATTATGGCAAGAACAGCTCAAATAAGCAAAGAGAAACGACAGTCCATCATTACTTTAAGACATGAAGGTCAGTCACTCCGTAAAATGTCAAGAACTTTGAAAGTTTCTTCAAGTACAGTTGCAAAAAACATCAAGCGCTTTGATGAAACTGGCTCTCATGAGGACCGCCACAGGAAAGGAAGACCCAGAGTTACCTCTGCTGCAGAGGATAAGTTCATTAGAGTTACAAGCCTCAGAAATTGCAGCCCAAATAAATGCTTCACAGAGTTCAAGTCACAGACACATCTCAACATCAACTGTTCAGAGGGAACTGTGTGAATCAGGCCTTCATGGTCGAATTGCTGCAAAGAAACCATTACTAAACGACCCCAATAAAAATAAGAGACCTGCTTGGGCCAAGAAACACGAGCAATGGACATTAGACTGGTGGAAATTTGTCCTTTGGTCTGGAGTCCAAATTGGAGATTTTTGGTTCCAACCGTGGTGTCTTTGTGAGACGCGATGTGGGTGAACGGATGATTTCCGCATGTGTAGTTCCCACCGTAAAGCATGGAGGAGGAGGTGTTATGGTGTGGGGGTGCTTTGCTGGTGAAACTGTCTGTGATTTATTTAGAATTCAAGGCACACTTAACCAGCATGGCTACCACAGCATTCTGCAGCGATACGCCATCCCATCTGGTTTGGGCTTAGTGGGACTATCATTTGTTTTTCAACAGGACAATGACCCAACACACCTCCAGGCTGTGTAAGGGCTATTTCACCAAGAAGGAGAGTGATGGAGTGCTGCATCAGATGACCTGGCCTCCACAATCCCCCGACCTCAGCCCAATTGAGATGGTTTGGGATGAGTCAGATGGCAGAGTGAAGGAAAAGCAGCCAACAAGTGCTCAGCATATGTGGGAACTCCTTCAAGACTGTTGGAAAAGCATTCCAGGTGAAGCTGGTTGAGAGAATGCCAAGAGTGTGCAAAGCTGTCATCAAGGCAAAGGGTGGCTATTTGAAGAATCTCAAATATACAATATATTTGGATTTGTTTAACACTTGTTTGGTTAATACATGATTCCATTTCTGTTATTTCATAGTTTTGATGTCTTCACCATTATTCTACAATGTAGAATAAAGAATAACCCTTGAATGAGTAGGTGTGTCCAAACTTTTAACTGGTACTGTACAAAAGTTACATGTAAATATATAAGTAAATACACAGGTACATACATAGCTTAATATTATTTTATTTATTTTAATACATAGGTACACACACACACCATAATTAGAGAATAAAGGGTTTTCTCCTGAATAAATTGATATGTTATAGCATGATTACACTCTGGCTATTCCATTCCCCCTCAAATCAGCGTTCAATCAAGCCTTTGTGGAAGGAGATGCCGCCCCAGGGTCTTACCATTAATCAAGATAATCAAGACAAACTAAAGCCAATCACTGGGAGATAAATGGATGCTTGGAGACACTGTAAGAGGTGATACATTTAGCCAGAGTGATATATTGATTGCCTTCTCTCGCTTTTGTGCGGTCCACTATATTCCTCATAATAACCCAAGAGAGAACACTGGAGATTTTGAAACAAAAGGTAAATGTAGCTAATGAAGGATCCATCTCTGATATCTATTCTTCCAGTTTAGAATGTGGAAATTTGACTAGAATCCCAGACTAACGCTGCCTAGTAATATGGTTTCTGGGACAGTGTGGGGTAAACACCTTTATATTCCCCCTCTGAAAAACTATTATTTACAATACAGTAGGGTGGTCATTATTTGGTTATTTCATAACCAGATAAAACTCAAAAATACTATTGCAGCTTTGGATAGATACAGAGAGGAACATTATTTTCCATAATAATGGATACTATGATGACCACATTCATTCCAATTACTTCTTATGAACAATTGATTATGAAACAAGCCCCAGAGGAGGTGTCATTCATGTCTACGGCTCATGACAACCTGTCTGTTATCATGTCTCTTCTCCATGTCTATAACTGCTCCTGCCCCCCCCACCCCCCTCGCACCTAGGGCTCACTGTCCCCTGGCCTCACTGTCTGTCTATAAACTACCATCAGAGGCCTGTCTGACACACCACAGGGGGATTTAGGATATAGGTTTTAAGGCAGAGGGAGAGAAGTCAAGGAGGATGTCAAAGAGATGAGGCAGAGAATGACTAATGTATAGAGAATAAACACTCTCTCCATCTTTCTTGGTATTATACACTGCCGGATAATCAGAAAGGCTGAAAGAGGCAACAGGAGGTAATGTGCTGCCATGAACATAAAGATTTCCCTCTTCTGTGATGATACAGCAACAGCTGCTGAGCCACATCCAAGGCTTCTCATTATTCGCAATACTCATTACCTCTTCATCGATCCTCTCTCCCAGTTTGCTGCTTGAGGTAAATCATTGTCCCTTCAAACGTACAATGAGCATCTTGAGCCAGCCACTTGCATTGAGCCGGCCTTCGATTTACTGGTGCTTAATGTTAAATCAATATTGTTGAGGATATTGTGATTTCTGAGACTCCCTGGTCAGACCTATCGGACCCATGTAATTAGTGGCATCTGGGAAATCAAGAAAGAGGATTAGTCTGTCACAGGGGAGAGAAGACAGTCGTGTGGCTACACACTTTCAAACATCTAATGAACAACTTTCTCTACTGTAATGACTGAAAGTAATGCATTAGTGGTGGGAGCAGGTGGGATCCTGCCTGGGAGGATGCTCATATTGGGTTTTGGACCACCTTATGTAACCAACAGGATCAATCTGTCTCTGAGTGGATTCTGACAGAGACTTGGTCAGGTACTGAAGGAGGTATAGCTGCACTTAGAGCTTACCCACCTGCATTTGATGCTAAAGCTTTTACCTAAAGCCCCCTAGAGAACCTGGCACTCCATTTAGCCTCGTCCTCCTGCTAAATGCACAGGCACTTACTGCCTCAAATAGCTGCGAAAGCGATTTTCAGTGAGAGCAAAAATACAACAAATATTGCAAGTTTTACATCCAGTGCACACATTCTCCCAAAACGATCCAATGACTAATGCAAACAGTCCATTGATGCAGGGAGAGAGGTTTCTCGATCGTGTGGTGAAGACTCATACAGATGAACCCTTTAAGAGGAAAAGGAGAGTTCAAAACATCACAACATGTGAATGAGGAGAAACACGAGGTAGCTGAACGTGATGGCTAAAAGAAGAAAATGAAAAGGCTCCAACCAAAGCAAGACAAAAGCCAATGCACATGAAACACTGTCTTCAGTGACAGACCAAATATATAGCCACCAGACACCATATCGTTTTGAGGACAAAATGCAATCAACCACCAACAGCAGACCAGAAGGAGTATTTCTGTTTTTGTGGGGAAAAACTCATTCTGATTGGCTGGGCCTGGCTCCCAAGTGGGTGGGCCTATACACTCCCAAGCCCACCGATGGCTGCACGCCGGCCCAGTGATGGGAAATCCATAGATTAGGGCCTAATTAATGTATTTAAATTGACTGATTTACTGTAACTCAGCAAATTCTTAGAAATTGCTGCATGTTGCATTTCTATTTTTGTTCAGTATAATATTCTAAGTGTGATCCCCCTGCGCTGGCTCTGTGGTTGATTGCTCTGCACTGGATCTTGTTACAGATACCCAGTCTTCCCACTGAGCCCCGTGGGTTCTGCCATCTCCTCGTCCTCACCAGTAATTGCCTGGTATTTTTAGGTTGCCAGTGTAGGGTGATTAAAACAAATGGAGGGAGATAGCACAGACAGAGATCTCCCTGGGCTCCCCAGGGGTAAGTGGGGAGAGGTTTAGCGAGGTCACACACTCTGATATTTTTTCAATTAGGCACCCCTTCATAACGCTTTTATCAAAGAGGGAGGGAGGGTGGCAAGGATGGATCACGGACACGGTTAGACTGTTGATGTATACAGTGGGGGGAAAAAAGTATTTAGTCAGCCACCAATTGTGCAAGTTCTCCCACTTAAAAAGATGAGAGAGACCTGTAATTTTCATCATAGGTACACGTCAACTATGACAGACAAATTGAGGAAAAAAAATCCAGAAAATCACATTGTAGGATTTTTAATGAATTTATTTGCAAATTATGGTGGAAAATAAGTATTTGGTCACCTACAAACAAGCAAGATTTCTGGCTCTCACAGATCTGTAACTTCTTCTTTAAGAGGCTCCTCTGTCCTCCACTCGTTACCTGTATTAATGGCACCTGTTTGAACTTGTTATCAGTATAAAAGACACCTGTCCACAACCTCAAACAGTCACACTCCAAACTCCACTATGGCCAAGACCAAAGAGCTGTCAAAGGACACCAGAAACAAAATTGTAGACCTGCACCAGGCTGGGAAGACTGAATCTGCAATAGGTAAGCAGCTTGGTTTGAAGAAATCAACTGTGGGAGCAATTATTAGGAAATGGAAGACATACAAGACCACTGATAATCTCCCTCGATCTGGGGCTCCACGGAAGATCTCACACTGTGGGGTCAAAATGATCACAAGAACGGTGAGCAAAAATCCCAGAACCACACAGCGGGACCTAGTGAATGACCTGCAGAGAGCTGGGACCAAAGTAACAAAGCCTACCATCAGTAACACACTACGCCGCCAGGGACTCAAATCCTGCAGTGCCAGACGTGTCCCCCTGCTTAAGCCAGTACATGTCCAGGCCCGTCTGAAGTTTGCTAGAGTGCATTTGGATGATCCAGAAGAGGATTGGGAGAATGTCATATGGTCAGATGAAACCAAAATATAACTTTTTGGTAAAAACTCAACTCGTCGTGTTTGGAGGACAGAGAATGCTGAGTTGCATCCAAAGAACACCATACCTACTGTGAAGCATGGGGGTGGAAACATCATGCTTTGGGGCTGTTTTTCTGCAAAGGGACCAGGACGACTGATCCGTGTAAAGGAAAGAATGAATGGGGCCATGTATCATGAGATTTTGAGTGAAAACCTCCTTCCATCAGCAAGGGCATTGAAGATGAAACGTGGCTGGGTCTTTCAGCATGACAATGATCCCAAACACACCGCCCGGGCAACGAAGGAGTGGCTTCGTAAGAAGCATTTCAAGGTCCTGGAGTGGCCTAGCCAGTCTCCAGATCTCAACCCCATAGAAAATCTTTGGAGGGAGTTGAAAGTCCGTGTTGCCCAGCGACAGCCCCAAAACATCACTGCTCTAAAGGAGATCTGCATGGAGGAATGGGCCAAAATACCAGCAACAGTGTGTGAAAACCTTGTGAAGACTTACAGAAAACGTTTGACCTGTGTCATTGCCAACAAAGGGTATATAACAAAGTATTGAGAAACTTTTGTTATTGACCAAATACTTATTTTCCACCATAATTTGCAAATAAATTCATAAAAAATCCTACAATGTGATTTTCTGGATTTTTTTTCCTCATTTTGTCTGTCATAGTTGACGTGTACCTATGATGAAAATTACAGGCCTCTCTCATCTTTTTAAGTGGGAGAACTTGCACAATTGGTGGCTGACTAAATACTTTTTTCCCCCACTGTAATAAGGGTCAAAAGAGAGAGAGGTTTGAGGTCTGCTTCAGGACTGAGATGGTTATCTACTGTATCAGGATGGAGAAGCTCATGTTGGGTGATGCCTTGTTCATGCCAGACACTTATTTTAGCTATTTTATAAGCCAAACAAAATGCAATTGGTTTAAACAAAAAGTGCACGTTTATTCTTGACCGGATATGTTTATACTGTATATATTTAAATTGAAATGTACATTAGGAACAGAAAAATTAACAAAATCTTCTTCATCATGTGACATATTACATATTGAATAATGAATACATTACATGTTACATATTGAAATAAATAGACTTCATATATAATTTCATGATTAGTAATAAAAAATACATTATTGATTTCATTTCACGGTGTCGAGAGTCTTTAGCTACGGTACCTCTCACAACGCCAAGGAGGCTATGACGAATCTCTCTGGGAAACTGACTGACAACTCCACAAGTTCACATGTCCCTAGTTCACTGCTACATAATAGAGCATCCCTTCATCTCCATGATGACAGACCTTGTAGAGATGAGAGTCTGCCTTCGTTTTTTTTTTTATCACAGAGTCCAATACCAGCCCTGTCTGTTGGTTTAGCTTTAAGCTGCTGTAGACAAGGTTGAGTCAAGTCAGGAAGCCCCAGGAAGGTGGTAGAGAGTCAGGAAGCTGAACATCATGACGACCAGCACCAGACCAATCAGGACCTGCTGGACCCACAGACACTGGTCCAGCTTCTGCTCCAGCCGGGCATTACACACCATCACACGCATCAGCTGCAAAGGAGAGCTTTTGGTTACTTCATCTTACTAATGTATTAACTTTTCAGTCTCCCATATCAATTTGACACCACTAAAATGTATCAGTAAACTACACAATTCACCATAATTATAACTCCATGGCTCTAATTGTGTAAAAAAAGATAATACAAAGAAAGTAAATAAAATACAGTAAATACATTGGTTAATATGCAGTGCCTATTGAAAGTCTAAACCCCCCTTGGAATATACAGTTGAAGTCGGAAGTTTACATACACTTAGGTTGGAGTCATTAAAACTCGTTTTTCAACCACTCCACAAATTTCTTGTTAACAAACTATAGTTGTGGCAAGTCAGTTAGAACATCTACTTTGTGCAAGACACAAGTAATTTTTCCAACAATTGTTTACAGACTGATTTATTTTACTTATAATTCACTGTATCACAATTCCAGTGGGTCAGAGGTTTACATACACTAAGTTGACTGTGCCTTTAAACAGCTTGGAAAATTCCAGAAAATGATGTCATGGCTTTAGAAGCTTTTGATAGGCTAATTGACATCATTTGAGTCGATTGGAGGTGTACCTGTGGATGTATTTCAAGGCCTACCTTCAAACTCAGTGCTTGACATCATGGGAAAATCAAAAGAAATCAGCCAAAAAATTGTAGACCTCCACAAGTCTGGTTCATTCTTGGGAGCAATTTCCAAACGCCTGAAGGTACCACGTTAATCTGTATAAACAATAGTACGCAAGTATAAACACCTTGGGACCACGCAGCCGTCATACCGCTCACGAAGGAGACACGTTCTGTCTCCTAGAGATTAACGTACTTCGGTGCGAAAAGTGCAAATCAATCCCAGAACAACAGCAAATGACCTTGTGAAGATGCTGGAGGAAACAGGTACAAAAGTATCTATATCCACAGTAAAACGAGTCCTATATCGACATAACCTGAAAGGCCGCTCAGCAAGGAAGAAGCCACTGCTCCAAAACCGCCATAGAAAAGCCAGACTACGGTTTGCAACTGCACATGGGGACAAAGATCGTACTTTTTTGAGAAATGTCCTCTGGTCTGATGAAACAAAAATAAAACTGTTTGGCCAAAATGACCATCGTTATGTTTGTAGAAAAAAAGGGGGTGGCTTGCAAGCCAAATAACACCATCCCAACCGTGAAGCACGGGGGTGGCAGCATCATGCTGTGGGGGTGCTTTGCTGCAGGAGGGACTGATAGCATCATGAGGAAGGAAACTAAATGTGGATATTTTGAAGCAACATCTCAAGACATCAGTCAGGAAGTTAAAGCTTGGTCGCAAATGGGTCTTCCAAATGGACAATGACCCCAAGCATACTTCCAAAGTTGTGGCAAAATGGCTTAAGGACAACAAAGTCAAGGTATTGGAGTGGCCATCACAAAGCCCTGACCTCAATCCTATAGAACATGTGTGGGCAGAACTGAAAAAGTGTGTGTGAGCAAGGAAGCCTACAAACCTGACTCAGTTACACCAGCTCTGTCAGGAGGAATGGGCCAAAATTCACCCAACTTATATCTTTTTTTATTTCACCTTTATTTAACCAGGTAAGCCAGTTGAGAACAAGTTCTCATTTACAACTGCGACCTGGCCAAGATAAAGCAAAGCAGTGCGATAAAAACAACACAGAGTTACATATGGGGTAAAACAAAACAAAGTCAAAAATACCACAGAAAAATATATATACAGTGTGTGCAAATGTAGCAAGTTATGGAGGTAAGGCAATAAATAGGCCATAGTGCAAAATAATTAAAATGAGTATTAACACTGGAATGATAGATGTGCAATAGATGATGTGCAAATAGAGATACTGGGGTGCAAATTAGCAAAATAAATAACAATATGGGGATGAGGTAGTTGAGTGGGCTAATTTCAGAAGGGCTGTGTACAGGTGCAGTGATCGGTAAGGTGCTCTGACAACTGATGCTTAAAGTTAGTGAGGGAGATAAGAGTCTCCAGCTTCAGAGATTTTTGCAGTTTGTTCCAGTCATTGGCAGCAGAGAACTGGAAGGAATGGCGGCCAAAGGAGGTGTTGGCTTTGGCGATGACCAGTGAGATATACCTGCTGGAGCGCATACTACGGGTGGGTGTTGCTATGGTGACCAATGAGCTAAGATAAGGCAGAGATTTGCATAGCAGTGATTTATAAATGGCCTGGAGCCAGTGGGTTTGGCAACGAATATGTAGTGAGGACCAGCCAACAAGAGAGTACAGGTCACAGTGGTGGGTAGTATATGGGGCTTTGGTGACAAAACGGATGGCACTGTGATAGACTACATCCAATTTGCTGAGTAGAGTTTTGGAGGCTATTTTGTAAATGACATCGCCGAAGTCAAGGATCGGTAGGATAGTCAGTTTTACGAGGGCATGTTTGGCAGCATGAGTGAAGGAGGCTTTGTTGCGAAATAGGAAGCCAATTCTAGATTTAACTTTGGATTGGAGATACTTAATGTGAGTCTGGAAGGAGAGTTTACAGTCTAACCAGACACCTAGGTATTTGTCCACATACTCTAGGTCAGACCCGTCGAGAGTAGTGATTCTAGTCGGGTGGGCGGGTGCCAGCAGCGTTCGATTGAAGAGCATGCATTTAGTTTTACTAGTGTTTAAGAGCAGTTGGAGGCTACGGAAGGAGTGTTGTATGGCATTGAAGCTCGTTTGGAGGTTTGTTAACACAGTGTCCAATGAAGGGCCAGATGTATACAAAATGGTGTCGTCTGCGTAGAGGTGGATCTGAGAGTCACCAGCAGCAAGAGCGACATCATTGATATACACAGAGAAAAGAGTCGGCCCAAGAATTGAACCCTGTGGCACCCCCATAGAGACTGCCATAGGTCCAGACAACAGGCCCTCCGATTTGACACATTTAACTCTATCTGAGAAGTAGTTGGCGAACCAGGCGAGGTTAGTTAAACAATTTAAAGGCAATGCTACCAAATACTAATTGAGTGTATGTACATTTCTGACCCATTGGGAATGTGATGAAATAAATAAAAGCTGAAATAAATCATTCTCTCTACTATTATTCTGATTCTTAAAATAAAGTGGTGATCTTAACTGACCTAAGACAGGGAATTGTTACTAGGATTAAAAGTCAGGAATTGTGAAAAACTGAGTTTAAATGTATTTGGCTAAGGTGTATGTAAACGTCCGACTTCAACTGTATATATATTTTTCATTATATTTTGTTACAAAGTGGAATTAAAATGGATGCACTTGTCATTTTTTGTCAACGATCTACACAAAATATTCTGTAATTTCAAAGTGGACATTAAAGATGGATGAAAAATAAAACACTAAAATACCTTGATTAGATAAGCATTCACCCCCCCCAATACCAGCCCTGTCTGTTGGTTTAGCTTTAAGCAGACGCGTCTGCGTAGCCAGGCACCAAAATAGAACTTGGTTCTATTTTTGACGCATGACGCGCTGCAAGTCCCACCTCTCCCATCTCCTCATTGGTTTTTAGGAGCATATACCCACGTGGGTGATTGAAAGATAAACTGAGGTCTACACTCCAGTCCAGTTGGTGGTGGTAATACACCTTAAAGTTGGTTGCCAACCGCCATATAAAGTCCAAAGAAGAAGAAGACTGAAGGAGGAAATATTACTAGAAACTAACTCGGTTTACCCTTTTATCTGTGGTTTAATTGTCAGAATTGAGGAACTTGTGCATTTCAGGTAAAATAACAACCCAGTGTTTATATCCCAGGCCAAATTTGCTAGCAACAGCAAGCTAGCTAGCTAGATTACCATGAATGTTTCATGCGTTTCGACCAGTCCCCAAATTAGTTCGTTTTGATATTTTAACCTGCGTGTCCTGATCGTGTCTGGTGTGGATGGACAAAATCAACATGCGTGCGATGGCGCACGCGGACGCACGCAAGTGCCCGGTCTAGTCAGCATGTGAGTCATTACATGTTAGAAACACCTTTGGCAGCAATTACAGCTGTGAGTCTCCTTGACTCCTTAAAATAACTTTGCACACCTGTATTGTGCAATATTTGCCCATTATTCTTTTCTAAATTCTTCAAGCTCTGTCAAGATCTTGGGGATCATTGCTAGACACGCATTTTCAATTCTTGGCATAGATTTAAGCCGATTTAAGTCAAAACTAACGGCCACTCAAAAACATTTACTGAGCAACTCCAGTGTAGATTTGGCCTTGTGCTGTATGTTATTGTCCTGCTGAAAGGTGAATTCCTCTCCCATTGTCTGGTGTAAAGCAGACTGAAGCAGGTTTTCCTCTAGGATTTTGCCTGTGCTTAGCTCAAATCCCGTTTCTTTTCATCCTGAAAAACTCCCTAGGCCTTAACGATTACAAGCATACCCATAACATGATGCAGCCACCACCATGCTTGAAAATAAGGAGGCAGTTACTCAGTGACGTGTTGGATTTGCCCCAAACATACAGCTCTGACATTTATGCCAAAAGGTTTATTCCTTTGCCCGTTTTTTTTTTGCTGTATTACTTTAGTGCCTTGTTGCATGTTTTGGAATATTTTTTATTCTGTATATTTGCATTCTTCTTTTCACTATGTCATTTAGGTCATTATTGTGGAGTCACTACAATAATGATCCATCCTCAGTTATCTCATCACAGCCATTGAACTCTGTAGCTGTTTTAAAATCACCAATGGCCTCATGTTAACATCCCTGAGCAGTTTCATTCCTGTCCTGCAGCTCAGTTCAAGAAGGACGACAGCATCTTTGATGTGTCTGGGTGGTTTAATACATCATCCACAGCATAATTATTAACTAGACCATGCTTAAAGATATATTCAATGTCTGATTTGTTATTGTTACCCATCTACCAATCACTGCCCTTCTTTATGAGGGTTTCGAAAAGCTCCCTGGTCTTTGTAGTTGAATCTGTGCTTGAAATTCAATACTTGACTGAGGGACCTTACATATGTTGCATGTATGGGGGACAGGGGAAGTCATTCAAAAACCATGTCAACCCCTATAAAGTCCATATAACTTATTATGTAATGTGTTAAGACAAATATTACTTCTGAACTAATTTAGGCTTGCCTAAACAAACAGGGTGAATATATTTTAGTTATTACATTTTTATTAATACAAAAAAAAGATAATTTTCACTTTGACATTACAGACTATTTTGTGTAGATCAATGACATTGTTTGTACAATGAAATCTATTTCAATCCCATTTTGTAACGCAACAAAATGTGAAAAAAGTTCAAGGGGGTGTAGACTTTCTATAGGCACTGTATAGGTTCATATAGTATTGTGGGTGGAGGTGTATATTCCAATCAGAGCTCACCGTTGTGTGCAGGTCTGGGTGGCCATTGGCTCCTCCTTCCACGGGGTTGTTACAGCCACTCGGATAGCTCAGAATGGGCTTAGTGCTCTCCAGGACGTGACATCGTAATCTACAGGAAGGACAGGAGACAGTCATGTCAGAAAGGGCCGGGGAGAGGGGATTATCAGCCTGCTAGGTCACTGACATTCACTAGCCATGCTGAGGCAATCTGTGATGTACACTGGAAGACCACGATGGGTTAAGTCAATCAAAGTTATCTTAAGGTCATTATAGATTTTGATAGTGGCATATCAATGACTTGGATAAAAAAACGTATTCACATATTCCCATTCCCGTTCATGATGAGACATTGATGGTGATGTACCTGTGATCCATGATCTTGGTTTTGGGCACGTCCTTCCAGAACTGAGCGAGCTCTGGTGATCCAGTACCAGCGTTCTGCTCCATCTCAGCAGCCATGACCAGGAAGCGGTCCTGCAGAGACGCCTGGTAGCCTGCATAAACACATCCAGGGCACTCGTTCTCTCATTGAACTCTGAATGATATTTAATCTCTGTATATTGTTCAGTTTATGTCTCTAGAGTCCTACATATGGATGGGATCACCCCACTGCTGTCACCATCAAAGACTCAGAGATAGAAATGAAAGAGCTGACTCATTTACAGAAACAGTGAGGGTTCTTATCCATTAGAGCTAAGTGAACAAGATGGAAGTGATAGATGGCGGCTCCCAAACATGTAATTCATGAGTTTCAAAGTTAAAACCCAGAGAGAGAGAAGAAAATCCTCAAACTTTGGAATAGTGCCAGAATTCAAATCTTCAAAAAACCCATGTCTAGTACATCAGAAGCCATGATTGACATTTCCATGCTTGAAGGCCTCTGAACTTCTTATCAGCCAAGTCCCTGCATCCCAACTCAATGTTGGTCTCAAGTGATTGACGGAAAAACATTGACCTTAGGGGTTTCAGCCTTCCAGGAGAGTACTGAGACTGGCTCAATAAAGTTAATTTACCCTCTTAGATTTCTGAAAGCCTCGGTTTAGGGGAAGATAAGAGATTATTATTTTATCACTCTTAAAATATGTATGTCGGGCAAAAGAAAGCTGCACTCTGTCAGCACTTTCCAAAGCGAATAGACTGGACCTTTTGATTATTCTGAAGTTTCTGCGGGAACATTTGGAAACATCCAAAGGAAGAAGTAGGTAAGAGGAGGAGAGAGAGTGCAGAGAGATAAGTTCAGTACTCTACCGCCATGTAAAGACACCACTATATCCACAGACGCTCCCGGTTCACAGCTGCTGTTGCTGGGCTTCACTCTGTACTTCTCAGGTGCTGTGGTTCGTACCTGTAGAGGGACACACACAGGTCAGCTTGGAGACTGACAACACCATTGTGTATTTTGTGCAAATGCACACCACTGTGTATCAAACACACACACACACAAACAGAAACACGCACACTGGGGCATGTACACACCTTGAAGGCCACTTGATTCTTGGAAATATTATCGAGGATGATAAGACACTTCCTCTCCGACTCTTTGGTGCCAAAGCTCAGCTCCTCTGCTGGACTGGAAGAAAGTGAAAAGACGTCACATTTTACAGAAGAAACAGCACATGAAGAAGGCGGCTACGACTGAATTTGTGTCTAACTAAATAAATGAATGTATTTTTCTTTAAGCCATTGGCCACAATTGCTATCTGGGTGTTCAAAACAACCCAATACATCTGTTAAAAGTGGATAGCAACAGTAGCTTGCTTTACAGCGTGCTGTTGTTGTTCCTCTCTGTGATATCTTAGCTTTATCGATCTGTTTGGCTAAGCATCGTGAGTTTAGATGAAGATGTTGCTTCCTGAGAGTGATTGTAGTATGATTACCCAGGGACGTGTAGCTTCCGTTAGTTTCTGTTGTTACACATTTACTAAACAGCTGCTGTACCACCATCTAGCTCAATATTCTTAGCTAACACATTGCAGATTATGTCCATCTGTGCAGGCATGTGGATTAATGTTTTTTAACCTTTGTGTAAACAAAAAGCCTTGTATCCTACAGAGATGCTGAAACCAGTGTGTGTGTGTGTATCTGCCATTTATCAGAATTATATTCTTCTCTCAACATAAGGAGAGCCTTGATTGACGTCAACATGTTCTTCAGCATATTTTTAAAGGAGGTTCTTTCCAGAGAAATAGCGCCTGACTGTATGTTCCTCTGGGCCAAACCCTCAGTCTCTGATGTGCTGTGTCTCCTCCTGACCCATATGGAGCTGTCTGTCAGGCCCCTGGGTACTAGGCTGGCTCTAGCCTAGCAGCCGTAGCTGAACCCATTAATGGAGAACATGGAGAATTACACCACATTATTAGCCAGGTTTAGGGTGAAAACTTCTATGATCAGGGTGAAAACATCTGTGATCTGGCATCAAAGCTATGAAATCTGGAGCAGCAGAGCAAAAAATCCATGGCCTGAGAAAGTAACCACGAGGTGCTCTGATTCGCTCTTCAACACTCAGCACACCCCATTCCCCCTCCTCTCCCTAACACGCCCGCCCCAGACTGCTTAAACAGGCTCAGGTTTAAGGGACATTTCTGTAATTGGATAATTCAGCCTCAGTGAACACTTCTCCAAAGCAGTGCTGTGGACTCCTGCTGGCCTGCTACAGTACCTACTGAAAACTCAGTGATATGGCCAACAGGATTAAAATCCCTGTCTAGCACACATAATCAAATCAAATTGTATTTGTTACATGTGCCAAATACAACAGGTGTAGACCTTACAGTGAAATGCTTACAAGCCCTTAACCAACAATGCAGTTTTCAGAAAAATAAGTGTTAAGAAAAATATTTACTAAATAAACTAAAGTAAAAAATAAAACCGCAACAATAAAATAATGAGGCTATATACTGAGGGTACCGGTACCGAGTCAATGTGCGGGGGTACAGGTTAGTCGAGGTAATGTAGGTAGGGGTAAAGTGACTATGCATAGATAATAGATAATAAACAGCAAGTAGCAGCAGCGTAACAAAAGACAGGGGGGGCGGGGGGGGGGGGTCAATGCAAATAGTCTGGGTAGCCATTTGATTAGCTGTTCAGCAGTCTTATGGCTTAGGGGTAGAAGCTGTTAAGAAGCTTTTTGGACCTAGACTTGGCGCTCCGGTACCACTTGCCCTGCGGTAGCAGAGAGAACCGTCTATGACTAGGTTGGCTGGAGTCTTTAGCAATTTTTAGGGCCTTCCTCTGACACCACCTGGTATAGAGGTCCTGGATGGCAGGAAGCTTGGCCCCAGTGATGTACTGGGCCGTACGCACTACCCTCTGTAGCGTCTTGCGGTCGGAGGCCGAGCAGTTGCCATACAAGACAATGATGCAACCAGTCAGGATGCTCTCGATGGTGCAGCTGTATAACTTTTTGAGGGTCTGAGGACCCATTCCAAGTCTTTTCAGTCTCCTGAGGGGGAATAGGCCCTCCTTTTCCTGTAGTCCACGATCATCTCCTTTGTCTTGATCACATTGAGGGAGAGGTTGTTGTCCTCGCACCACACTTCCAGGTCTCTGACCTCCTCCCTATAGGCTGTCTCATCGTTGTCGGTGATCAGGCCTACCACCGTTGTGTCGTCGGCAAACTTAATGATGGTGTTGGAGTCGTGCTTGGCCACGCAGTCATGGGTGAACAGGGAGTACAGGAGGACTAAGCACACACCCCTGAAGGGCCCCCGTGTTGAGGATCAGCGTGGCAGATGTGTTGTTGCCTACCCTTACCACCTGGGGGCATCCTGTCAGGAAGACCAGGATCCAGTTGCAGAGGGAGGTGTTTAGTCCCAGAGTCCTTAGCTTAGTGATGAGCTTTGAGGGCACTATGGTTTTGAACGCTGAGCTGTAGTCAATGAACAGCATTCTCACGTAGGTGTTCCTTTTGTCCAGGTGGGAAAGGGCAGTGTTGAGTGCAATAGAGATTGCGTCATCTGTGGATCTGTTGGGGCAATATGCAAATTAAAGTGGGTCTAGGGTTTCTGGGATGATGGTGTTGATGTGAGCCATGACCAGCCTTTCAAAGCACTTCATGGCTACAGACGTGAGTGCTACGGGTCAGTAGTCATTTAGGCATTTTACATTGGTGTTCTTGGGCACAGTGTGGTCTGCTTGAAATATGTAGGTATTACAGACTCGGTCAGGGACAGGTTGAAAATGTCAGTAAAGACACTTGCCAGTTGGTCAGCACATGCTCGGAGTACACGTCCTGGTAATCCGTCTGGCCCTGCGGTCTTGTGAATGTTGAAGGTTTTACTCACATTGGCTACGGCGAGCATGATCACACAGTCGTCCGGAATAGCTGGTGCTCTCATGCATGCTTCAGTGTTGCTTGCCTCGAAGCGCGCATAGAAATCATTTAGCTCGTCTGGTAGGTTGTGTCACTGGGCAGCTCGCGGCTGGGCTTCCCTTTGTACATTACATTTACATAATTTAGCAGACACTCTTATCCAGAGCGACTTACAAATTGGAGACCGTAATTGCTTGCAAGCACCGCCACATAGACAGCTACGAAAAATATAGATGAAAACTCTCTTGGTAAATAGTGTGGTTTACAGCTTATCATGAGATACCTCAGGCGAGCAAAACCTCGAGATATTGACAAATAGACACAGACCGCCACCCCTTGTCTTATCGGAGGCAGCTGTTCTGTCTTGCCGATGCACGGAAAAACCAGCCAACTGTATATTATCCATGTCGTCGTTCAGCCACAACTTGGTGAAACATAAGATATTACAGTTTTTAATGTCCCGTTGGTAGGATAGTCTTGAACGGAGCTCATCCAGTTTATTTTCCAATGATTGCACGTTGGCCAATAGGCCGGATGGTAGAGGCGGGTTACCCGCTCGCCGACGAATTCTCACAAGGCACCCGGAACTGCGTCCCCTGTATCGGCGTCTTCTCTTCATGCGAATGACGGGGATTTGGGCCTGGTCGGGTATCTGGAGTAAATCCTTCGCGTCCGACTCGTTAAAGAAAAAATCTTCGTCCAGTTCGAGGTGAGTATTCGCTGTTCTGATATCCAGAAGCTCTTTTCGGTCATAACAGATGGTAGCGTCAACATTATGTACAAAATAAGTTACAAACAAAATAGCACAATTGGTTAGGAGCCCGTAAAACGGCAGCCATCTCCTCCGGCGCCATTCTTTAAAGTCTCTCACTGTAAATTCCATAGGCTACGGCTCCTCTAAACAACAGATTGTTCCAACTTCCTTCCTCTCCACATCCTCCTGTGTTTGTTCTTTGCCCCAGTAAAGTGTTGAGGAGCACAGTGCTCCCCTGGGCCCAGAATGACTCTCTAGACTCCAGGAAATATTTTGACAAACATATTCAGAATATCAAAGCCTCCCCTCTCATGCCCCTCCCACTGCGTTCTGCCTTCCTTGTGGTCTCACTGGAATCAGGACTAACACAGCTCAGAGACATAATTGCACTTAAGGCTCATAAAAATCTGTTTATCACTAATACGTAGCCCTGAGCTGTCAAATCTCACATCAAAGAGTCAGCTCTCCAAAAAAACTGAACTAGACGGAAATGACTCGGGGAAAGAATTCTCTGATTTGACATTAAAATAGCCATCAATGGAGGTAGCTCACAAGTACTGTACCTGAAGTCAACCTCAACTTAACAATGGCACCCCATACGGGTCACCTTAAGTCAACACATTCTTATAAATAAAATAGAACACTGAAGAATGCCACTCTATAATCAACCTCAAGGTAAATGGATACATCAGCTTCATCACAAAAAAATCATCACAGTAAAATTAGGTAACAGAATGACCTTGAACTATGTTTTGCACAAAAGTGTCCCTCGATCACTAATGCAACATTCATTTAGCCATCCAATTTGCATGATGGGGACTACAGGCTGCTCCTTGGTCAATATGGGCAGTAATCAACGGAATGATCAATCAATTAATTCCATTGATTAGCACAGCAATTAACTGCACCAACTGATTTCCACTCAATGCACCATTGATCGCAGGCCTCCTTTATTTCTGTTCAGATACAAGATCAATCGATCCGTCCAGGTACAAACATATCGATATCTTGCTCTGGGCTTGAGTGTATATCAATGATGTCACTCTTGCTGCTGGTGATTCTCAGATCCACCTCTACGCAGACGACACCATTTTGTATACATCTGGCCCTTCATTGGACACTGTGTTAACAAACCTCCAAACGAGCTTCAATGCCATACAACACTCCTTCCGTAGCCTCCAACTGCTCTTAAACACAAGTAAAACTAAATGCATGCTCTTCAATCGAACGCTGCTGGCACCCGCCCACCTGACTAGAATCACTACTCTCGACGGGTCTGACCTAGACTATGTGGACAACTACAAATACCTAGGTGTCTGGTTAGACTGTAAACTCTCCTTCCAGACTCACATTAAGCATCTCCAATCCAAAGTTAAATCTAGAATCGGCTTCCTATTTCGCAACAAAGCCTCCTTCACTCATGCTGCCAAACATGCCCTCGTAAAACTGACTATCCTACCGATCCTTGACTTCGGCGATGTCATTTACAAAATAGCCTCCAAAACTCTACTCAGCAAATTGGATGTAGTCTATCACAGTGCCATCCGTTTTGTCACCAAAGCCCCATATACTACCCACCACTGTGACCTGTACGCTCTTGTTGGCTGGTCCTCACTACATATTCGTCGCCAAACCCACTGGCTCCAGGCCATCTATAAATCACTGCTAGGCAAATCTCCGCCTTATCTTAGCTCATTGGTCACCATAGCAACACCCACCCGTAGTATGCGCTCCAGCAGGTATATCTCACTGGTCATCCCCAAAAAGCCAACACCTCCTTTGGCCGCCATTCCTTCCAGTTCTCTGCTGCCAATGACTGGAACGAACTGCAAAAATCTCTGAAGCTGGAGACTCTTATCTCCCTCACTAACTTTAAGCATCAGTTTTCAGAGCACCTTACCGATCACTGCACCTGTACACAGCCCATCTGAAATTAGCCCACCCAACTACCTCATCCCCATATTGTTATTTATTTTGCTCATTTGCACCCCAGTATCTCTATTTGCACATCATCTCTTGCACATCTATCATTCCAGTGTTAATACTAATTGTAATTATTTTGCACTATGGCCTATTTATTGCCTTACCTCCATAACTTGCTACATTTGCACACACTGTATATATATTTTCTGTTGTATTTTTTACTTTATGTTTTGTTTTACCCCATATGTAACTCTGTGTTGTTGTTTTTAATCGCACTGCTTTGCTTTATCTTGGCCAGGTCGCAGTTGTAAATGAGAACTTGTTCTCAACTGGCTTACCTGGTTAAATAAATAAATAAAATAAAAATTCATCCTAAACTCTACAACCCATTCAAATCTGCCCATGTGGATAAGGATTAGCTATAGCCTAGTCACTGTGCTATCAGTCCTGCTATTCTTTAAGCGTTGAGTGCAGCTGAGAGATATGCTGAATTCTAGGAACTCTTGTATATCTGCAACTATTGGATAAACAATATTGTGTAAATTCCACCCAGAAGGCAAGGTGAAATAATTACCATATTGCTTATACTATTCTGATCCTTTCAGCGATACAGGAGTACCTTGTGTCTCCTATCATGGTCCAAACACACCAAGACAGTCGTGAAGAGGGCACGACAAAGCCTATTCCCCCTCAGGAGACTAAAAAGATTTGGCATGGGTCCTCAGATCCTCAAAAAATTCTACAGCTGCACCATCGAGAGCATCCTGACTGGTTGCATCACCGCCTGGTATGGCAACTGCTTGGCCTCTGACCGCAAGGCACTACAGAGGGTAGTGCGTACGGCCCAGTACATCACTGGGGCAAAGCTTCCTGCCATCCAGGACCTCTATACCAGGCGGTGTCAGAGGAAGGCCCTTAAAATTGTCAAAGACTCCAGCCACCCTAGTCATAGACTGTTCTCTCTGCTACCGCACGGCAAGCGGTACCGGAGTGCCAAGTCTAGGTCCAAAAGACTTCTCAACAGCTTCTACCCCCAAGCCATAAGACTCCTGAACAGCTAATCATGGCTACCCGGACTATTTGCACTGCCCCCCCACCCCATCCTTTTTACGCTGCTGCTACTCTGTTAAGTATTTATGCATAGTCACTTTAACTCTACCCACATGTACATATTACCTCAACTACCTCAACTAGCCGGTGCCCCCGCACATTGACTCTGCAACGGTACCCCCTGTATATATAGCCTCCCTACTGTCACTTTATTTTACTTCTGCTATTTTTTTCTCAACACTTTTTTTGTTGTTGTTTTATTCTTACTTTTTTTGTTTAAAATAAATGCACTGTTGGTTAAGGGCTGTAAGTAAGCATTTCACTGTAATGTCTGCACCTGTTGTATTCGGCGCATGTGACCAATACAATTTGATTTGATTTGATTTAGTGAGTAGGGTTTGATTTGGTATTCAGAAAGAGATGACTAAGAGAGGGAGCTCTGAGAGAGGGTTGAATACCTGACGTGTAGAAGAGGGCCCTTGAATGTGGTCAGTGGCTTCCTGGCTCCCTTCGTCCGACAGTCTCCTTTGTCATTGTCATCCAGCTTCAGACTGCTCTGACTCTCCTCAGAGAAATACACCTGAAACACCACAACAGTTGCTTCATGAGACAAGTGCTTTGTTTGGAGAGGTGTTCTAAAGATACAAATTCTCATAAGTAATATTTATTCATTTATAAATAATAGTATTAAATGCTGAACTATAGTCTATTTCAAATTATATCAGTTAAAAATAGGGAGTGTGTGTGTGACAGGTCATTTCATAATCAACACATCAATCCCCATGACAACCCCTGAACCTTGTTCACAATACAGTGAGGCAATAAGAAGAGGAACCCTACAAACATATGTCCTGCGAGAACACATGGTCCCATGACAATGGCCAGTCAGCACTTTCACTTCACTAACCGTAAACTTTCGCCCACATCCAACTCCCTCCCTCATACACCCACCCACACAATGAGTTCACAAGAGCGCAGAACAGCCGATATAAAAACACATGGTTTGTTCAACGTTGGCAGAAAGTTGGGGAAAGACAGATGAAAGGTCAGTTGTGGTGGGACGAGCGTCATTTGGCCTCTATACCATATTGACCAAGGCCAGTCCCACAGCTTGTGTGAACCAGATGGGAGATAGGGAGAGCAGCAGGAGAGAGAGAATGTGATAGGATGGGAGAGCTGGAGGAGAGGTGACTGAGGTCTGCCTGTGATCCGTGTACAAGCACTAATGAGTCAGATGGGGAGTGTGTCTTCTACTGTGATAAGCAACACACACAGCTCCAACTTCAGCAGGCCGCTGCGACACACACAGATGACACAATAAAGACATTAAGAGACACTTACCGAGCTGCTTCTGAAATGTCTATTTTTATTCAGTGTTCAAATCAAGTGCAATACACAACTGAGTAAGATATAATGGGGATTAATTAGCTACTGTTGAAATGTACATGAGCATAATTGACTGGCATAGACTGATTTATTGATTAAATAAATAAAAACGACAGCATTTCCATTGATTAAATAGACTATCAAATAATTGCATAAAAGTTAAAATCATAACAAAATCAATTGTTAATCAAACATTACTAGTGAAAAACAAATGTTCCATTTATCATTGTGGTTAATCAAAACCAGGATCAAAATACTCTTGTTAAAAACACAGTATTGAGTTAAGATTGAGATTAATCATACTGACTAAAATTTGAAAATCACCTAAACAAAATTGCACAGGATCAGGAATAAACATCCGGATCGATAACTTTAGAAAAACTGGGCCCTGGAGTGGTTATTGACAGTAAGGCACAATACAGATGAATTTTTAAAAGGTGCTCTCTCGTTGTTTGAAAAGGTGTCGATACACAGAGGTAGGTCTTGCAATTACAGGTATATCTGGCATAAGAAAAGTGAAAATATGCTAACATGAGTGCTGGTGGTAGTAAGAGTGTAGAATACTCTTTCCCTAGTATTATAAACATTGAGTACATTCATCATTATAATACAAGTTAATTTGAAATGAACAGAACAGTAATGATATAATACAGTATGCTTTTGGATTAAAAGGTCAGTACAACATACTTGGCACATTTGCTTTCCTTTCACTACAGAAACACAATTTCCCTAATGTTATATTAAGTAAGATAAAATACCCAAGTTGGATAAAATAACACCATGTTATAAAGCTGGTCACTGGGACAGACATCAAGGTTGGCGAACTTTTCTTCTTTTATGATGCAGTATTGTGAGTAATGTATCCGATAGCCTACTTGATTGGCTATGAATCTCTTCAAAAACGTAATCAAATTCCAAATCATCTCACTGAGTCCAAAAAGTGCAACACATTGTAGGGGTGAAATTTGAAATGTTTGATCCAGGTCCATTTTGGATTCAATCAAAGGCTAAATGTGTCGATGATGGTGATTAGATTGCGAGGGTGCCGTACTCACACATTCTACATGAGTAAAACCCTCAGACTGCCCTTTCAGACGGCAGAACTCTCCAGGACTCAGTGCTTCTGCTGGTGAGGCTAAGAGCATAAAATGCCTTACCAAGACCAGCCCTTGGTTCAAAACAGAGAGAAAGGCAATTAGCTGATTGCTCTGCGAAGCTACTGTATCAACACACTGTTGAGACTCACAGGTATTGATTCAGGAGGGAGGACAATGTTTATGTAGAGAGAGGAGCAGCAAACATGATCATGACAGTGGAATGTGTGCAGACAGACAAGCTGTAAGCAATGGGTATCATGATTGGAGTTAGGACCCTAACCTTAATCACAGCAAACCAAGAGATTAGCCTATAGCCTATGTAGATCATTAGTCAGAGGCAACAAAGACCACATTGTGCTCACTCACGCGTATAAATGGGCTCATTCACATACCACTCAATCTCACATAGGCCTACACACAAAACCATACACACTTGATAAGGCTCAGGTTCTGGTTTGTCAAACTGATTTATCATCATCAATTCCAAGTATATGCTATGAGTTGGTCTATTAGCTAACAGACATTCCCTGATCATGTCAAAATAACTACACAGGCTGAACCTGAACCATACACCAACCATACCGTTCCCTCTGGGGTTGCGCAAGGCAGGCTGACCCTCCCTGACCATAAATACATAGCTACACTCCAAGGCCACAGCAGTGTTACAACACCGTCAGCAGGCCTTTCCAAGGACAGGGGTTGTGTGTGAATTATTGGTCCTTGCTATCCGGGATTATTGGGACCTCCCTACCCCACTGAAGTTGACATTTTAAATGGTTAAGGTTAGGTAAGGGTTATGGTTGAAGTTAGGGTAGGGGTTAAGGTTAGGGTAGGGATGTCCCAAGGATTCTGGATACCACTAACCAAAGTATTTACAGACTAATTTGCATATCTCCATTTTGTAAATCTAAATCTGTTGTGCATGACTAAGGTGGTCTTTACAATGGGGCCTTTGCCGCTTTAGGCTCCAGGCACTTAAGAGGCTCATGCGAGCAGCTTTGTGACGCGTAGCTGACGGGGCCACTCTGGAGCGTAGGTCTGTGTATCTGCGTGTACGCACGTGTGTGTGTGTGTGTGTATATGTACAGAGTCCCCTGTGAGCTACGAGAGTGGTGCAGATTACCCAAACGGCTTACATATAGGGTTGGGTGATCTCCAGATTTTCATACTGTAATACCGTTTCTGTACCATACCGGGGTATACTGTATTACCGGAAGTGCACACAAGGGGCGCAATAAAAAATATATATAATAATTTAGGCAACAGGGATCTTGATCCAGGAGGGGATTGAATGTCTCTGCTGTAACCATGAAGCTTGATCTTGACATCTAGAGTTGCAAAGAAAAAGCCATATCTCAGACTGGCTAATAGGGCCTCCCGAGTGGCGCAGTGGTCTAAGGCACTGCATTGAAGTGCTAGCTGTGCCACTAGAGATTGTGGTTTGCGACCGGCCGTGACCGGGAGCCCCATGGGGCGGCGCACAATTGACCCAGCGTTGTCCAGGGTAGGGGAGGGAATGGCCGGCAGGGATGTAGCTCAGTTGGTAGAGGGTTGTGGGTTCGATTCCCACGGGGGGCCAGTATAAAAAATTAAATAAAATAATGAATGCACTCACTAACTGTAAGTTGCTCTGGATAAGAGCATCTGCTAAATGACTAAAATAAAAAAATTAACACAAAATAATAATTAATAATTAATCAAAACTAAAAAAACTTTACAAAAATGATTAAGATGGGCAGTCTGAGATATGGCTTTTTCTTTGCAACTCTGCCTAGAAGGTCAGCATCCCGGAGTCGCCTTTTCACTGTTGACGTTGAGACTGGTGTTTTGCGGGTACTAGTTAATGAAGCTGCCAGTTGAGGACCTGTGAGGCGTCTGTTTCTCAAACTAGACACTCTAATGTATTTGTCCTCTTGCTCAGTTGTGCACCGGGGCCTCCCACTCCTCTTTCTATTCTGGTTAGAGCCAGTTTGCGCTGTTCTGTGAATGGAGTAGTACACAGCGTTGTACGAGATCTTCAGTTTCTTGGCAATTTCTGGCATGGAATAGCCTTCATTTCTAAGAACAAGAATAGACTGACGAGTTTCAGAAGAAAGTTATTTGTTTCTGGCCATTTTGAGCCTGTAATCGAACCCACAATTGCTGATGCTCCAGATACTCAACTAGTCTCAAGAAGGCCAGGTTTATTGCTTCTTTAATCAGCACAACAGTTTTCAGCTGTGCTAACATAATTGCAAAAAAGGTTTTCTAATGATCAATTAGCCGTTTAAAATGATAAACTTGGATTAGCAAACACAACGTGCCATTGGAACACAGGCTGATAATGGGCCTCTGTACGCCTATGTAGATATTCCATTAAAAATCAGCAGTTTCCAGCTACAATAGCCATTTACAACATTAACAATGTCTACACTGTATTTCTGATCAATTTGATGTTATTTTAAAATTGACAAAGAAATTGCTTTTCTTTCAAAAACAAGGAGATTTCTAAGTGACCCCAAACTTTTGAACGGTAGTGTATATATGACAGTAGCCTATATCATAGGCTACAATGTGTGTTTGTTTTGCTTGTCACACAAAGTAGAGGCTAAATAGATGGCGCTGTGGATGAACAGTGAAGACCCCTACGGGAAGAGGGAGAGAGGGGAATGTGTGCAGCATATACCAGTAATGATGTGCTGTCCATTGCTAGGGTGCAGCAGCCTGACGACAGCAGAGAGCACTAGATGGTGTCTGTGTGCAGGTGTGTTAAATCCTAGAGCTGCAGGTTGCCTCTGTGATGGGCCCTGGCTGCATGGGGGCCGGCTGGAGACAAAACCATTAGTGGCAACGCAAAAGAAAGTAGGCCCCGCGGGTGTATTCTGGGAACTGCTTTAAACACTGCTGTGAAGTCAGGTAAGCCGAACGACGCATGCGGGAAAAAGCGGTCTCTACCGCAGCTAGGAAGAGCTTCTTTGACGGCAGTCAGACTTAACACATTCTCAATAGCCTGATGAGAGGAGCCATGGGTTGAGTGAGGGAGACTGTAAGTGAGACCCAGAGAGTGGGACTGCGATGCGTGGGTACAGTCAGTCAGTCGACAGGAAGGATTAAGCTGCAGCTGGAGACATGGGGAGTCACCTTGACCGAGACAATGAGGAGGAGCTTAACAGCTGCCAAATCAGGGCATTAGCGCCTCAACCATTCACAGCTCTCTCCACAGAGGACCCCGATTACATACTGTAATCTCACACTAAACATTGAGAAATGAAAGGGTCTGGGAGTAAAACTGCACATCAAAGTGAGGAGGAACTCGACTGAACTTCTTCTAACGTCTTATTTGACTGCAGAGTGTGGACAGGGTGTGTTTAATGGTAATTAGAGCTAATGATGATGAGAAATGTGTCTGCTGTTTCTAAGAGAGCCCCATGCAGGGTTAAACCGTGAGTAATCAAGTTTAGCTCACTGCAAACTATATTCACTCTACTGTTAATGAGTAATAGCAGCAGCCTTCATCAGATTTAATGGCAGGCTACCTTAGAAACATGACAGACTATATTGTACTACTTCTAAAAATCAAATGGAGAAGTAATAGACTATTCAAGCCAGATAAGAAGTTTATATGCAGCCACAGCGTGGATATATCATGTGTTTGTACGTGTTGTTGTCATCTTCCTTGCTGTACCTACATTTAGAGGAACAGAAAATACCAGAGTTGGTAAATAAATAAAAGGGGAGGCTTTGTACCTTTTTGGGTTTGACAGCGACCTCGGAGCTAAAGCTTGACTCCAACTCCTTGCCCTCTGATTCACCCTCCTTGCTCTCGTTGTCATCCTCGCTGATGATTGGTCCATTCTCACAGATGGGTGTTTGGAAGTCATCGTCAGGAAGGGGGGGATAGCTGTATTTGAAGGGGTCCTGGAATGAAGTCAGAGATACTATTACGTCAACCATCTGAAGTAATGTGATAATGGCCAAATATTGACTAGTCACAGGTTAGTCACATTTTCTCATGTAAAGTGAGCGAAGGAATAGAGTAAAACCTATAAAATGTTGACATTTGAAAATTGAATTTATCAGCTGAGATAGTAAGATGAAATTGTATGCAGCCAGGTAGATTTACATTTTACATTTTTGTCATTTAGCAGACGCTCTTATCCAGAGCGACTTACAGTTAGTGAGTGCATACATTATTTTTTTATTTTTCATACTGGCCCCCCGTGGGAATCGAACCCACAACCCTGGCGTTGCAAACGCCATGCTCTACCAACTGAGCTACATCCCTGCCGGCCATTCCCACCCCTACCCTGGACGACGCTGGGCCAATTGTGCGCCGCCCCATGGGTCTCCCGGTCGCGGCCGGCTACGACAGAGCCTGGATTCAAACCAGGATCTCTAGTGGCACAGCTAGCACTGCGATGCAGTGCCTTGGACCACTGCGCCACTCGGGAGACATAGATAGATGGATAGCGTCACTGCCATCTTCAGTGAGGTGAATACTGCAGGTACATACCGTTCCATTCATGTGAAAAGGCAGGTACTCGGGGTCAATAAATGTCTGGATCTCGTTTTTGGATGCAAACTTGAGCTTGCTGATGGCTTCTGGACCCAACCATGTCTTCACAATCTTCCATGCAGCTGGGGAAAAAAACACATACAGTGGGGAGAACAAGTATTTGATACACTGCCGATTTCGCAGGTTTTCCTACTTACAAAGCATGTAGAGGTCTGTAATTTATATCATAGGTACACTTCAACTGTGAGAGACGGAATCTAAAACAAAAATCCAGAAAATCACATTGTATGATTTTTAAGTAATTAATTTGCATTTTATCATAAGTATTTGATCACCTACCAACCAGTAAGAATTCTGGCTCTCACAGACCTGTTAGTTTTTCTTTAAGAAGCCCTCCTGTTCTCCACTCATTACCTTTATTAACTGCACCTGTTTGAACTAGTTACCTGTATAAAAGACACCTGTCCACACACTCAATCAAACAGACTCCAACCTCTCTACAATGGCCAAGACCAGAGAGCTGTGTAAGGACATCAGGGATAAAATTGTAGACCTGCACAAGGCTGGGATGGGCTACAGGACCATAGGCAAGCAGCTTGGTGAGAAGGCAACAACTGTTGGCGCAATTATTAGAAAATGGAAGAAGTTCAAGATGACGGTCAATCACCCTCGGTCTGGGGCTCCATGCAAGATCTCACCTCGTGGGGCATCAATGATCATGAGGAAGGTGAGGGATCAGCCCAGAACTACACGGCAGGACCTGGTCAATGACCTGAAGAGAGCTGGGACCACAGTCTCAAAGAAAACCATTAGTAACACACTACGCCGTCATGGATTAAAATCTTGCAGCGCATGCAAGGTCCCCCTGCTCAAGCCAGCGCATGTCCAGGCCCGTCTGAAGTTTGCCAATGACCATCTGGATGATCCAGAGGAGGAATGGGAGAAGGTCATGTGGTCTGATGAGACAAAAATAGAGCTTTTTGGTCTAAACTCCACTCGCCGTGTTTGGAGGAAGAAGAAGGATGAGTACAACCCCAAGAACACCATCCCAACCGTGAAGCATGGAGGTGGAAACATCATTCTTTGGGGATGCTTTTCTGCAAAGGGGACAGGACGACTGCACCGTATTGAGGGGAGGATGGATGGGGCCATGTATCGCGAGATCTTGGCCAACAACCTCCTTCCCTCAGTAAGAGCATTGAAGATGGGTCGTGGCTGGGTCTTCCAGCATGACAACAACCCGAAACACACAGCCAGGGCAACTAAGGAGTAGCTCCGTAAGAGGCTTCTCAAGGTCCTGGAGTGGCCTAGCCAGTCTCCAGATCTGAACCCAATAGAAAATCTTTAGAGGGAGCTGAAAGTCCGTATTGCCCAGCGACAGCCCCGAAACCTGAAGGATCTGGAGAAGGTCTGTATGGAGCAGTGGGCCAAAATCCCTGCTGCAGTGTGTGCAAACCTGGTCAAGACCTACAGGAAACGTATGATCTCTGTAATTGCAAACAAAGGTTTCTGTACCAAATATTAAGTTCTGCTTTTCTGATGTATCAAATACTTATGTCATGCAATAAAATGCAAATTAATTACTTAAAAATCATACAATGTGATTTTCTGGATTTTTGTTTTAGATTCCGTCTCTCATAGTTGAAGTGTACCTATGATAAAAATTACAGACCTCTACATGCTTTGTAAGTAGGAAAACCTGCAAAATTGGCAGTGTATCAAATACTTGTTCTCCCCACTGTATGTCCCAACTACGATGTCCAAACTACGATGATTAGATTATCATAAAGACTGGTTCCTCATGGGCACTAACATTTCTATAGCAAATAATTTTAATAACTACATGACTCACCATTCATGATCCATGGCATGTCAACAATTATCATTTTGGCTGAAATGACAAGACAAAACCATAACTGAGGGGTGAAATGTCATAGACAATCTTGTAGCATTAGCCACAACACGGAATCATATGATTCCATGTACAGTTTTTTAAATTAATTTATTAAAACTAATTTCACACAATGTGTGTCAATGATAATACTAATTATGTAGGCCATCTGTGTCGCACAAAGTTGATTGATCAACCTGTGAATGAACTCCATATTGTTACACTTTTTTATATACTTACATAGAAACTTTGGATAATACACTTTGAAGCAATTAATGATATACTTCACAAAATCCATGTCCTGAAAAAGAAAAAAGAAAATGAATATGACTCAGAAAGTACAGTACTATACAGCCTCAAAGCAGGCTTTGACTAGAAAATACGTTTTATGGGCTTTCAATAGGGAAACTGTTTACTCAGCCGAAGATATTTACTGCCTCAAGCTGTGCAATGACCCAATTCACCACCATTGAAACGGTCACAAGTTCTACTGAACAGTGCTGTAGTCAATCCATTTCATACAATCAAACACCTTCCCTCAAATCAATCATATGAAATATAATTCAGGGAAAAACATATGAGACAAAAGTAAACTCAGCAAAAAAAGAAATGTCCCTTTTTCAGGACCCTGTCTTTCAAAAGATAATTTGTAGAAATCCAAATAACTTCACAGATCTTCATTGTAAAGGGTTTAAACACTGTTTCCCATGCTTGTTCAATGAACCATAAACAATTAATGAACATGCACCCGTGGAACGGTCATTACGACAATAACAGCTTACAGACGGTAGGCAATTAAGGTCACAGTTATTACAATTTAGGACACTAAAGAGGCCTTTCTACGGACTCTGAAAAACACCAAAAGAAAGATGCCCAGGTCCCTGCTCATCTGCGTGAACATGCCTTAGGCATGCTGCAAGGAGGCATGAGGACTGCAGATGTCTGTACTGTGAGACGCCTAAGACAGCGCTACAGGGAGACAGGACGGACAGCTGATCGTCCTCGCAGTGGCAGACCACTTGTAACAACACCTGCACAGGATCGGTACATCCAAACATCACACCTGCGGGACAGGTACAGGATGGCAACAACAACTGCCCGAGTTACACCAGGAACGCACAATCCCTGCATCAGTGCTCAGACTGTCCGCAATCGGCTGAGAGAGGCTGGACTGAGGGCTTGTAGGCCTGTTGTAAGGCAGGTCCTTACCAGACATCACCGGCAACAATGTCACCTATGGGCACAAACCCACAAAAAGTGTTCTTCACTGACGAGTTGCGGTTTAGTCTCACCAGGGGTGATGGTCGGATTCACGTTTATCGTCAAAGGAATGAGCGTTACACCGAGGCCTGTACTTGGTGGAAGAGTGGGGTAATATCTCACAGCAAGAACTGGTAAATCTGCTGCAGTCCATGAGGAGGAGATGCACTGCAGTACTTAATGCAGCTGGTGGCCACACCAGATACTGACTGTTACTTTTGATTTTGACCCCCAGGGACACATTATTCCATTTCTGTTAGTCACATGTCCGTGGAACTTGTTCAGTTTATGTCTCAGTTGTTGAATCTTGTTATGTTCATACAAATATTTACACATGTTAAGTTTGACAGTGAGAGGACGTTTCTTTTTTTGCTGAGTTTATGTGTGCACTGCCCATGGCACCCCATGAAACACCACATCTAAGGCAAAGGCTAGTCTACTTATATTACGCTGATTGTATTAATCACAGTATTTGCTGACACGTTGCAGTTTGGTTGTTTACTGTATGATTGAGGAACCTTGATCTTGATAAAAAGGTTGTATAAACTCGCTCTCCATATCAAGCCTTGGCTACGATAACTACGGACAGCTTTGAAACTCAAAGGTTTCCTGTTGGTGTGTGCAAATGTGTTCTCTAAACAAACCAATGCTATATCTCCTGAGGCCTCTGAAACAAGGACAAAGGTTGAATTAATACAAACACACAAGACTACCGGTATCTAAAACTCTCCACAGTCAGTTGAATGGATTACAGCTACCTTTAAAAGCCTCCTTCATGAGAATTCACTCAGTCATGTTTGCATTACCATATTGGCCTATTATCGTCAGACAACACTATCAATCTACTCAGACCCTTAGGAGGAGCCTGTCTAGATCCCATGCCCTACAGACAGATTCATTTTCAGCCACTAGACTCCCTAAGAAAGTTAATGAGATAACACTGCCTAGGCCTGTTCCAGCCCACACAGTGGGCTATTTCAGCAAACTTCATTAAGACTGCTTCCCAAACTGATCTACAAATTTCATATTTGGGATTTGTGAAGTTATTTATTCTCTCTCTGGCTCGTGTGTGTGTGTTTAATTGGGGCATTTCTCCAGGAGAGAGTTTGGCCTGTGAAGCGAGCTGGCTGACTGAGAGGAGAGTGCCTGCTGGGAGGCTCCGACAGAGACAAAGTCAGTCTATGGATTAGGCAATCAGTCGACTTGGATTGACCAAACGGATTTAAAGGTCACTTTAATCTCCAACGTGCTAAGCACTGAAGAACATCAATCCCTCCAAATCCCCGGCTCAAACAGCAAGCAAAATTAGGATGCTCACCAGGGATTCAATGACACTCATAACCACGCACAGAGTTAGGCCACATCTTTTTGAAAAGGGGGCAAACATGTGAACCAAAATAAAGCCCTCCTTTAACCTATGTAGAGTGGATCAACAGTGACATTGATTGAAACCAGAGCTATTGACGTACTGTAGCCATGGATGAAATTACAGTGATTCTTCAAACACTATCAAATAATAAGGGCAGGTGACAAATACAAGAAAAGACTACAATGTTAATCAAACAGGTAAGTGTTCACTTACGATATTGCTGATCCCTGAATCGGCCATGTCGAACACAACAGTGAGTGGCATCCCTGGCTCTCTCTTAGCATAGCGCTCCAGCCAGAAGGCAACATACTTCTTCTTGTCCATAATGGTCTTTGCATCCTTGGTATGTAGCTTGACTTTGAACCAGACTGAAAACAGACAAAAGTATTGCATTCAATAATCTCAACATGTGGTAAACATATTATAGAACAATGGCTGAACATTTTCCGTATCCTTTTGTAAGGGGTATCAATATTGTGTCAGTGAGCAATTATTAGAGAGAAATCAATTATACATATGGTACCGTATGAGTATAATGAATCAACATACAGAGCTTGTTGCCTTCCTTGTCGTAGCCGTGGAGGAAGACAGCCCCCGTCTCAAACATCCACTTTGGAATGCTGCTCTCAGTGAGGTCTGAAATAAGACAAATCTTTCTCAGCCAAAAATCTAATAGAGCATTCAATAAGAAAGTTTCATAACATTAACAATTACTGGCCAAAATAATTATCTTAAAAAACCAAAGTATTCCTACCTCCTCTCCTCCATCCAAGACAGACAAAACTTGTCAACAAGGGACAATAACTCATATCAGATATCCAATTTCTGCATGACACCGATTTAACAAACTGACTGTTGTCTGCCTTAAAACCCTGTAATTGCATGAGTAAAATGCAGCAATTTATAAGTGAAACTTATAGAAGATAGTCCATCCGTACAGCCCGGAGACAACGAAGCCTTCTCTGAGAGAAGGCTATTTGTAAGTCGCTCTGGATAAGAGCGTCTGCTAAATGACGAAAATGTAAGAAGGCCAAGAATCTATCCGACATTGGCACACAAAGACAGCCCACCCCACCTCTTTTACACTGCTGCTATTCTCTGTTTATTATCTACGCATAGTCACTTTAATAACTCTACCTACATGTACATATTACCTAAATTACCTCAACTAACCGGTGCCCCCGCACATTGACTCGGTACCGGTACCCCCGTATATAGCCTCACTATTGTTATTTTTACTGCTGCTCTTTAATTATTTGTTACTTTTATTTCGTATTATTTTATATTGTAGTTTGTGATATTTTTGGGGTATTTTTTCTTAAAACTGCATTGTTGGTTAAGGGCTTGTAAGTAAGCATTTCACTGTAAGGTCTACACCTGTTGTATTCGGCGCATGTGACAAATACATTTTGATTTGATTAATCGTCAGAGTGTGGTGATGCTGATAGGCCTACATAAAAATGCTCTTTATAACTTGCCTGTATTTGAATATAGTTAGAACACCACTTTAGCAGGGTGTGAGAATGTGTGCTGTTCCTGTTTTCTACACTCAAACTTAAAAAGGATAAGTTAACTTTTTAAAACCAAATCTCTATATGATGCAAATGGCATGTTATAGAAGGGTCCAGACACTTTTTTTGTGATTTAACTTGGTTTTGAGGAACCTACCCCACTTGCGATACACTTCCTCATTTCTCGTTCTGCAGTATGGGGGCCGCAGATAAACATGAACAAAGGCTCCAAAAACACCCACATATGTCCTTTTAGAAACGGCAAAGCTCTCAGTATAGTGATGCAGGTCTTTAGATGTTGTACACATAAAATTGTGTCATTTCGAACATTTATATGCAACGTTAAATTAAATGTTGTTGTGACTCGATCCCAGTCTCCTCACCATTCAAACCAAATTCTTTCCTCCACAGGAAACTGTCGTCAATCATCTTCAAGGCATCGTCCACTGAGTATTGTCGCCATGTCAGGTATGCCTCCACCAGAGCGTCATCCTTCTGTATCCTGTCCACATCTCTGGAGTCATATTTGTCAGATTCTTTGAGGGATAGAGAAGTAAACAACTTACATTACTCATATATAAACTGAATACCTACTCCAACAACACACCTATGAGTTTGTTGCTTCTAACCTTTTACGACAAGACCCTACCATAGAGTGATGACAGCAATTAGCCTACTGTATGCAAAACAAAACAAGGGTACCTAGCTACTTCAGCTACCTCATTTACTAAATGTAGCTGTTTCTGAAACAAGTGTTCTGTCAAAGAGGGATTGGTCTTTCAAGAACGCTTATCAGGGGACTGAAAGGCATAGTATGGCAGTCTTCACTTCAAGTAGGCTACTCAAAATAACAGGCTTTTCTATTACAAAAAAACTAGTTTACATTATAATCATGGTGTGAACACAGACATGTCATTGCCAGTAGCCAAACCAATATCTATTCATCAATGAATTAATGTATCAGAACAATCTGTCAGACAACTGAATAGCTATGATGATGATGATTATGATCATTATTGTTTACAAGTGGCACATGACATGTGAACATATGGCAACAGGCAACTATTTCAAAAGTATTATCTGTTCCCAGTCAAATAGGTAGCTAACTAACGTTAACGAGCTAAGTAAACTAGATTGATGGACTGAAATCGAACAGCCAGCCCATAGCTGTCTGGCTTTTAGCTAACTTGTTAGCGAATGACGTTAGCTGTTACAGTAGCTAGATTATTGGGTGTTGTTGTGTCAAATGTTATTTTGCTAACTAGCCTGTTAGCATGCACTTACCTTGGACGTACTCATTCTTGAACTTCTGTCTTGTCTCCTCAATTTTCTTCTCAATGTCCTGTTGTAAGAGAGATAAGTTAGCCATGTGTAACGTTAATTCATCTTTTCATAACAAATAGCCAAGCAAAATATATGTATTCTTGCTCAAATAAGCTGGTGAGCTACCTGCTCTGATTCGAGCTGCCCAACTTCCGCCATGTTCAAGTGACTCTGTTCAAGTGACTGCTCCTGTGCTGGCTAGCGTGGCTACATGGAAGTTGATGGATGAATCAGTACTACCCAATGATATACAGTATATGTTGCCAATTAGGCTCTTGACTAGATCATCAAAGATATACATAAACGTAAGATATATCAGGTCCATATATGCAAATGTAAGGAACATTGCATGGGTTAATTACATCTTTATCAACGTAAGCATTGATGACAAAGCATGTAAAAAAAAAAAAAAAAAATGTTTACACTTGGTGCTTTCAAGACAACAGGGAATTCGGAAAAACGAGGTCAAATCATGACGTCAGTGATCTTCAGGTTGAAAAGTCGGAGCTCTAGAAAGATGCCCGAGTTTCCGACTTGGAATTCCGAGTTGGATGACCTTTCAAAACGATATTTCCCAGTCGGAGCTCGTTTTTTTCCAGAGTTCCCAGTTGTTGTGAACGCACTGAAGTCGGAAATTTCCGACTTCCGAGTTACCAGTTGTTTTTGAACTGTACACGTGTATGTTGTTGGATACGAGACTGGCTATCCCACAATGCAAAGTTTCTTACGTAATTAAAAGCGTTAGATTTGGGTCACGTTCTGCGCAGGATGATCGGCAAATGCCGAGCAAAAGTAGTTGCAGAGGGTTGAAAACCTTATATGAGACGTATATAACAGTATAACCTTATATATAGCCACATCAACTTATATGAACAATTTTGGTAGTTGGCCATACAAAAAATCCACCAATCTGTTCTACGCAGGCGACATGAATCGAGGGCACCCTGACTGAGTCTGCTGGCGCGATGTTTTGACATGAGCAGTAAATGTTTGATAGCCAAGTTAGCTAAGTATTTGACAAACGTTGCCCCATAACTGCAGGTAAGCATCGCCGGTTCATCTTTTATAATTGTATCGCGAAATCATGTGTCTAGTTAGTTAACTACATGTTTGTTCGTTGCAATTTGGGGGTTTATTGCAAGTAAGTTAGCTACAGTAACGTTAACTGGCTAACTACAGTACACCAGCTGAGCATTTCAGCAAGCTGATTAAGCTACCTAGCTAGATAAGCTAAACTCAACTAGAGTCATGTGCATATACTTTTCAGGTGACGCAGAGGGGACACAGATGACACCTGCTGAACTCTTCCTGCTACTGTGGATAAAAGTACCACAATGACACAAGACAGTCCCAGCCAACACACGAAGCTGCTCTCCTTCCATGGTGATATTCTCACATTTCAGTGTAAACTCTCCAATCCCAGAGATGGCGAAAGTCGAAGAGGATCAGAACTGGCTTTCAGCAGACTGACATTTCAACGGGATGGCTGCACTTTCTCAAAGGGGAATGGTGGTATGGCTGTCATCAACAGAAAGAGTTCATCAGATGTTGATATAGTGGCATGCGCCTTTGCACTACATGTGAAAAACAGAGTCACTTCGCCATGCATTTTACTGATACAGAGCAAGAAGGGAGATGTCTTCAAGTACAGCCTTCTCACTCTGAGCAGCTCAAATAGATTAGAGCCACATATGGAGTTTAAACTGCCATACCGAATGAAAGACAATGTTACTATCTTGCAGGGCCCTACTGTATTATGGAGCCATGAAGGTATTGTCTTCTACACATCCCTGCAGGCAGGTGAAGTTAGACAAATACCTATCAAGCTCTCTCTGAACTTTATTGGTGAGTTTCCCCTCAACAAAAGGAAAATATTCATACTAGGTTCCCAAACACAATCAAAAGAATGCCTGAAAGATCAGTTGGACGCTCCAGGCGGGAGCAAAACCCTGGGGTATTTTGTAGAGGACGGACAAGTATTGAACGCAGCTCTGATCTTACCTCATGCCTATAGTTCCATCACACAATGTGTATTTGTGATCTCAGCTGAAGAGGTGAACAGTGTGTTGAAATCAACTGTGGTGGCAGCGACCAGTAAAAAGCAGTTGGTGTATTTTGAGAATGGCATTCCCAGAGAGGTATGTCTGCTTCCCTTTGAAGAACCTCAACACATTCAGATGGTCAACACTGGACGGAATGGATGTCTGTTTGCCATCTCTTTCAACCATGGACATGTCTGTGCAGTGTGGAAAGATACTTTTCAGGTAATGGAATGCTATTTTGGGTGAGCTATCGTGCTTACTGTATAATTCTCATGGCCCTGCTCTGTCTCCCACAGGTAGCATCATGCTGGTCAGGTGTGAGCTCCCTACATGTGGATGACTTTTTGGGCTGTGGAACAGATCAGATGCTGCTGGTCTTTGGAAGCCAGAGCCCTCCTGTGGGTCCAGTGGATCTTTTCCTCATCACAGATCTCTGCGGTACAACTTATTCTGTGAGACACTACTATTTTGTTTTTCTTAAGTTTTATAACACCCCACTTATACCCCTAAATGTTTTATGTAGCAAGGTTCATATCGGGTGTTTTGTTAACCAGATGCCTAAAGGTACAGTTCTGATCTTTAAAGACTGTTGTATGTTTCAGCATGGACAGGAGAGCAGTGAAGGACAGCAGGCATCTGACACAGCTCAGGATAACTACCTCCTAACCGTCCAAGCTCTACAGTCCAGACTACAGGTATATTATTACATTCAGGAGAACATCACCACAGCTGTTATTCTGTAGTTGTGTATTTGGGTGCTAATGAGAACAATGTGTCAATTATTAAACAGTAGTCATGTTTGGAGTGTATTGTCCAGATGCATCGATATTCCAGTTTATCCAACATGATGTTGTTATTTTCCCCTATGTTGTGTTTCTATAGAGTGGCCTGACCTTGCTCCAGGATCTTCAGAGAGATGTGAGGGTGAAAGAGAGGGTTCTACGCCAGTCAGTCCAAGCCCTCACAGACATGGTCTCAGGAAGAGAACACATTCTCACCCAGACAGAGCAGGTGATTGGTCATTATCCTAGTCACGCTTATCTTTCTTACATGATCTTTCTGACATGACAATTCAATATATGCCAGATGTAAGTAACTGTTATCATATTGGTGTTGATGGTAGTCTTTGATCCTCTCTAACAGGAAGGCCTTGTTTCTCTATGGGATGATGAGCCAGAGGACGAGGCCATGCATGAGAAGATGCAGGTTATGCCAGTGGTGCCACCACCTCTAGTGGACAAGCTTTGGCACCGTGTCATTGAAGACCGCTTGATTGTGGGCGTGATACTAACCACAGAGAGTGCCATGTAAATATACTTCTCTCTCTATATCAGTTGATATTTTCACTGTCAAGTGAGCTCGTTTGAGAGTCCTATGAACATTGCATCTTATTTTCCTCAGTTACACGTCATTAAACATCAATTGTTAGTAGTGAATTTTGGCACTTCTAATTTTCTTTATCGTCTTAATTTTATGGAGCTGAGGGCATGTCCATGGTAATGATAGCGGCAGTGTTCATGTAATGATAGTATGTGTTAATGGGCTTCAGTCAACCATGGTTCCTGCCTGGTGAGAGCCACTTACCAGCTGTTAGATCCCACAGTGTCTGACCAGATTTCTTTATCTACCAACAAGAGCAATTCCCCAAAGACAGAGATAAAAAAACAGACAGAATATTGATCTTTAAAACCACTCACTTAAATCACACCCGAAAGAGAATGTTTCCCCTCTGGACATTTGTCTCACTAGCTAGGTTTCTATCCAATTGGCGACAGATGTTCATGCAAATATTCTAAGATCTGCATATGCGCAAAACAATATGTGCATTTTCCAATCAGAGATGTGGTTTCATCCAATTGACTTTTTGCGGATAAAAGGCAGTTTCTCATGACAGTGCACATAAATAACTTTTGCAGTTAAATTCCCATGTACCGAATAAAAAATAAAAAATAAACTTAAATGGGTTTCCATCGCGTTTTCAACTCTACTGATGGTTTTGTCACACCAGAAATTGTGTTTCAAATAGTGAATGTGCTCATTCTGTCCTTGGCACCTGCGCTCTAGCAACCGCTTGCAGATACAGTGCAGGTATAGCCTACATCAGTGGTTCCCAACCTTTGTCTGTTACTGTACCACCAATTGAATTTAGCTCTGCTAGGAGTACCCTGGAAGTACCCCCTCGTGCATTTTATGATCTAGAGTCTTTTATTTTACATTTACGTCATTTAGCAGATGCTCTTATCCAGAGCGACTTACAAATTGGTGCATTCACCTTATAGCCAGTGGGATAACCACTTTACAATATTTTTTTTTATTTTTTTCGGAGGGGTGGGGTAAGGGGGGGGTAGAAGGATTACTTTATCCTATCCCAGGTATTCCTTAAAGAGGTGGGGTTTCAAGTGTCTCCGGAAGGTGGTGAGTGACTCCGCCGTCCTGGCGTCGTGAGGGAGCTTGTTCCACCATTGGGGTGCCAGAGCAGCGAACAGTTTTGACTGGGCTGAGCGGGAACTGTGCTTCCGCAGAGGTAGGGGAGCCAGCAGGCCAGAGGTGGATGAACGCAATGCCCTCGTTTGGGTGTAGGGACTGATCAGAGCCTGAAGGTACGGAGGTGCCGTTCCCCTCACAGCTCCGTTGGCAAGCACCATGGTCTTGTAGCAGATGCGAGCTTCAACTGGAAGCCAGTGGAGTGTGCGGAGGAGCGGGGTGACGTGAGAGAACTTGGGAAGGTTGAACACCAGACGGGCTGCGGCATTCTGGATGAGTTGTAGGGGTTTAATGGCACAGGCAGGGAGCCCAGCCACAGCGAGTTGCAGTAATCCAGACGGGAGATGACAAGTGCATGGGTTAGGACCTGTGCCGCTTCCTGTGTAAGGCTGGGTCGTACTCTCCGAATGTTGTAGAGCATGAACCTACAGGATCGGGTCACCGCCTTGATGTTAGCGGAGAACGACAGCATGTTGTCCAGGGTCACGCCAAGGCTTTTTGCACTCTGGGAGGAGGACACAATGGAGTTGTCAACCGTGATGGCGAGATCATGGAACGGGCAGTCCTTCCCCGGGAGAAAGAGCAGCTCCGTCTTGCCGAGGTTCAGCTTGAGGTGGTGATCCGTCATCCACACTGATATGTCTGCCAGAGATGCGATTCGCCACCTGGTTATCAGAAGGGGGAAAGGAGAAGATTAGTTGTGTGTCGTCTGCGTAGCAATGATAGGAGAGGCCATGTGAGGATATGACAGAGCCAAGTGACTTGGTGTATAGCGAGAATAGGAGAGGGCCTAGAACTGAGCCCTGGGGGACACCAGTGGTGAGAGCACGTGGTGCGGAGACAGATTCTCGCCACCTCACTTGGTAGGAGCTACCAGTCCGGTAGGACGCAATCCAAGAGTGAGCCGTGCCGGAGATGCCCAACTCGGAGAGGGTGGAGAGGAGGATCTGATGGTTCACAGTATCAAAGGCAGCAGACAGGTCTAGAAGGACAAGAGCAGAGGAGAGAGAGTTAGCTTTAGCAGTGCGGAGAGCCTCCGTGACACAGAGAAGAGCAGTCTCAGTTGAATGACCAGTCTTGAAACCTGACTGGTTTGGATCAAGAAGGTCATTCTGAGAGAGATAGCAAGAGAGTTGGCTAAAGACAGCACGCTCAAGCGTTTTGGAGAGAAAAGAAAGAAGGGATACTGGTCTGTAGTTGTTAACATCGGAGGGATCGAGTGTAGGTTTTTTGAGAAGGGGTGCAACTCTCGGTCTCTTGAAGACGGAAGGGACATAGCCAGCAGTCAAGGATGAGTTGATGAGCGAGGTGAGGTAAGGGAGAAGGTCTCCGGAAATGGTCTGGAGAAGAGAGGAGGGGATAGGGTCAAGCGGGCAGGTTGTTGGGCGGCCGGCCGTCACAAGTCGCAAGATTTCATCTGGAGAGAGGTGGAGAAAGAAGTCGAAACATAGGGTAGGGCAGTGTGAGCAGGACCAGCAGTATCATTTGACTTAACAAACGAGGATCGGATGTCGTCAACCTTCTTTTCAAAATGGTTGACGAAGTCATCCACAGAGAGGGAGGGAGGGGGGGGATTCAGCAGGGAGGAGAAGGTGGCAAAGAGCTTCCTAGGGTTAGAGGCAGATGCTTGGAATTTAGAGTGGTAGAAAGTGGCTTTAGCAGCAGAAACAGAGGAAGAAAATGTAGAGAGGAGGGAGTGAAAAGATGCCAGGTCCGCAGGGAGTCTAGTTTTCCTCCATTTCCGCTCGGCTGCCCGGAGCCCTGTTCTGTGAGCTCGCAATGAGTCGTCAAGCCACGGAGCAGGAGGGGAGGACCGAGCCGGCCGAGAGGATAGGGGACATAGAGAGTCAAAGGATGCAGAAAGGGAGGAGAGGAGGGTTGAGGAGGCAGAATCAGGAGATTGGAGGGAGAAGGATTGAGCAGAGGGAAGAGATGATAGGATGGAAGAGGAGAGAGTAGCGGGAGAGAGAGAGAGAGTGAAGGTTGCGACGGCACATTACCATCTGAGTAGGGGCAGAGTGAGTAGTGTTGGAGGAGAGTGAGAGAGAAAAGGATACAAAGTAGTGGTCGGAGACATGGAGGGGAGTTGCAGTAAGATTAGTAGAAGAACCGCATCTAGTAAAGATGAGGTCAAGTGTATTGCCTGCCTTGTGAGTAGGGGGGGATGGTGAGAGGGTGAGGTCAAAAGAGGAGAGGAGTGGAAAGAAGGAGGCAGAGAGAAATGCGTCAAAGGTAGACGTAGGGAGGTTAAAGTCACCCAGAACTGTGAGGGGTGAGCCATCCTCAGGAAAGGAACTTATCAAGGCGTCAAGCTCATTGATGAACTCTCCAAGGGAACCTGGAGTGCGATAAATGATAAGGATGATAAGCTTGAATGGGCTAGTGACTGTGACAGCATGGAATTCAAATGAGGAGATAGACAGATGGGTCAGGGGAAAAAGAGAGAATGTCCACTTGGGAGAGATGAGGATTCCTGTGCCACCACCCCGCTGACCAGATGCTCTCGGGGTATGCGAGAACACATGGTCAGACAAGGAGAGGGCAGTAGGAGTAGCAGTCTTTTCAGTGGTAGCAGTGTTTTTATGGTCTCGAGTCTTCTCAAGTAACCCTTGTGGATAGGCCAAATACCCACAGTGGTCATAGTACCCCTGGTTGGGAACCACTGGCCTACATGAGATTATTATGGACAAAAAGAGCGAGATGATCATTTTTATTTGTCAATCGACAGCCAAGCATCGATCATAATGTCACCAGAATAAGACCGTCAATATTAATTGGAAAGGAGCATCAAGCTCATCACTGTGCACTTTCACCACCCTGTGAAGTTCATAATTTATTTAATCTGTAGCCTAATAAACTGCAAGCTTTCCCGAGTTGTAGTGAGAGGACCACACAACATATCGTTGTGACTCCCAAGTTTACTTCGATATGATGGTTATTGTATCAATATGTGCACATGAAGTCGTTTCCACTGCCATTTCTCGCATAATTGATTTTATCGACACAAAAAGATCCCACCTTGTCTAGTGTATTTTGTTTTGTCGACATTTGAAAGGTTTACCGACAAAATTTGCTGTTTCCATCAGGCCTGTCGTGACATTTTTTTTTTTTTACTCGCATAAAAAGGTTTGATGCAAACCTGGTTAATATCACAGAAAAATTTGACAACTTTGATCATGATACTATTGATGATGATATATAGCAAACAAACATAACATCAAATGCTGTTTACGCCTGTGAAGTGCACTCAAAGCAAGACACTGAAGGGGACGTCAATAATGTCTTACCTTCCACCCAGCTGCCTAGCCTCAGCCTCCTGTAGAAGAGCTGCTGTTAGGCGCCGGTCGTAGTCTTTCTCTCTCTCGAGCGATAACTCTCCAGACTTTGAAAAATTACTATACAGCAGCCACATGCCTGTCTGGTCACCATGGCAACACACTCTCCAACAGCCCTCAGAGCGGTTTCTGTGGGAGCGCACACCAATCAAGAGTCCAAGTTGTGCCACCTGTTCTGTTTCAACTTGGGCGCATGTCTTGAGGATGGAGAACATCATCCTTATGGTGGAATTGCTTGGGGGCCCTCAGTGCTGCTGCTGTGGGTTAACATGGCACTGGTACAGCCCCGTGTAGCTCATTTGGTAGAGCATGGCGCTTGCAGCGCCAGGGTTGTGGGTTCGATTCCCACGGGGGGCTAGTATGAAAATGTATGCACTCACTAACTGTAAGTCGCTCTGGATAAGAGCATCTGCTAAATGACTTAAATGTAAATAGTACATAGGCTCTCCAGACAGTTTGAGATCACTCATCTGTTTGTTCTTTCACGTGTTCTTTTGGTCTTTCATTTATTTGCTCACTCACTCACTTCATTAATGCTAAATGTAATTGATTCCCTGTGCAGCAGCCTACTGTGTCCAAGTGACTGTTACTGATGCGTTATACACTGAACAAAAATATAAACGCAACATGTAAAGTGTTGGTTTCATGAGCTGAAATATAAAGATCCCAGAAATGTTCCATACGCACAAAAAGCTTATTTCTCGAAAATGTTGTGCACAAATTTGTTTACATCCCTTTAAGTGAGCGTTTCTCTTTTGCCAAGATTATCCATCCACCTAACAAGTGTAGCATGTCAATAAGCTGATTAAACAGCATGATCATTACACAGGTGCACCTTGTGCTGTGGACAATAAAAGGCCACTCTGAAATGTGCAATTTGTCACACAACACAATGACACATATGTCTCAAGTTTTGAGGGAGCATGCAATTGGCATGCTGACTGCAGGAATGTCCACCAAAGCTGTTGCCAGAGAATTTAATGTTCATTTCTCTACCATAAGCCGCCTCCAACATCGTTTTAGAGAATTTGGCAGTACGTCCAACTGGCCTCACAACCTCAGACCACGTGTATGGCGTCATGTGGGTGAGCGGTTTGCTGATGTCAACGTTGTGAACAGTGCCCCATGGTGGGGTTATGGTATGGGAAGGCATAAGCTACGGACAACGAACACAATTGCATTTTATCAACGGCAATTTTAATGCACAGAAATGCCAATGACGAGATCCTGAGGCTCATTGTGAGGACCATTTCTTTTAAGTTATCTGTGACCAACAGATGCATATCTGTATTCCCAGTCATGTGAAATCCATAGATTAGGGCCTAATTAATTTATTTCAATTTACTGATTTCCTGAACTATAACTTCTAGCTCAGCCGAGAGTGTTACTTTATCCATCCTGAGAGAGGGAGGCCGGAGCCGGGCGCCTGCAGTCATCCAGACCCACAGCCAAGCGTCCTGGTTCCCCACACCCAGACCCCCGTCTCCCTGCTCTCACCCAGAGCCAGCGGCTAAGAGGAGCAGGCGGGACTGTGCCAGTGCCAGTGGAGCCCGTGACACACACAGACTGGCAGTGACCGCTGTGACTGACCTGACCCCTCTGCTGACCTCTGGCAGTGTCAAATGCCCCATTATGCTCCATTACGTCCACAGACAGGGATCTTCAGCCTCTGTAACCGCCCCAGGACCAACAGTGGTCCAGTGCGGTCAAGTCCTAGTCGATATCCAGGTCAAACACCACCCCCAGCTGATGACCAACAGTCAACTCACAACAGGTAAAACTGTGACCCTTCATTTCAGTTAATGGTCAATAAGTAAGAACTCTGTAACTCCCCTGTATGTTAATTGATAGTCGTTTGTGTATGCAGTTACATACAGTATGTCACGTCTTTTCTTAACAGTACAATAGTGTTGCTTACTCATTGAATATATGGGCTATACAGTTAATACAGTATGTATGTATTGTATTCACTATTCTATTGCATTCTATTTTCTTTCCTGTCTTTCTAGATGAGGCTAGAGAAGACCTGCTTAGCCTATTGGCCGTGCTGGATGCCTGGACCTTCCTGATCCACTCCCCTGACCACACCCTGTGTGACGTGGCTGGCTGGATCCAGACAAGCATGCCCTGTGAGAGGCTAGAGATCAGCCCACACTACCTACTGGCCAATCCTGCTGGGCCATCTGCTGCCATGCTGTTTCACTGGCAGCACAAAACACCTTTCCAGGGAGAATTATCCGTCCACTGCAGGTAGCTTATCTTTGCTTACAATGCCATTTGATATGTTCAAGGAATTAGGAAATTATATATATATATATATATATATATATATATATATATATATATATATATATATATATATATATATATATATATATATATATATATATATATATATATATATATATATATATATATATATTAGGAAATTACCCACAAGAGTGATTCAATTACTTGGTAGTGGGGCATGCATGAATGTTCCTTAATCCAAATATACTGGAACATTTAATGGCACAGTAATACTTCAATGGTACAGTGAGTTTTGTAACAGATGAAACGCTAATAATAATATTATATATATATATATATATATATATATATATATATATATATATATATATATATATATAATATTATTTGCGTTTCTAATAATAATAATATTATATATATATAAAATATTATTATTATTATTCGCGTTTCATCTGTTACAAAACTCACTGTACCATTGAAGTATTACTGTGCCATTAAATGTTCCAGTATATTTGGATTAAGGAACATTCATGCATGCCCCACTACCAAGTTATTGAATCACTCTTGTGGGTAATTTCCTAATATATATATATATATATATATATTAGTACCAATCAAAAGAGTTTGGACATACCTACTCATTCCAGGGTTTTTCTTTATTTGTACTATTTTCTACATTGTAGAATAAAGGTGAAGACCTCAAAACTATGAAATAACACATATGGAATCATGTATTAACCAAAAAAGTGTTGAAACGAATCAAAATATATTTTATATTTGAGATTCTTCAAAGTAGCCATCCTTTGCCTTGATGACAGCTTTGCACACTTTTGGCATTCTCTCAAGAACTTTGAAAGTTTCTTCAAGTGCAGTCGCATAAAGCACTATGCACTATGATGAAACTGGATCTCATGAGGACCGCCACAGGAATGGAAGACCCAGAGTTACCTCTGCTGCAGAGGATAAGTTCATTAGAGTTACCAGCCTCAGAAATTGCAGCCCAAATAAATGCTTCACAGAGTTCAAGTAACATCTCAACATCAACTGTTCAGAGGAGACTGTGTGAATCAGGCCTTCATGGTCGAATTGCTGCAACTAAACCACTACTGAAGGACACCAATAAGAAGAAGAGACTTGCTTGGGATAAGAAACACGAGCAATGGACATTAGACCAGTGAAAATCTGTCCTTTGGTCTGATGGGTCCAAATTTGAGATTTTTTGTTACACCCGCCGTGTCTTTGTGAGACGCAGAGTAGGTGAACGGATGATTTCTGCATGTGTGGTTCCCACCGTGAAGCATGGAAGAGGAGGTGTGGGGGTGCTTTGCTGGTGACACTGTCAGTGATTTATTTAGACTTCAAGGCACACTTAACCAGCATGGCTACCACAGCATTCTGCAGTAATGCGCCATCCCATCTGGTTTGCGCTTAGTGGGACTATCATTCGTTTTTCAACAGGACAATGACCCAAAGCATACCTCCAGGCTGTGTAAGGGCTATTTGACCAAGAAGGAGAGTGATTGAGTGCTGGATCAGATGACCTGGCCTCCATTATCACCCAACCTCAACCCATTTTGAGATGGTTTGGGATGAGTTGGACCACAGAGTGAAGGAAAAGCAGCCAAGAAGTGCTCAGCATATGTGGGAACTCCTTCAAGACTGTTGGAAAAGCATTCCAGGTGAAGCTGGATGAGAGAATGCAAAGAGTGTGCAAAGCTGTCATCAAGGCAAAGGGTGGCTATTTGAAGAATCTCAAATCTCAAATATATTTTGATTTGTTTAACACTTTTTTGGTTACTACATGATTCCATGTGTGTTCTTTCATAGTTTTGATGTCTTCACTATTATTCTACAATGTAGAAAATAGTACAAATAAAGAAAAACCCTGCAATGAGTAGGTGTGTCCAAACTTTTGACTGGTACTATATATATCTCATGGTATTTACATAATTGTTCACCTGTAGCCAGTTCAAGGTGCTGCAGTTCCTAGACTCCCTGTGTGGTTTCCTGCCAGCATCCTGCTCCATCCTGCCTCTCAGACAGGGGGGAGGAGATGGGACGGCACCACGACTGGCCCATTCCCTGGAGAAAGAGGTACTGTCACTCAAACAGGGCCTGTCGTCTCTGTTCCGTGGTGAGGAGGAGATGGAAGAGGGGAAGAAGATAGAGCCCCCTGATCCAGGCTCTGCCGAGGGACTCCAGAGGTGCAGGGAGGAGTGGCAGAGGGACAGGGAGAGGAGCAGGAGGTTGTTGAGCCCCCTGGTGGGCGTGGACTGCTATCGCAGGCTGACCCAGAGCCTAGCCCAGGTACAGCTGGAAGGAGATGTAGCCGCCCTCCTAGAGACACAGACTCACACACTCATTTAGCTTTGCACTGCATTGACATGTACACTCAGTGGCCAATTTCTTAGGTATACCCATCTAGTACTGGGTCGGACCCCCCTTTGCCTCCAGAACAGCCTAAATTCTTTGGTTCATGGGAACGTAGTTCAATTGGTATCAAGGGACCTAACTGGTGCCAGGAAAACATTCCCCACACCATTATACCACCGCCACCTGCCTGTACCGTTGACACCAGGCAGGATGGGGCCATGGAGTCATACTGCTTACGGCAAATCCTGCCTCTGCCATCAGCATGACGCAACAGGAACCGGGATTCGTCGGAGCAGGCAATGTTTTTTCTGCTCTTCAGTTGTCCAGTGTTGGTGATGGCGTGCCCACTGGAGCCGGTTCTTCTTGCTTTTAGCTGATAGGAGTGGAACCCGGTGTGGTCGTCTGCTGCAATAGCCCATCTGTGACATGGACCGACGAGTTCTGCATTCCGAGATGCTGTTCTGCACACCACTGTTTTATTGCACCGTTATTTGCCTGTTTGTGGCCCACCTGTTAGCTTGCACGATTCTTGCCATTCTCATTCGACCTCTCATCAACGAGCTGTTTTCGCACACAGGACTGCCTCTGACTGGATGTTTTTTGTTTGTCGCACCATTCTCGGTTAACCCTAGACACCGTCTTTTCTCAGATACTGGAACTGGCGCACCTGGCACTGACGATCATACTGTCGCTTAGATCACTCGTTTTGCCCATTCTAACATTCAATCGAACAGTATCTGAATGCCTCAACGCCTGTCTGCCTGCTTTATATAGCAAGCCACGGCCACGTTACTCACTCTGTAGAAGCGAGCCATTTTTGTGAAAGGGATACCTAATAAACTGGCCACTTAGAGTATAGTAGTTACTTTTTATTTCTATGCTTTCTACAGGATTGTATGGTTACGTTCTTTCGGTTTCTAATATTCTGTATGTGCCTATTATCAATGAAATGTTGAGATTCAGTCCAGATGATCCCTCTCTTATGAACTGAGTACTACCTTATGCATTGTCATTGGTAATGAGAAGTTACAAACCAGAGATAAAATTCACCCTGTAGGTTACTGTAATTATTATGTTGAAATCTCTGATACTGTAAACCTGCCTGTACCTATAGTGCCTTCAGAAAGTACTCATACCCCTTGACTTATTCCAGATTTTATTGTTACAGCCTGAATTCAAAATGGATTAAATATATTTTTTGTCTCACCCATCTACACACAATACCCTATAATGACAAAGTGAAAACATGTTCTGAGAAATTGTTTAAAATCTTTTGAAAATGAAATACAGAAATATCTAATTTACATAAGTTTCTCCCTTAGTCAATACATGTTAGAATCACCTTTGGCAGTGATTACAGCTGTGAGTCTCTCTGGGTAAGTCTCTAAGCGCTTTGCACACCTGGATTGTACAATATCTGCCCATTTTTATTATTTTCAAAATTCTTTAAGCTTGTTCTTCATTTAAGTCTGCATTGATGGGATGGAGCATCGCTTTCTCTACAGTAGTTTCTGTTTCGAGAAGGGGCTCAGCCTAAACGGTTATGGCGCTTTACAACAAGTAAATAGTTTCATTTCCTTTTATTAGCATCTCAAAACCAATGGTGCTTTATTTCTACTGAAGTAGCAGTATACAGTGCCTTCAGAAAGTATTAACACCCCTTGACTTATTCCAAAAAATTTTGTGTTGCAGCCTGAATTCAAAATGGATAAAATAAATAACAAAAATCTCACCCATCTAAACACAATACCCAATAATGACAAAGTGAAAACATGTTTTTAGAGATGTTTTCTAATATTTCTTCTCATTTACATAAGTGTTCACACCCCTGAGTCAATGCATGTTAGAATAACCTTTGGCAGTGATTAAAGCTGTGAGGCTTTCTGGTTAAGTCTCTAAGCGATTTGCACATCTGGATTGTACAATATTTACCCATTATTTTCAAAATTCTTCAAGCTCTTCAATTAGTTGTAGATCATTGCTGGACGACCATTTTCAAGTCTTTCAAGTCAAAACTGTAACTCGGTGTCTCAGGATAATTTACTGTCTTCGTGGTAAGCAACTCCAGTGTAGATTTGGCCTTGTGTTTTAGGTTATTGTCCTTCTGAAAGGTGAATTAATCTCCCAGTGTTAAGGTAGAAATCACACTGAACCAGGTTTTCCTGTATAATTTTGCCTGTGCTTAGCTCCATTCCGTTTATTTTTTGTCCTGAAAAACTCCACAGTCCTTAATGATTATAAGCACACCCATAACATGATGCAGCCACCACTATGCTTGAAAATATGGAGAATGGTACTCCGTAATGAATTATTGGATTTGCCCCAAACATAACACTGTGTTCAGGACAAAAAGTGAATTGCTTTGCGTAATTTTTTTTGCAGTGTTACTTTAGTGCCTTATTGCAATTTTGGATTCTGTACAAGCTTCCTTTTCACGCTGTCAATTAGGTTAGTATTGTGGCGTAATTACAATGTTGTTGATCCATCCTCAGCCATTAAACTCTGTAACTGTTTTAAAGTCACCATTGGACTCATGGTGAAATCCCTGAGCTGTTTCCTTCCTCCCCGGCAACTGAGTTAGGAAAGACGCCTGTATCTTTGCAGTGACTGGGTGAAACATCCAAAGTGTAATTAATGACTTCACCTTGCTCAAAGGGATATTCAATGTCTGCTTCTTTTTTTTTTTTTGGTGAGGCATTGGAAAACATCCCTGGTCTTTGTTTGAAATTCACTGCTCGATTGAGGGACCTTACAATTATCTGTATGTGTGGGGTACAGAGATGAGGTAGTCATTCAAAAATCATGTTAAACACTATTTTGCACACAGTGAGTCCATACAACTTATGTGACTTGTTAAGCAAGTTTTTATTCCTGAACTTATTTAGGCTTGCCATAACAAAGAGGTTGAATACTTATTGACTCAAGACATTTCAGCTTTTTCATTTTTAATTATTTTGAAAATATGTCTAAAAACATAATTCAATTTTGACATAATGGGGTATTGTGTGTGTGGGCTTGTGACAAAATATATGTTTAATCCCTTTCAAAATCAGGCTGTAACCCAACAAAATGTGGAAAAAGCAGAGCAGTGTGAATACTTTCTGAAGGCACTGTATGAGTGTATGCGTGTGTGAATGCTTGTCTCCCTTGGACCACCTCCTGTGCTTCACGCCTCTAATCTGTGTGCGATAGCTACTCCTCTCTCCCCTCAGACCGGCAGCCTGTGAAACACTGTGCTGCTGCTGTGCCCACTGGGAGAGACTGGCTTCTTACTCTGATCTGAAGTGTGAAACACTGTGTGTTCAGAATGAAACTTTAGGAGGTAACGGGTTAGCAAAGGTCTACACCTACCTCCCTGGTTAGTAGCTGAGAAAGCTTTTAGTGTCTCTTCTTCCCTTTATGGCTCTGTTATGTTCTCTGTAAGATGCTATAAAATAAACTCATATTGGATGTTGTCTTGTCATGACCACATGTAGTACAGTTACTATTACGTGTCCTTCGTCCAAGGGAACATCAATGGTGTTTATTTCTAAATGTGCTCAAAAAGCAGCTTTCCTAAGAGTCCTCATCCCAGGCTGTTAGATCGGTGAGTTTTGTGACAGCTTAGGATGGGGATGTGCCGTTTGGCTGTCGGCTAGCCAGGAGCTGCTGTGTCTCCATCTGTCTGTGGCACTCCGTCTGATCAGAGAAACTCCCCTTTTTGCTCTCTCACAACTATGCTTTCTGCTCCACTGCCTCAGGCAGTTATTGGATCCAGGGCTCTTGGACTCACTGTCACAATACTTTTTGTCTAGAAAACATACTTGGACAACATTGTTGTAGGCACTCTTTGTTTTCACTATAATGGGATTTTTTGGGCAAAATAATAACAATAAAAAGCCATGTAATTCAAATGATTCAGCTTTGAACCTGTTTTTGGAGAAATGTATCCTCTGGTGATACCTGCCATTGCGTTTTGCGCTGTCATTTTCACAACACTCCCACTAATTCACTCCCCCTCTTGTTTAGCACCTTCACACCTTTGGCCTCCTTCAAACCCACAGGTTTTTAGATTATCATCTGGGGTTAGGTATACAGCGACTGCGCTGTGGCACCTGCTCGATTTATGTTATCAGCTGGGGATGGTTTTCTGCCTGGAGGCCTCTTCAAACCTCTGCCTGGCAGGCTGAGGAGAATGTGTGGGATTTGTTTTGTCATCCCGTTATTGCATGCTAACTTTCATTACATTTGAGAAGGATCACTGCAGGGCTTCTGCCCTCGATCCACAAAAGTGTTTTGATCAGAATGAAGAATGCGGTTTCTGACAGGTGAATGTCATCAGGCGCCATTGCAGACAAGGACCAGACATGAAGCTTGCATGAATGCATCTTTCTTCTCCGGAGCCAAAATATACTTTACAAAAATATAACAACAATTTCAAAGATTTTACTGAGTTACAGTTCACATAAGGAAATCAGTCAATTGAAATAAATTTGTTAGGCCCTAATCTATGGATTTCACATGACTGGGAATACATACATTTATCTGTTGGTCACAGCTACCTTACAAAAAAGGTAGGGGCGGGGATCAGAAAACCAGTCAGTATCTCCTTTGCATAGAGTTGATCAGGCTGTTGATTGTGGCCTGTGGAATGTTGTCCCACTCCTCTTCAGTGACTGTGCTAAGTTGCTGGATATGAGGTGATGGCGGCGGATGAATGGCACGACATTGGGCCTCGGGATCTCGTCACGGTATCTCTGTGCATTCAAATTGCAATAGATAAAATGTAATTGTGTTCGTTGTCCATAGCTTATGCCTGCCCATACCATAACCACACTGCCACCATGGGGCACTCTGTTCACAACGTTGACATCAGCAAACCGCTCGCTCACACGATGCCATACACGTGGTGTGCGGTTGTGAGACTGGTTGGACGTACTGCCAAATTCCATAAAACGACGTTGGAGATGGCTTATGGTTGAGAAATTAACGTTAAAATCTCTGGTAAAAGCTCTGGTGGACATTCCTGCAGTCAGCATGCCAATTGCACGCTCCCTCAAAACGTGAGACATCTGTGGCATTGTGTTTGTGTGACAAAACTGCACATTTTAGAGTGGCCTTTTATTGTCCCAAGCACAAGGTGGCACCTGTGTAATAATCAGCTTCTTGATATGCCACATCTGTCAGGTGGATGGATTGTCTTGGCAAACTAGAAATGCTCACTAACAGGGATGTAAACAAATCTGTGCACAAAAATGAGAAGAATAAGCTTTTTGTGCATATGGAAAGTTTCTGGGATCTTTTATTTCAGCTCATGAAACATGGGACTAACACTTTACATGTTGTGTTTTTATGTATTTTTTCTAGTGTTGTTTATGAAGGTTATTATTCAAGGGCATTTCTGCCACTTTTCAAACTCTTATCTCCAGCACAATACCAGAGTCTACATATGTGAAAATATTGCGTTTCTATGATCTGTGGTTAAAAAGATATGATGAAGGTCCTAAAAAATGTCATCAAGTGTCATCAAGACAAAATACTTTTCAAAACCTGCAACGAGTTTCTAGCCAGAGGGAGGGTATTTTCTTTCTCCCCAAGTCACTGTGAATCTGTTAGTGTTTGAAAATCACTGTTTATCAAATGTTGATAATGTCATCGGGTAGAACTTTTTCACGTATTTATTTTTCTACAAAATGTAGATATGTGCCATTTCACAGATGTAGACACTGATTGTTCTGGATATGATGAACATGAGCTTGAAAAATGGTGGAATTGGCCTTTAAGACATGAAGGCAATTTGCCAGTCATTCCAGATTTACAGTTGAAGTCGGAAGTTTACATACAGTTAGGTTGGAGTCATTAAAACTAGTTTTTCAACCACTCCACAAATTTCTTGTTAATAAACTATAGTTTTGGCAAGGCGGTTAGGACATCTACTTTGTGCATGACACAAGTAATTTTTCCAACAATTTACAGACTGATTTATTTTACTTATAATTCACTGTATCACAATTCCAGTGGGTCAGAAGTTTACATACACTAAGTTGACTGTGTCTTTAAACAGCTTGGACAATTCCAGAAAATGATGTCATGGCTTTAGAAGCTTTTGATAGGCTAATTGACATCATTTGAGTCAATTGGAGGTGTACCTGTGGATGTATTTCAAGGCCTACCTTCAAAGTCAGTGCCTCTTTTCTTGACATCATGGGAAAATCAAAAGAAATCAGCCAAGACCTCAGAAAAAAGATTGTAGACCTCCGCTAGTCTGGTTCATCATTGGGAGCAATTTCCAAATGCCTGAAGGTACCACGTTCATCTGTACAAACAATAGTACGCAAGTATAAACACCATGGGACCACGCAGCCGTCATACCGCTCAGAAGAAGCCACTGCTCCAAAACCGCCATAAAAAAGCCAGACTACGGTTTGCAACTGCACATGGGGACAAAGATTGTACTTTTTGGAGAAATGTCCTCTGATCTGATTAAATAAAAATATAACTGTTTGGCCATAACGACCATCGTTATGTTTGAAGGAAAAAGGGGACACTTGCAAGCCGAAGAACACCATCCCAACCGTGAAGCACGGCGGGGGGTGCATTGCTGCAGGAGGGACTGGTGCACTTCACAAAATAGATGGCATCATGAGGAAGGACTTATTATGTGGATATATTGAAGCAACATCTCAAGACATCAGTCAGGAAGTTAAAGCTTGGTCGCAAATGGGTCTTCCAAATGGACAATGACCCCAAGCATACTTCCAAAGTTGTGGCAAAATGGCTTAAGGACAACAAAGTCAAGGTATTGGAGTGGCCATCACAAAGCCCTGACCTCAATCCTATAGAACATTTGTGGGCAGAACTGAAAAAGCGTGTGCGAGCAAGGAGGCCTACAAACATTGACTCAGTTCGACCAGCTCTGTCAGGAGGAATGGGCCAAAAATCACCCAACTTATTGTGGGAAGCATGTGGAAGGCTACCCGAAACGTTTGACCCAAGTTAAACAATTTAAAGGCAATGCTACTAAATACTAATTGAGTGTATGTAAACTTCTGACCCACTGGGAATGTGATGAAATAAATAAAAGCTGAAATAAATCATTACATTTACATTACATTTTCGTCATTTAGCAGACGCTCTTATCCAGAGCGACTTACAAATTGGTGCATTCACCTTATGATAGCCAGTGGGACAACCACTTTACAATTGTTTTTTATTGTTTTTGGGGGGGGGGGGGTAGGATTACTTTATCCTATCCCAGGTATTCCTTAAAGAGGTGGGGTTTCAAGTGTCTCCGGAAGGTGTTGAGTGACTCCGCTGTCCTGGCGTCGTGAGGGAGCTTGTTCCACCATTGGGGTACCAGAGCAGCGAACCGTTTTGACTGGGCTGAGCGGGAACTGTGCTTCCGCAGAGGTAGGGGGGCCAGCAGGCCAGAGGTGGATGAACGCAATGCCCTCGTTTGGGTGTAGGGACTGATCAGAGCCTGAAGGTATGGATGTGCCGTTCCCCTCACAGCTCCGTAGGCAAGCACCATGGTCTTGTAGCAGATGCGAGCTATTCATTCTTTCTACTATTATTCTGACATTTCACATTCTTAAAATAAAGTGGTGATCCTAACTGACCTAAGACAGGGAATTTTTACTAGGATAAAAAATTGGGAATTGTGAAAAACTGAGTTTAAATGTATTTGGCTAAGGTGTATGTAAACTTCCGACTTCAACTGTAAATCTGTTGACAAGACAAAAACATGTAGCCTAGTTTCCATCTTGTACAGTTTATTAGAATTACATTTGTTTCTTTTTTTACATTTTGCAGACGCTCTTATCCAGAGCGACTTACAGTTAGTGAGTGCATACATTTTTCATACTGGCCCCCCGTGGGAATCGAACCCACAACCCTGGCGTTGCAAGCGCCATCCTCTACCAACTGAGCTACACGGGAGTTGCTATGTTACTGAACATGAATCATCATTTAATATTCTATTAAGGGACAAACAAGCCCCAGATACTTGATTGACTATTTCCAGAGGCATCGTTGTGGTAGTGTTGACACCAACAATGATGAGTGATGTTGGTGGAGAGAAGTCATTGTTATGCTGATTCTGAGTGACAGGAGGTCAACCTTGATCGCTCTGCTCCTGGCCTGCTTGCTACAGCTATTGACTAAGTTTCCTCTCACTGCAGGACTATGTCACAGGTTGAAGTCTATTGGGGTGAATCTTGTCCTGGAGGCAGAGCTGAGCGATTTACACTAGATGGGCCAGTTTCAAAGTCAAAATTGGCTATATATCGTACAAATTCATGGAAACAAACAAAAAAAACATTTTTGGTCATAAAAGGATACTTCGGGAATTTGGCAATGAGGCCCTTTATCTAATTCCCCAGAGTCAGATGAACTTGTGGATACCAGTTTTATGTCTGTGTCCAGTATGAAGGAAGTTAGAGGTAGTTTCGCGAACCAATGCTAACTAGCTTTAGCACAATGACTGGAAGTCTAAAGGCCTCACGAAGTATCCCTTTACTTTATGGTTAGGGTTATGCATAAGGTCAGCAGTGTGGTTAAGGTCAGGGTTAGGTTTCAAATCAGATTGTATGACTGTGGCTGAGTCAGCTAGTGACTACCCTGCTGAGCTGCCTCCAGTACATGAGTCATCCCAATAAATGCCTGTGACTGTCAAATCTATGTGAAAATACACAGGCTTATTTACATTTACATTTTAGTCATTTAGCAGACGCTCTTATCCAGAGCGACTTACAGTTAGTGAATACATTTTTTTTATACTGGCCCCCCGTGGGAATCAAACCCACAACCCTGGCGTTGCAAACGCCATGCTCTATCAACTGAGCTACATCCCAGCCGGCCATTCCCTCCCCTACCCTGGACGACGCTGGGCCAATTGTGCGCCGCCCATGAGTCTCCCGGTCGCGGCCGGCTGCGACAGAGCCTGGATTCGAACCAGGATCTCTAGTGGCACAGTTAGTACTGCGATGCAGTGCCTTAGACCACTGCGCCACTCAGGAGTATTGATTACAATAGAGAAGTATCTCTACGCTGAAGATGTATTTCGACTGTACCTTGACTAGTAGTCGTCGGAAGTACTCTCTCTCCCTGTGTTTGACTACAATTCCAAGTGGCACACTTGCAGTATTCAATTATTATAAAAAAAATGTATGCAGATACTCTCAAAAATAAATACTCTTAAAAGCGCTTCCCAGTGATGTTTGAATGGAACATCACAGACACTTTTAAAGTAGACCTCCGACGTAAATCCCAATTGCGTGACTTTATCAAATATCAATCATGTATTATGATATTTGTTCAACTTAGCAACTCCCCCGCGTTCCTTCCTTATCACATCCTAACCCATTTATATTTGTTTCTAATTTTACTTCTTCTTCTGACTGGTGGGACTTGCCTGACACAGTCAGAAAGTGTGGGGTTGTTCAGTCTAATTCCTATAATTGTACATGTCCCATCAGGAGCATAAACAGTGTTTATCAGTTCTCGTTAGTAACCATATTTCTGAGCAGTACAACTCCGTGATTAGAAATTGATATTTATTTATGCACTTTGGAGTAGGATTTAGAATGATAGAATCATTGTGCTTTGAAAAACATTTCCTAAGACAGCAGGGAAACCAGTCATGGAAGGCCTGGAGGGGAATCGAAGCATGCACAGACAGTTCAGTCTCATTGATTATAGACTAGCTACATAGAGCCATGACAAAGGAGCTGAGATCAATACTCTGTAATATCAGCAGCATCCCACACAAGTTCCCATCTACAGTAGTAGCACTGGGTTTTAAGTCTGTGTCCAACCTCTAAAGGTGGGAATTGTATTGACATTAAGTGGTTTTGTTAGTTAGAAAGTGTAGAGTTGGGGCTGTTTTGCAGTTCCAGAAAGGATCATGGGTAAACATCGGTTTGAGTTGGATGACAATGATTATAGCTTTGTTATGGTCATCTATAAGGCTGGGTTAATCACTGGAATAACATAAAACAGTTTTCATTTGTAGAAACGTTCATCTCCCAGGCTTTTAAAGAGGAGAAAGACAAAATATATTCTGTGAACAAAATGATCCACCAGTTTTCAAACTCAATCAATCCCCACTTTCCCCACACACTGGCCTTTACATTTCTGTGCAGTTGCTATGGAAACCCTGTAATTTATTTTTTTCTCCCTCCCAGACTGTCTAGAAGCCTAATTAATGATTGGAAGTCGTATTTCCTCTCTGAGACCATTAAGATGCTATCTATTTTTACTCTTTATTCTGAAAATAATTGTATTTTTAATAAGCTGTCACTGCTTGGCTGTTTCAATAAGACTGCATCCTTGACTTTTAGACCAATAATGAACAGTGATGAAAAGTGTCACCTACAGTAAATGTGAGATATTATATGTAGAGTATTAACATTATGGATCAGTTTAGAATCCTGATGTGAAACACTTTCAACCGCAGTTGTATGCAATATTCTGCTTGGATATAATACCACATACACTAACTACATCACAATAATCTCCAATAGCACACTTTGTCTTGGATGTGGCTCAATGTTGATCTCTGTCATTCATTTCCAGCATGATAATAATAATAAGGTCCAGTGAATTGACTAGTGGGAAAGGTAAGTCCAATATACAGTAGAGCAATGTTATCTTTTCTGTCTAATTACAATTATTCACATGGTCATTTGGTGTCAGGGAGCATAGCATGATGCTCTCTGGGCAGCAGTGATATCCATGGTTCTCACATTAAACAACTTCAGAGACAATTACATTGAGTGGAGACCGTTTAGGAGGTTCTACCACTTAGCCCCGTGTGTGTGTCTAATAGAATGTTTTTGACATGGCGGTGAAGCTACCCTGGCATTTTCTATTCAGGTGGTGTCCACACAGGTAAACGCTACCTGCTGTGATGTCTCGCCAACACACCATGAGGTCCATTATCCTGCATTAGCGGAAGCCCACTGTCGCCCCGGGTCTGTGTCACACGGTGTGACCTGGATAGAGAGAGAGCTCAGCCAGGCTTCAGCAGTCACCCTGAGTCATTGGCCAGGTAAGAAGAAAGGACAGTTGTTGTTTTTTCTCTCTAACTTTGTCCCAAGTCACTATAGAGATGTCTGTTTTAGTTTATTTTTCTTGGTTTGTCTCTAATCATTATTTACAAGTAATGATTCCCTGTTGCCATCCCAATAGAAATATTGAACTCTGTAGTCTGCATCATCATTCTACTTCTAAAATGTGGTCAGCTAGTTCCATACGGTACACATCATGTGAAGTTCTGACAACCTGATGGGACAATACAGTAACACACTACCATGATGAGCGAGAGGGTTTATGTGGTGCACACTCAACTTTATTGATGTACAGTTTAACACCTTTTTCAGAAACAGCATCAGTTTCCCATAGGAGGGGGGGGGGGGGGGGGGGGTCTTACTGCGGTGTGAGGCGGATGAGATCTTCCTGGGGAATACATCTATACATCTACATTGCGCCGCTGCTAAATGCATATAGTGGAAACACTGAGCATTCAAGAAAATACTTTCCTCATAGTATGTCAGGAGTGCAAGGACCAATAGCTGCTCTATACCATTGTGTTATGAGGATATCCTTCATAGTGGCAATACTGTATAGTATACAATGTTAACTGTAATACGTACTGCCCAAAGAGGGCACTGCCGTGTGGAAGTGAGGGGATGCATTCAGCAGTCCTCAGAGGAATCTTAAGAAGTAGAATAGAAATCTCAGTTTTTAGAAACATCATCTGCCTTCATTACAATAAACGTTTAATTACAGTTAAATCTACAAAAACGTACACCCCAACTCTAAATATTTATCTGTGATACAAACAAATCAATTGGCAAAAAGGGAATACTGAGTAGTGGGATATTGTCTGTGTGTCAGTAGTTTGTCATGTACCCTGTGTGGCATATTTAAGAATAATAAGAAAATTAAATGCAAAAGATGGAGTTTGAAAATAGCGATGGTATGTTGAATAATTAATTAGATTAGATGACATGTATGTAATAATAATGACTTGATATACATTGAAGGGGAGTGGAAAATACAAACCACTTTCAGGCAAAATGTAACTAACTGATTTTAAATAAGTGCATTAATTTCTGACAGACAGCTGAGCGAGAAGAGACGTTGCTTTGTGAAAGCTAGGGAAGCATGCCATTTATCTCAAAATCCATGATATCTATGGCTTTGGGTAGCTCATAAAAATGCAGTATCCAACTGTCAATCTGGATTTAATCTCTTCACACATGTAGGCCTTATAGGACGTGTGTGTGTGTGTGTGTGTGTGTGTGTGTGTGTTTGGTTTTACTATCCTTGAGGGGACCAGAAGTCCTCACAAGGATAGTAAACCAAGTGGGGATATTTTGCCGGTCCCCACAAGGAAAATGGCTATTTTAGGCTTAGAGGTTAGGGTTACAATAAGGGCTAGGGTTAGGTTTAGGATGAAGGGTTAGGGAAAATAGGATTTTGAATGGGAATCAATTGTTTGGTCCCCACAAGGATAGTAAAACGTGTGTGTGTGTGTGTACATTGTGCTCGTTGCCTAATAAATAGAAGAACTGCTGCTTGTAGAAACAGTGAGGAACTGCAGTACAATTGTATAAAACTGTTCTAAATCAACCTTCATATGAAAACTTTTTTTTTCACCACACAAAAGTCTAACCCTAAAGCCCAGACTACTCCACATACAAATCTATGGAATGTTGCTCCATTGCAAGGTTGCACAAATGCAAAGGCAGTATTGTCTCATAATTTGGTCCACCTTTTTACATCATTGCTCTGTGCCTTGAGTAGAAACCCATTAGAATCTCCAGGATGCATTAACGCATAGGTACACATCGAAAACATACATCTGTGCCTCACCAATTGTTCACTTGTTCATCTAAAACATGTGCATTAGTCTATTAGATTTTGCATGAACACCTATCAATTATCCCTGAAAGAACACCACCCCCAGCATCACTGTGACTCTCCTCCATGTACAGTCCCACAACATACAGTAGACTCACTGTGCTGTCAAACATTTCTCATTCAGAAAAATGACAGTGAGAGAGAGAGATGAGAGTTCCATAGGTAAAACCTGCAGGGCAGAGTGACTACCCTGACTGCATGCCAATGTCCTCATGCCTGATGACCTTGTATGTTATCCAGTAGAAGATGTTGAAGAGGAGGAAGGCCATAGGGAAGGCTGCTCGGGACACAGTGTCAATCCTCTTGGCTCTGTCCACAAACCTCTTCCTTATCACCTCTTTGTCTTTAGGGGTTGGTGGTGCTGGGCTGGGGTTTGGGACAGCGTTTTTAACAGCCGACCCATCCTTCAGACACTGAGTCATGCCGTAACCAGAGAAATTGAAGCGGCCATCCCTGATGTCGTCATCCTGGTGAAACAAAACAAAGACAATACAGAACCATGGTGAGTATGCTTCTGTTCAATGGAGAGAAAGAGTTTCAGACACACTCCCATGTGCACACACACTATGACATTGTGGTGTATGGCCAGTAGCCATGTACTTGCGTCCTTTTCTTGGCCCGTGACTCAGGTGTTGTACCCTTTACCTGAGGATGCCTCCAGGCGACATCTACGGCTGCTTCATTAACACTGGGGACACAGCTGTCTCCCAGATACAGATACACCCTCCCTACATCCATCCCTCCCTCCCTCTGCTGCAGCAACAACAACAAGCTGACACACTTAGATAACCTTAGATAACCTGACACACTTTGCCTTCAAAATGGCCAACTTGAACTTCAGGCAAAAAGTCTCTGACTGCCCTAAATGTTCATTCAGCCCAGTTTCATCATGTCACACTTCCTTTTGAAAGACACCATTCATATGTTCAGCCATGAGGCCCTGGGATTTGGTCTAGCAGTTACTGGCACCGCCTGCCTTTGGGGCATGTAAGCCTCTGTGAGCATGGGATTGATCGAATCCCGATCCCATGTCGCATTTTCAACACACATTTTCTCCATCTTTCCAGTCTCTCCCCATCTCTTCAATATCAATTTAAAAAATACTAGAGTGGAACTCCCACTCTTTAAAAATGGTTCATGAGTCTTGGCTTTGCAGTGACTGACTGTTAATAATAATAATAATAATAATAATAATAATATGCCATTTAGCAGACGCTTTTATCCAAAGCGACTTACAGTCATGCGTGCATACATTTTTGTGTATGGGTGGTCCCGGGGATCGAACCCACTACCTTGGCGTTACAAGCGCCGTGCTCTACCAGCTGAGCTACAGCTGTTCTAAAGGCAATCCCACTGGACACAGACGTCAATTCAACATCTATTCCACGTTGGTTCAATGTAATTTCATTGAAATGGAGTGGAAACAACGTTGATTCAACCAGTGTTTGTCCAGTGGGATGCTCCTCAAGACCAGAGTGTTTACCTTGTGAGTCCGCTTCTGTCTTCGCCTCAAGCGAAGTAAATCCTTCTGTTGCCTGGAGACAAAGTTAACCCCAGCATATTCCAGTAGGGCAGCGAATACAAACAGGAGACACACGGCCATCCAGATATCAATGGCCTTCACATAGGACACCTGTGACAAGAAACACACAAACAGTAGTTTACTGGGACTGATTCATCCTTGTATGTGGTGGCGTCACGATGCATCGTTCAATTAACATTTCAATGGGAATATTATCTTCCCTCATTGTGCTTTGTTATGTTAATCAGAGTTGCTGAAAATTCTAAATCACCATCATTAGAGGGGTGGTATTTGCTAACGAGTGCTTTAAACTTTCAACACTCATGTTGATATGAGTGATTTCAGCGATAGCACTGGAAGGAAATAATTGCTGCTTCAATTACCAAGGTAACATAAAGGAAACAGTAGCAGCTGGACTGAAGCCTTTATCGCCCTGCCGGAGGTGAGATGGAGGCTAGAATCTGAAGGATGCCCTCTTATTCATCATACAATGACCTCGTCTGTCTCTCAAAATGACAGGTAATTTGCATGGAGAGAAAACAACTCAACGTTGTTGAGTGCTCTTTAGGCATATAGAGCTTTTGTTGTTCTGAGTTGGGCCTCTCAAAGTCATCTCTCTAAATATTTATCAGCGTCTCTTTCATGCGGGCCTCTTTGACGTGGCCGGTCCCTCTGTGGTCGTGTGCAGTCCAATGTGTAGGAAAATGATTGATCTTCAAGAGATGACTCACACCGAAGGCCTCTTGCTAGCGTAAGTTTGAATAGCAATTTAGTGTTTGACAGTGTACAGTCGTTGTGTATCCACTCCTGTTTAATTTAGTAATGTTATATCACCACCTAAATCACTATTGTAACAAGTTAAATAGATTTCTAAAATATATTGTGAAAAGGTAATGTTTAATGGTCTTCTCTGTTTTACAACTTATTAATTTAAAAATGAAAGACTTCACAAATGCATTGATATTCCCTTGATATAAATCAATTGATTGCTTATCTATTGCCCTAGGACACTTGAATCAGAACTCAAAATTCAGGGAAGCATGGAATCTTAGGCATATTTACATTTCATGAACAATATTTGATTATGTATGACATCTAACATGAGTAGAAAACGGAAGATTGATTGATCTGAACATGGCCTATTATCCCTCTCTCCTCCATCAGATTGTCCACTCACCCTGCTTGGGTTAACAGGATTACCTTAGGAAGGGAGGCTCGGGAGCCGGAGCTCTGGGTTGTCATGGTGAGCACAGTGGTGATGCCCAGCGCCACCCTGGCGGGCGCGGCGTCCATGTTGATCCAGAAGGAGACCCAGGAGAGGATGACTATGAGGAGGCTGGGGATGTACATCTGGATCAGGTAGTAACCCATCTGTCTCTCCAGGTGGAACTTCACCTCAATGCAGGTGAATTTACCTGGAGAACAAAACACACTGACACCTCAGATCAGGGACGGTGTGGTGAGAGGTGTGGTGTGTGTGCGTGAGAATGTCGGTGTGTATGGTGTGTGTGTGTACAGTATGTGTGTGTGTAGTTCTCTGACCGGTGTTGTAGCTTTTGGTACAGTATCCCAGCTCCTTCTCATCTCTCATGATGAACTGGGGGAGGGTCAGCCCTGCAGCCACCTGCACAGGATTTTTGTCCTTGCTCTCCCACTCGAAGATCAAATCATTCATGGTGTAGCCAACTGAGGAATTCATGAATACAGCAAAGATGTTTGAGATGTTATTGCATTTTTACAATCCATATTGCATGTGCTCTACCATGTGGGTTGTAAGGAGCAGTCACTTACAGCTTTCCAGTTGCATGGTACAGATCTGCATGTCCATGGGAAAGTTCTTCAGATCCATCGGACAAGATAGAATGAGAGTCAACCTTTGAGGAAGAGACATGTCAAAGTAAGGAGTCAACTGTGCAAGCATTCTTTGTGAATGTACAAATAAATTATATAAATTCTGTAGATACTGGGATATTACATTATCGTGTTCTATACCTCACTCAACAGATGCATGTAATGGTAAAGCAAAAATCTTACATGGAACCTAATTGTTACTGTTTCAAGTGAGACTTAAATACAAGCTCCCTACAATGTATGCCTATTGTGTACAGTATGTGCCAAACATATGCTCCTCTCCTGCAGTCAATGCTCTTTCTCCTTCCCCTCTGAGAGCCTCCTCCTCCCACACAGCACGTGGGATTCCTTTCAGCAGGTTCTTATCACACTTTCATTACTGGACCGTTATTGCGTCTGAGATGTATTGTCGTCTGCAGTCTGCTCCCTCTCTCATCTCTTCTCTCATGAATGGAGCGAGCGGCTAACCACCTTTCATCTGTTCTCTCAGAACCCCCTGCCTCCCTCCACACCTGGGCTCCCCTGCCTGAATCAGCTCTCCAAATAGACAAAATTGAGAGGCATTATTCCACTGCCTCAAGGTTTAAGTCTGAGGCTGAGTTGTGTGACTGAAGTGATATTGAAATGAAATGTAATGTAAGTGTAGTAGTGATTTTTGTAAGAGGTGGCTATTGCATGAAGGTTACCCATGTCTCATCTACTATGAGTGGGCTGCATCTACTACTCTAAGTGATTCCATCTTACTGATCTCGTGCAACGCTAGGGATGAAGCATATATACTTGTAGCTAATGCCCAATGGAAATGAATAGCCTACATGAGCAGCTTTTTTTCCATACTCCTTCCCTGAACGTATTCTAAACATCTTTGGAGAAAATGTCCCTGTAGCCTTTGGCTACTCTAGTAGTTTGTGTTTCTATGGAGACTCTTAGTGGAGACCATATTGCAGCAAATTCCTTCAGGTGAAGGAATGCTTTATTGAGATGAATCCCATGAAACCAGAGAGGTTGTCTTTGATGTAGAAAGGTGTTTCTTACGAAAGTAATTACATGTGGGTTAAGGGCTTGGAGGTAGACTAACGTTAAAGGGAATCTCTGATTGTCTGCTGAAATCTCACTGGATTTGAATCTTTTATTTGTTTGGATGTTTCCAACAGGACATTTTCAGCATGACCTTGTTCTACATCTTTCCAGCCTATTGCATTTATTTCCCCAAGCAATAGAGTTGAGTCCACCATTCAATGCAGCCCCACATCTGACCTGATACTGTACAGGACGGTACCATCCTTGAAGACCCTCAGGAGCTTGTTGTCTGTGGTGACATCATGGAAGTTGGCGCCTTTCTCATTTGCGAAGAACAGGTCAGGTTTCCAGATAGAATCCAACATGGATGGGTCCAGGTCCAGAGAGGAGTCTGGGTATTTGCTATACGCCAGCCGAGGGTCTCTCCACTTCTGTCGCAGGAAGATGTTCACTCTGTAATCCTTGAGGAAATAGTGAAATTAGCTTTACAACTGCTTTGTTTATCTCCATTAAATATAGAGTACTATACTTTTGATGACCAGAATATGTTGTGTCACACAGTCAGTGAATACAATGACTGGTCACTTACTCATGAAAACATTATTTTGCAATGGACTTTTACATATTTAGAATGATAGCGCTACTAATACAAAACAACATTGTCCTCTTAATATGTAAGCCAAATGCCTGCCTCAGGTTTTTGGTTCCATCGTAGTGACATGCAGTATTACCCCAAGACATTTGGTACTAAGGCGCTAATATTGCACCAATGATATTAATATTAATATCAATAGTAAAATGGTAATAGAATACTGACACTAACTGTGGCACTACCACAACCTTAACTAGAGAAATTGCTCAATTTCTTTTTTACATAGAATTGTAATATGAAAAACAATAGCATGAATGAATGGATGCAATACATGGATTTCAATGCATATTTGTACGTTTGTAAATCACCACGCAATACCATCATCTAAAATCCAAATTACAATTTAAGAGTAGATTCAAATTTGTTGAAAGGAGCCATCATCATTTAAGTTTGAAGATGCATTTAGTATTGAATCATGCAGGTTTTAAGAAGCTACATTGATTGCAGATGAACAGATCATATCAGATGAGATGCCTTTTCTCACCCTCTCAGAACAGACCTATTTGGTAGGCAGCAGTGTATTTGCGGTCAACAGCCTATTGGCGGTCCCAGATGTGTATGCTTATGTGTGAGAAGTTATTGAACAACTGTGAGCAAATGTTTGAAACCCGGCTCAGCTGGCAAAGATTGTCATTGCGATATAGCTATTGAATGGGATCTCAATGCGGATTCCAGGTTTGCTATTGTTTACCCCTTGGGCAGTTGGATGTCTTCAAATATTACACCCAATCAATCTGCTTAAATCTCACACCTACAGCTATTGGCTGCAATTAAAGTGAATTATGTGCTTGCATTCACTGTGTAAATTATTAAAACAGAACTAATCTAACACTTGCACAAGGGAGTGTCATGGGAATAGCAATCCAATATTGCCTTGAGTATAATGGGAAAGATATTTGATTACATTGTGGTGCTCAGTGTCTGTGTGCTATACTTGCCCCCTGGAGTTGCCAATAGACTATGGGGATGGGACAAAGTGAATCATCGCACATGAAGAAGCAAACGTTTTAAACATCCATAAACTAAAAGGAAAATTAGCTCATGAACAGTAAAGAAATTGAATTATTTAAATCTTAAACTCCAGATGAGCAAAACACATTCCAGGCTGTAGATAACATGACCAAGCACAACACTCCAACTCACCATTGTAGTTTCTGCTATAGAACCAAAGCTGTTGATAAATATGTTGCAGGTAACATTAACTGGGGGACCTGTAGGTTGGAGGATAGATAGCACATTGACATGTTTGACAGGGAAGAGGTAAAGCAAGAAGACGTTCGGGACACTTACCATGGTGTTCTCTGTGACCGAGCTGAAACTGTTGGTAAAAATATTGCATATAATGTTTACAGGGGGACCTGTGAAATCGAATGAGAATGAGGTGACAAGAAAAAGTAAATACGTTTTTTATCTGCACGGGGTGCTTTAGCAAATAGAGGTGAGGAAGATAGTGGTGCAATATCTGTTGGACGTGACTTGAGTGTAATAAATGTATTTTTTTTATGACCTATCTATCACCAAAATATGGGCTATATGTACAGTGGCTTGCGAAAGTATTCACCCCCCTTGGCATTTTTCCTAGTTTGTTGCCTTACAACCTGGAATTAAAATTGATTGTGTTGGACTATTCCAGGTATTCCTTAAAGAGGTAGGGTTTCAAGTGTCTCTGGAAGGTGGTCAGAGACTCCGCTGTCCTGGCGTCGTGGGGGAGCTTGTTCCACCATTGGGGTGCCAGAGCAGCGAATAGCTTTGACTGGGCTGAGCGGGAACTGTGCTTCCGTAGAGGTAGGGGGGCTAGCAGGCCAGAGGTGGATGAACGTAGTGCCCTCATTTGGGTGTAGGTTCTGATCAGAGCCTGAAGGTAAGGAGGTGCCGTTCCCCTCACAGCTCCGTAGGTAAGCACCATGGTTTTGTAGTACCACAGATTCTCAATTGGATTGAGGTCTGGGCTTTGACTAGGCCATTCCAAGACATTTCAATGTTTCCCCTTAAACCACTCAAGTGTTGCTTTAGCAGTATGCTTTGGGTCATTGTCCTGCTGGAAGGTGAACCTCTGTCCCAGTCTCAAATCTCTGGAAGACTGAAACAGGTTTCCCTCAAGAATTTCCCTGTATTTAGCGCCATCCATCATTCCTTCAATTCTGACCAGTAACCCAGTCCCTGCCGATGGAAAAACATCCTCACAGCATGATGCTGCCACCACCATGCTTCACTGTGGGGATGGTGTTCTCGGGGTGATGAGAGGTGTTGGGTTTGCGCCAGACATAGCATTTTCCTTGATGGCCAAAAAGCTCAATTTTAGTCTCATCTGACCAGAGTACCTTCTTCCATATGTTTGGGGAGTCTCCCACATGCCTTTTGGCGAACACCAAATGTTTGTTTGCTTATTTTTTTATTTAAGCAATGGCTTTTTTCTGCCCACTCTTCCGTAAAGCCCAGCTCTGTGGAGTGTACGGCTTAAAGTGGTCCTATGGACAGATACTCCAATCTCCGCTGTGGAGCTTTGCAGCTCCTTCAGGGTTATCTTTGGCCTCTTTGTTGCCTCTCTGATTAATGCCCCTCCTTGCCTGGTCCGTGAGTTTTGGTGGGCTGCCCTCTCTTGGCAGGTTTGTTGTGGTGCCATATTCTTTCCATTTTTAAAATAATAATAATAATATGCCATTTAGCAGACGCTTTTATCCAAAGTGACTTACAGTCATGTGTGCATACATTTTTACGTATGGGTGGTCCCGGGGATCGAACCCACTACCCTGGCGTTACAAGCGCCATGCTCTACCAATTGAGCTACAGAGGATTTAATGGTGCTCCGTGGGATGTTCAAAGTTTCAGATATCTTTTTATAACCCAACCCTGATCTGTACTTCTCCACAACTTTGTCCCTGACCTGTTTGGAGAGCTCCTTGGTCTTCATGGTGCCGCTTGCTTGGTGGTGCCGCTTGCTTAGTGGTGTTGCAGACTCTGGGACCTTTCAGAACAGGTGTATATATACTGAGATCATGTGACACTTAGATTGCACACAGGTGGTCTTTATTTAACTAATTATGTGACTTCTGAAGGTAATTGGTTGCACCAGATCTTATTTAGGGGCTTCATAGCAAAGGGGGTGAATACATATGCACGCACTACTTTTCCGTTATTTATTCTTTTGAATTTTTTGAAACAAGTTATTTTTTTCATTTCACTTCACCAATTTGGTGAATGTCCATTACATGAAATCCAAAAAAAATCAATTTACATTACAGGTTGTAATGCAACAAAATAGGAAAAACGCCAAGGGGGATGAAAACTTTTGCAAGCCACTGTATTTCTGTCAACATAAACAAGGTATGTTGTTCTCCAAAGTACACCATGCAAGTCATAAAGCCACAGATAGTGGTTGACTAATCTCATCACAGCAGGCCTGCTACAGTAATAAGAGCAGGTTAAAAATGGCGGGATCAACTCCAATATTCAACAAACAATGGTATCATTCAGAAATACTGACTTACTTCAAAAGTATGTTGCCTGGTAAGTGGGGCTAGTCATTGAATACATCAATAAGGATGACAAGGAATGTTTTACTGGATGGGGTTAAAGGACAGACAAATAAAAACGAATGCCGAAAGACACACCGAGAGACACACGTTGACACACATACACACTCAATGGCATTACAAACAGTGGCACATGCAAACGCAGAACAGTTCATTTAGTGTTACAGGCATTATGCTGCTATCTTTGAGGAGTGGTGGCAGAATGACTGGTAAATGCATTAGCAGTGGAAAAGCAAAATCAGGATTAGACACTTTCTATCCAAGACAGTAACAATGTCTTGAGAAAAAACAATTGTGTCAGCTGGAGAGAGAGAGAGCCTTACACTGGGTGGGTCGGTCGGTCGTGCATTTTGTAAGAAATAGTAAACCCTATGTCATCTCAACGCCCTTCACTGACGTGAGTTCTCCTAGCAGGCTCAGACAACGTTGACCCTTTAAAGCAGCGCCAAATCTTGGTCTCTGTGTTAATTTAAGATGTGAGCACAGTGCCCTTCCCGTGTGTATTCCTCATCAATATTCCATGTGACGTGGTGGTATTAATATTTGCCTCCGTTTGTAGTCGGGCAACTACATTTAATGTCAGTAACATAATTTTTGTACGGAATAACTCTGCACAACAACCTCGGCAAGGAAATGTAGGTCAGGCTCCAGCAGCACTGTGGGGTATAGTTGTGACACAGTATGGTTTGTAAGTGATAAACTAGCATCATCTATGTGTATCCCTGTATACTGTACATGGATGTGCAAATGTACTGTAAGTATGGGGGGTGGGGGGTGTGTGTGTGTGTGTGTGTGTGTGTGTGTGTGTGTGTGTGTGTGTGTGTGTGTGTGTGCATGCATGTGTTTTGTGGTATTACACCTCATTAGACTGGAATACTCTATCCGCCAGAGACTCTATCCATCATCAATGTACCAGACAAGGTAAGATCGTGTTTTTCACTCCAGCCTTTTTATCACCTCTACTCCAGAATTCTCCCATGTCCATATACTGATTCAAATTGTTTCTGCTTTTCAGAACAGACAACTCTTCCCCTGATCTTAAGTCCATTTCTGAGGTCTTGTCTACACTTGTTTTCCATTCTCCCAGACGGAGTGGATAGATCTGGGCCAGTGTTTCTGGGTTGAGGCTGAGTCTTGCTGACCAATCTCAGACTGTTTCCTGTGCTACTCTCCTCACGGTGGCCTTCTCTCCAGCATGGTTCCACCACTAGTCTCCCAGCCCTCCTGACCCAGCCTGGGGTCTGCCTGCCTCCCTGTCTGGGGTGTGCCCCTACCTGCCTGCCGTTGACGTTTATTGTCATTAATCTTGCCATGGAGGCAGAACTGAGCGATTTCCGCTAGATGGGCCAACTGCAAAGTCAAAATTGGCTATATTGTAAAATTCATGAAAACAAAAATTAGCTTTTTGGTCTTAATTTAAGGTTAGGGTTAGGCATTAGGCTTAGCAGTGTGGTTAAGGTGTAAATTAATTGTATGACTTTGTGGCTGTGCTACAAAGCCCCACCAATGAGTTCCCTTCCCTCTCCTTACTCAGCTCCATCACAGTGACATATGCTGTGTCTCTCCCCCTCACCACAACACAACAATAGAGGAACTCAACAGCCAGCAGTCTAGCCAGAGGGAACCCATCCATCATCTGTGGCTGTCACTGTGGCACCACTGTTGACTTGGGGCCAACATCTATAACTTTAAGCTCATTATTGTTTTTCTAGTGTTGAATACTGATGGTAAATATAGCTGTTGCACACTATAAATGACAATTGAAGAAATAGCTATAGCTATTGGGTGTTGTGATGGTGGGCTGAGATACAAAACTATTTATCTAGCCTACTGCTTGGTTCTGTTGTGAGCCCTTCATGTTCGATATCTCAATCCCATAAATCCTACAGGGATGATGATGTCACTGTCTACAGGCATGATTGATAGCCATTCTTCTTTAAATCAGTAAGGGGTGGATTTGCTCAATAGACAAGTACATAATTCATGTTCATAATGGGCCTTATTGACTATTGAGGGGGTGTTAAGTTGAGAATGTATACACCTACATCATATGTAAGGGATGTCAATACTTTAGTAATATAGATATAGCCATATACTGTAGGTGGATACACTGATATCCCAGATGCATTTTATGCGAAGGTTTTGTAATCCACACTAAACAACTCATAAGAAAGTCAAATAAAAACCAACCTTTGAAGTTCGGTCTTATTCGTGCATCATAACCTGATGTTCTACCCATCAATGAGTCCAGAAAGTCTGAGGGAGACAAGTTAGTAGTAGATCCTGATCTGGATTCATGCTCCTTGGCATCCACCACCCTGTGAGAAACAAAGGAAAAACACCTACTTACTTGGTCAGAAGTCACAAGTGTGGTGAAAACATTTCTACTTAAACAACCAAATATGATCCTGATCTGAATAGGCATGCAGAGAAACACAAATGCGATTCAAATGATATGATTAGGAATGATTCCAATAGTGTGGAACACCTTGGCAGACAAGGTGTGCTATAAGCTTATTATCACTGTAATGGAGAATTGGCATCGTGACTCTCCTCATTGTGTACATATAGGCTATGCAAATTTTGAATTAAATCACTCCGGCATAGGCTACTATAATTTCACGTTTTGACAACGCCCACAGAGTTAGAGGCAGTGATTAACTTTGCAAAATAGGCTACACATCCTAAGCTATATTTTCAGACCACTGACTGAACATTAAAGTTTTATGATTTCTACCTTCCATTAATAACATTGGAACTTTGAGGTCCATGAGGAAAGAATGTGTTCATTTTTAGGTAGGTTCAAAATCAAATTCCTAAACTTTGTTTTAATGGCAACGCACTTTGCCTTTTCAAGCAATTAACATTACAGTTGAATAGGCTACATATACATACATCCAAGAAAGTATCTCATTCTATTTGGAATAGTTTTATTTGTTTATGTTAAATGGCCAATAAAGTAGCCATTCACCTACCTGCTGTTGTTGGTCTCCATTAAACATGCAAATAAAGCAGTCAAGACTTTGATAAAGGGGCGATTCATTCCTCTAGATTTTTTTATTTCTTCACTTCTTTATTTCTTCCATATGTGAATGTTGGTCAAACACACAATCCAAGCAGTAGTATCGCTTTATTTCTGACCAAAGCGCGGTTGGGTGTTCTCGTGGCACACAGAGAATACGCAGGTGGCATTCCAGTCCGTAGGATCATAGTTTAGTTTGATGAAACACTGATTCCCTGGTGCGGTATTGTTGTTGATAATCTGTAAAGAATCATACATTCTGAGCCATTGCCACCAAAAAATAACCTGTAGAAAAAACGTCGTGAGGTGACACAATTCGCCAAGCCGTGGAATATGGAGCCTTCAAGGAGACGTTCTTACTTTCATTCAAAAACTCACTGAACAGATGTCTGTTCTCTAAAACATATAGCGATGTTGAAGCATAATGTTTCCTTGCGATGAAGATGGTCCACTGCTGGAATGAGAGACAAGTGGACGCCTCTTCAGATTCAGCACTTGGATAGCTCCCGTTTCCTTTGTGCGCAAGCGCACAATTAAGAACTGGAGGACGCGAGGTGATTTTCAATATGTCATATAAATGAGGAATAGAACCTTTTAAAAAGTATTTTCAAACTAGCCATGTTTATGGTCCGAACTCCTGTATTTCGAGTAAGATTCTCTTGAAAGCTGTCCATAAATAGGTATGGATATGGAAGTGCTCAGGTCAGAAGGGACTGCACACAGATGTTGTGTGCCAGAACATCTTGTTGCCAGACAATAGTTTTCTAGAATGTTTCATCACCTGACACTTGCTGGCTGGCTGGCTGCAACCTGGTCTTAGAGCACTTCGTATTATTGTGTAAGTAAAGACACTCCATTTAGTATGATATGTTAGGTTTCATATAGTATGTATTAATATGTAGATGTCCATCACCCATTTCGTATGATATTATATGAATTACAATTCGTATTATATGTTAAGAATTTGCTAAATGTACTATATGTTACGAATTTGCTAAATGTACGATATGTTACGAATTGTAGTTAGCTGGCTAACGTTAGCAAGCAGTTATCAACAGATAGTTTGTTGATAGTATAACCATCTGTAGATCACCTATATGGGACTATCCAAATAAAGTGTGACCCAAATGACTGTTTTCCAATGGAGACACATATACTGCAATTAACCACCTAGAAAAGAGAGGAAAAACAGCATCCTCTGTGAGCAGTAACAGGTGCACTAACAACCTTTGGTTTGGTGCTGCAAAACCATTTTAGACGGCAGAGTCTAAATGGATTGCACTATAAACCAGGCGATGTAAAACCTTCAATCCCCATAGAGCAGCAAGCAACAGCGGCCAATCTAATTTACATTACATTTTAGTCATTTAGCAGACGCTCTTATCCAGAGCGACTTACAGTTAGTGAGTGCATACATTTTTCATACTGGGCAGTTTTTTTCGTATCTGGGCAGTTTTATGAAAGAGAGGCTTGTCCTGCATTGTGCCATTATTTTAATGGTTATAGGAAGTCCTGGGTGAGTGAAAGAGAGCTCTAGTCGGGGGATTAGGGTGTTTTATTATTGTTAAACCCACAGATGGATACATCTCTCTTTCCCTTTGGCGACGTGCAGAATGGAATTTCACTTCCTTAATTATCTTATGGTTATCTGACCCACCTGCCCAAAGTCCTTACTGATGGGATCTAATGACCAGTTGGAGTGGGGGCTGGAGGTTTGAACATGGTCAAGCCAATTGTAGCTGTCTTTGAGATGGACTCGGAGTGACCACGGACAAGGTCAGTGTGTCTTGATCCTCTATACCCTGTCTCATTACTCATACATCATACATCCTGTCTGGGTTTATTTAATGAGATATGGGAAGAGTTTCTGGTTGATCTGTGAAACCTTCTCTAAGATGATGTTTGCCAAGATGAGGGTTTCTCAATAGGGATGTTAAGAGATTTTTACTGGGATCTGAGGCAAGATATGTTTTGAATGGTATTTGTGTTGTACAAAACTCTTCTTATTTACATAAAAGGGTATGGGAACTATTGCAGCTCATTACAATAGGTCAAGGTTAGTTTAATTAAAAGATTGGGAAACCCCCCCCGGGTGCACATTTTGGTTTTTGCCCTAGCACTACATAGCTGATTCAAATTACCAACTCATCATCAAGCTTCGATTGTTTGAATCAGCTGTGTAGTGCTAAGTAAAAAAATTAAAAACATGCACCCAGGGGGGGCCCCAGGACCGACTTTGGGAAACCCTGACCTAGGTGATTCAATATTGGTCTGATGACTCAAAACATACTAAATTTTTTCCACAAAATGTTCTCACTTGAAATATTACTTTTGTAATGGCTGTGACTGGACTGTTTATGTATTTTATACTCTGTTGTGCAAATAAAACTGATTCATCCATTGAAAGTCTCTTTACCTTTCGGTGCCGTTGGGGAATAGAGCATGTCAATTCGCAGGCGCTCTAATGAAAAAGCAATGATACACCTCAATCCAGAGCAAGTCATACATCCTGTACCATGAGATCCAATGTGACACTTGCAATTTGGTTCATAGAATTAAACAGGGAAGGAGGATGGAGTGGATTATTTCCTCCTGGGCCTCAGACAGTCTCTCACAGCAGAGCAGCACAGCAGAGGAGATGGAAGCTGAGCCAGTCAGTAACAGAGTGCCAGACTGAGGAGTAATATTGCCCCAGAGCATGTCACAGCATTCAGCCATGTGTTGTACCAAGAAGTAATCTCACAGCCTATGGATGGCTCGACATGAATGACAGAGAGACTTTTTCACATTGTTGTTGTGTCTCCTTGTGTGCTCTCCAGTCTTCCCAAGTGGAATGAACATCATTCATGCATTTGGACCATGATGATAAGGTACTTGCAGCCTCCTAAATGGCTTACACAGTTTGAATTGAGGACAGGTCCATGCTCTTATATAAATACTTAAGAAATGAGCTATGCTAAATATCTAAATCTGATTCGATATGTCAATCTCACTCTGTGTGTGTGTGTGAGTGCATGCGTCTCTCTGTCAGTCAGTCAGTTATCCCCTTATCCCCTGCCTCCCTCTGGGTGGCCAACCTTTCAGCATTTACAGTGATGTGCCTCTGAAATCTGTTTCCAGGGCAACCGGGGCACCAAATACATTCCCAGAGGCATCTTGCTGGTGTGTCTTTTGTTTATACTATTCATATCTGAGGGACAATTTATCCACTCCTACTTACAATATATGAATATGCTAACTGAAAAAGACGGTGAATGACAAAGGGAAAATATATTCAGTGACAAACGATTTTCTAAAAGATTAATTGAATAACCTCACATTGTCCTTATTAATACATGCTGTTTTATCCAACCTGGACTCAGGGGTAGATGTAACATAGTAAAAGTAAATCTGTCTCCCTTCATTTAGTATGATATGTTAAGTTTCATATGGTATGTATTACTTTGTAGATGTCCATCATTCATTTTGTATGATATGTTACAAATTACAATTTGTTTGATATGTTACCAATTGCAATTCGTAGAATGTGTTACGTATTTGCAATTCATACAATATGTTACGAATTTGCAACATGTATGATATATTACGAATTCCAATTTCTTGTGGGTAACGTTAGGTAGGTGGCTAACGTTAGCTAGTGTTAGGGTAAGGCTTGAGTTTAGGGTTAGGGTTAGTGGATAGTTAGTGGAAATGTTGTTGACAGTTATTGAACATCTACAAACCATCTACTTGGGACTAGCCAAATAAAGTGTTACCGTCATTTGATATGATTTAAGATATTTCTTCACAAGGAAATTACTCTATGTACTCTAAATATAGCATTTTATCAAATTGATTGCAATATTAAATACGTTATCCATCATCTGTTAATTGCACCGTCTTAATCAAATTCGCTCTGGTTTGCATAGTTGGGTAAAAGGACATCCAGGATCTGAATAATGAATAAGTGAATGTGTTAGCTCAATCACTGTTCTCCAGTGCACCAATATAGTATGCCCAGGTTGATGAGCTATTATGAGGGAACAGGCTGTCACTGCGGGGCATGTCCACTTGATGGCTGTGGCTTTAAATCGACATGACATTATCTTCAGAAGAACATACTTGAGGCAGTCACCTGCTGAAAGCCTCTACTCTCTCCCCAGTCAGGGTGAAGCAGTTCCATCGACCCTCTCCAATAAGCAGAGAGAGAGAGAGACACAGAGAGAGGGAGATAGAGAGAACACAGACTGAGGGAGAGAGATAGAAAGGGAAAGCAGAGAGAGAAAGAGGGAAGCAGAGAGACAGAGAGAGAAATAGAAAGAGAGAGCGAGCGAGAGATTGGGTGGAGAAGAGAGACAGAGAGGAGAGAGAAATAGAGAGAGAAGAGAGAGAGAGATAAAGCTGGGCTAGGGAGCTCACCTGGAAACAACAAGCAGGCTTGAGCCTCCCTGATGCTCATGTTCAGTGGAGTGGAGCATCAAGCGTTGGGGAGTATCCATTGCACCATCGATCCCTTGTATTTTTATCCCACTTAATGACTTTCTCCCTCTATCATTCATCCCATGGATTTAAACAAAGAGAAGAGATGAGGTGGATTGTCATTGGTGGTTATAGCTATATTGTGGTGGGCTTTACTAACTGGAAAGAGGAAACATACAAAGATTTAATTAGAGGATTCATGAGGAGAGGGGATGGGTTGTGAATTCTACACAGAGACAACATCACTCAATAACATCCCTGATCGTTTTCTCATAGTAAAGTAATGTGAAGCTATTTTGCAGAATCTTACCATATCCACTGAAGATGACAAACACAATATGAAAAGACAGGGGCCCTGGGTTCACTGTGGAGATATGGAGCTTCCATGGGCTTTCTAATATATAACAATAATATATATGCCATTTAACAGACGCTTTTATCCAAAGCGGCATAAGGGTCTATCGGAGTACCAAATGTATACGCATACGCACAGCAGTGTTCTAGAATATTGGACCATTGGCTTTCATACTTTTGGAATTTCTCAGCGCAGCTCAAGCAATTTC